GTAACTTCTAAAAACCTGTTAACATGTAGCATTGCTACAAGAGTGTACATTTATAACACACTGCTGAATGCAAACACTAATGCTATCAGAGTACAATTCAGAGATCTGAGTAGGAGTAAATTACTGAAAAAAATATTATACATTAAAAAAATAACTCAGAACAAAACTATTAGTTTGGCGAAACATGTAGGATTACTCCCACCAAATTACTGTTTTTAGCATTTTTATACTTTAGTGTTTTTTTGTTTTTGTTTTTGTAGTGCATATAGTATACATGTATGCTTGCATAGCCACAACAGCCTGTGCAGGCTAGACATAGAAAAGTCGTTGTATGGCTTATTAACGTTGCACATTTTATGAGTTTATACATGAGTATAGGAACAAGCTAAGTCTGAAGCTGCTATGGTGGGTTATGGTTCATTTCAACGTTGTTACACATAGCCCTCTAGCATATGAAAAAGTTGTGCTTTGCTACCTGTTTGGTACATGGTTATGCTAGTGTTGTTAGTTAATGCTGAATAATTACAGTGGGTTAGGTAGTGTGTTCAAGTTTAGTAAAATTTGCTATGTTCTCAGGTGCCAGTGCAGCTCTTGGGTTGCCACAAAAAAATACCTGCTGCAACGGACAGCTGGTGGGCATAACTAAGGGGAAGAGAGTTTACCACTAGGAGGGAGGGCCCCATTATTGGTGTCCTTAGTGAGGTGTGCCCTCATCGCTAGCATGCAGAAGTGGCCTAAACAGTTGATTGTAAAGCATAACATAAAAGTAGAAGAGTAACATCAAATGTCAAGGAGAAACAATAAAACTTTAACATTTGCAGATAGAGACTATATGAGGCATGGGGTGATTGACTCATCTGTAGTATCAAGAGTCCCGGTCAGCCAACCCCCGCAAGAGGTATACGACAGTCCCACTCTGGTGCCTTTGTGAGTCTTGGTCGCGGCGTGTGCTCAGGGGGCGCCCCGTGTCGTGGTTGTGGCACGTTGTTGGGCTGACCTATTGTTGCTGCTATTTTCGGCCCTGTGCCTCGCCGTCTCCACTCCCGGTCTAGTGTCGTTCCGTTCTTAGGTGAGTCCCATCAGGGAACCCTTCTGCTTGCCCGTGTGCCTTATGCTCCGAGGTCCTCTGCACTCCAGTGCCCTGTCTGCCGTTGAGTAGCACAGTCCGTGAGCCGGTCTAGGTCCACAGGGTCCTCTCCATGTCTGTAGGTGTCGCTGCGATATGTGACTCTTCTGACTTTGTGGAGCGCAGTGTCGGTCTTTGCCGGATCAACGGCGGAGCGGGAAGGCAGATTTGCATTGGCGCCCTGCTTGGGTGAGTGAAGGCGCTGGGCGGCTGCATGGATGCTGGTTCGCTTGATGGGAGTGGGTGAGTGATGCTCGCCTTTGTAGAAGTGGATGATCGTGGTGAGGCAGGTTGATTTAGCTTAACCACCAGCTTCCTCCAGAATGCCTCGAAGTGATTGTTTATTCGAGTGAGGATGTCTTGTGAGGTGTCGCTGGGGTTGTCAGCACATGTTGTGTCCGCCATCTTAGGGAGGGCTCTGTTTACTGTCTTTGGCGGTGTTCCCCTTCTCATCCTGCTCAGGGTCGCCACCCCAGGGTGGACTGGGATCACCCCCGCCGGTCCGAGGGGGGGTAGCAGGGCTTGCTTGTGCGGTGAGCAGCTTCAAGGTGCCTCCAGGACAGGGGAGCGGCCACCTCCCCCACCCGATGCAGACCAGGCCGCAGTGTTGGTCGTCATTTCATCTGGCCCCAATCGAGTCGCATAAGAAAATGCCTGGAAATGCGGTTTGTGTCGCTTGGGTGAGCAGATTTTCGCTTGTTTTGTCAGGATTTTGTGGGAGCTCGTGGAAAACACGACTCTCCGCCATGATGGTCAGGCCCCGCCCCCTATACTTTAGTGTTTTTATATACACTTTATATAATAGATAGAAGTCTTTTTTTTTCACCTGATACCGGAGTCTGGTTTTCCATACTCGCAGTGTCACTGCTACAGGAAGAAGGCGTTCTGGATTAGCCCCCACTAATATCGGGGAAATCACCCTCCTGCGATTTATTCTACTTAATCCTGTGAGTGGCATTTTATTTTGCGCCATTGTTTCATGTTATACGGTGTTACACTATATATATTCCTTTGTATTTCCCTATGTTATTTGTAGATCTACAGCTATATTCTCCAATACATTTGCTTCTTTTGTACCAGTTAGAAAAGAATATAGTCTGGGATATTCCTGGAGAAAGCTGCTATCACTATCTAAAAAGATAAGTTTCTTTCCATCACACTATTCATTTGTTTAAAGTGTTGGATGTGTTTGTTTAAAATACTTGAAACAGACATGAAATATAATTTGCATAACAATCCAGTTTTAGCCTGTTAATTATTATATATATGTATTTATTAGTTGGCATTTTAAAAGTCATGTTTTTCAATATATTAGCCACGTCCTTGATCTTTTGAACTCTTACTTTCCTGTGAGAGCCACCTAGAAATACTCTGTGGTAGCTGAAAGTTTCTTGTTAAAAAACCAAAAGATAAAATTATTAGACAGTGAGGTTACCATGTTATATAGGATAATGTTTCCTTTAATTTATACTAATATTTAGAATACAGTATTACATGGATAAATAGAAAGTTATATTCATTTGTGTATGCAGTCTGGATTTATTGATTACTGGCATTTATAAAGAGCCAACATATTCCGTAGCGCAGTACAGTTGGGAAAAAGACAAACAATAAGAACAGACTGATACAACAGGTAACAAATTGCTATCTTGAAGGAACAGTCCAAAAACACCATAACCACTAGTGTTTACAGTGCCAGTAGTTCTCTTTTGCCTCTCTGTAAGTAGTTAAACCATTTTAGAATGGTTTGAGGTCTTACTTGGGGTGTGCTAGGTGCTGGGACCATCCTCTCTCCAGAGTGCTTTAACGCAGTTAGGGTTCCATAGCACACCCTAAGGATCGGACCTTTCCTCCAGACAAAATACTTATCCCTCCTTGCAACAACCGAGGTAGTCTCCCTGCAGTCATCCCAAGTCATGTGATCATGAGGATACTGCAATCACATGACTCTGATTAGTTTGAGCAGCAGGGAGACTGCCTAGGTAGTCTGGCGATCCCCCAATATATAATAAATAAATAAATAAAATAAAAATTATATATACACACATACACTTGAATGAATATAGAAAATATCATTATAAGTGTATTTTCAAATGTTTTATATTTGAAAAAGGGAGATTTTCCTGAAAGCTTGTCATTCATCATTTGTTAGTCTAATAAAAAAAGGTGTTTTAGAGCAGTAAAATGAGTTACAATGGTGATATCATTAGAGAAAGTACGGTTTCTGTGTGAAAAACGCAAAACACAAATCTGAACAGAGTTTATAACGAAGTGGCTACTGAGAAGAAAAAAAAAACTGGACATAATCAATTTTTAATACCCTTGGTTATCTACTTTTGCAAATAGTATATGATATGATCGTGGTAATTTTTGTTTCTGGCCTGCCATATGGTCTCAAAGGCAATATGGGCCCAGCAAACCAATCTGGAAAATTTTAATATGTGAAAGCTGAAATGGTCAAGCACTTTTTTTTTGACCCTGTAACTTTCCAAAAAACACAATAAAACCTGTACATGAGGGCACTGTTGTACTTGTGGTAACAACAGCATACAAATATGTGCATTTTATTGAAATACAAGCCAACAGTATTGTGGCGAAACCGACCTCGTCACTGGGCATTGGAGAAGACTGATTGCCAGCCTCCTGTCATGTGACTATGGCTCCTGGGATGTATTACCCTTTAAAGACATTATTTGGGCATTGTGATGAGACCAATCTCGCCACTGTGCATTGTAGGAGCCTGGTTGCCCGCCTGCTGCCTTTAGACTATGGCCCCATTTTGAAATGCTTGATTTTCCCCTGCGAAGACACGAAAGCCGGGTCATTCGGTGCTGGCCCTGTTTGAGCAGTGATACCCCAGATAGCTACGCCATGGAGCCCATTCATATAATGAAAGACTATGGGAAAGACTTTGGCTCCATGGCAATTGAACTGTATGTGTGTGCTCTGAGCGCCATTCAATAATAATGTGCGCTCAGATCTAAGCTATCTGGGGATATGTTGAATGTACCTGTTTTGTGCAATGGCTGCACAGTTATATGTTTTTATGTGTTTTATTGTCTTTTGCTGCCATGTGTTCAATGGAGTTTTGCCTCTGTCCTTGGAGATAATTGGATTACTTCCCAATTATCTCCAGGATAGAAGACTCTGTGGAACTGGTTTTGGGCAGAAAAGCCATGCTTCATTTGGTCACAAAGGACTTCGATCTATCTTTTGAACCAATGGACCAATTTAGATGATTTTGACATATGTTTATATTTGGAGTATGCTGATTCTTTAAATGTCAGTTTTAATGTGAATGTGATGCATACTTTTCAAGTTATGAATAATGTGGAAAAACTATTTCTCTGCCGGTGATAATTACATTACCCATTGGATTTTGTGTGGGAGTGTCTGAGTGTATTGTACGTGTTTATTGGTTGTTTTCCAATACCCTGTGGGTGGTACTAATGTGTATATAAGAACAATAAACCCACAGCTCTGACTGTTCACTGCTTAACCTCAAAACGAAGTGTCGTCTCGTTATTGGGGGAATTGGATTGTATGCGGATTGCCAGGAGTGTAAGCTGATTGTATGCTTTTCCTGTTCAGCTGCTTACAGCATTCATATGCTTGAGAGCATTCGTATGCTTCTCCAGTTTGGTGGTTGTGGTGTCTGCTGCAGTGCTTGGAGTCCTCAGGAAGCGTTAGGAGCATACTTCAACGGAGGTACCCAGTCGGGGTGCCAGGTGATCTGTTACAAGTATTATGACATACCCAGTTAAAGTGCCATGCAGAACTTGGAATATAACAAAATCTTGAAATCAAAATCTTAACACTATTTTAGATTTTATTCGTATTTAATTAGGTTTCATACATAATTGATGTGAAAGCCCTATTTTTCATGAACAAAATGATCTTTAAAAAGTGTTGGTACACTTAATATAAAAGAGGTATATTATGGTTGAACAGACACATAGCTCAAATTCTAGGTTTTGTTTTGGTTCAGTACTTGGCCAATTGCCTCTGTCCTTAAGGCGTTAAAAGAATATTTCCCAAATAAGGGACAAATTTACAATATACTAATTATACACAAACGTGCATGTAAAGCACTTAGGTTAATGAAAACTACAGGCCTAAAACATTTAGGGCTCCAAAACTGACACCAAAACATTTAAACACTCAACAAGTGGGAAAAGTGACCAAAAAAACAAAACAAAAAAACAACAATAAAAAGATACAGAAATGGTTACGGTTTGTAGATTTTATTTCTTCTGCAGAATGTGTGGTTCCTTTAAATGCAGATACATATAAATGTAACAATACCATTAATTGGCACTATATTTGCATCACCAGTGCACCTAGCCATTTAAAATACCCATCAAAATCTTGTTAGCAAGTTTTACTGAATGCATATGAAAAGGAAACAAATATTAAAGAGGTTAGGGAGGAAAAAATAATTAAAAAAAAACAAAAACAAACTGAAACAGTTTAACATGCAACTTTATTTTGCTACATTTAACGTATAATCTAAGCATGCAAAAAAAGAATGGTTTGCATCGTTTTTGTTTGTTTGTTTTTTAAAGGATATCACATGGCAGCCTGACATCACACACACCGAGAACACAAGTCTACAGCAGGTAAATGGAAGGCTATTTGTTCACACAGAAACATAGCTTGCAGTTACAAGCCCTGTGAAAGTTATGGATAGTAATGTTAACCCCTCATAGGAATCAACATGTACATTAACAGGATTAACACAAGCACTGCATGCAGTTCTAAAACAAGAGCCCTAACAAAAGCCAGAGGAGTGTGATTGATAGAAGTCTGCCTTTAGTTACCTCTTAACCAAGTGCATATTGGTGGGATTTAAGAAGTTACACAAAAGGAAAACAAACACAGACAATATTCTATTTGAAACAGAAATAATCAAATGTGTAAGAAAAACAAATTCCAAAAATGTAGGCATTTCTTTACCAAACATACAGCTTGATTTTTTTACAATAAAAAACAAAACAAAAAACTCTACAAAAGCTATAAAACAAACAAAAAAAACAAAAAAAACTTACTGCAGCCGAGTTTAACTATACATAATGAGTGTGTATATGCACACTTCTAATGGGTGTGCTTCAAACTACTATTGGGGCTCACGGAGCCAGGCTCTGCTTTGAGATTTACATACAGGACTCTTCAGAGTCAATAAGTCACTTTAAAGATCCGCAGGATAGAAACACTGTTGCAAATCCACTCACTTTGATCAAAAACATAAAAAACAAAAAACAAAAAAAAAAAAACGCTATTTGCTAAACAATAGCCTGCCTTTGGTTGTCCATAACCCACTGGACATACTGCAATAGCAGCAAAGACAATTACTGTAATGCTTTTATTACGGGAGCATAAGTAAGCATTTAATAACAAAAGGAGGCATAAGCCTTAAGGCGAACACATGAAATGTTGCAGAAACTGGAACAAAGGTATTTTAGGAGGCCAATGGGTAGCACGGATATGTGCATAAAGTAAGACAGATTTCTAACCCTTAGCAGCACATGGAGAACGTACAAGTTGCATCCTAGATTCAAGGTGAGTTTCTTAAAACCCCACATTGTATTGTGTTTTTTATGGATTATAGCGCTCTTATACCCAGTAAAATAGGTTCTAGGCTTTAAGTACTTATTGACTGAATAGTTATCAATCAATAACCTACCATCCCAGTTGCTGGGAAATTAAAGGTTTCAAACAGTTGGACATAGAGGATTGCATGAAACAACTTTCATTAAGGGTTCTTGCAAAGAATATGAAATTGCTTTAATACATTTACTGGAAACAAAACCAAAAATAAAAATTTCTCCAACAAACCACCCTGCTATTTAAGCTGATATCAGCTCAGATTATTTGCTGGAATATACACAGTCAATTAAGAATAAATAACACAACAGGTCATCCAATAAAAATTATGTCAATATGTATCATACCAACAAATTGGGTCAAATTTTGTAGTGCTGTCTGGGCAAATATTCACTAAACTTTTGTTAAAATGCTGGTGTATAAAACCCTTTTATTTTTATTTTGTTTTAAGTCAGCAATTGTATCCACAGTCAAGTTTGAATGTAACCATTTATATTATCTGAGAAAAGTAAAATATGGCAGCTGGCAAACATTTTGTAGTAGCATGGCAAGTTTAAAAATGTGGGGAAATACACCCCCCCCACCCCCCACCCCCCACCCCCCAAAAAAATAAATCAATTATTACAGTAGGAACTTCCATGGTGACTGTTCCACTTTCAGAACTTTGCCCCACAGCCACCTCCTGTATACATTACTCAATATGTGGCATATTACAGCTAATACAAAACAGATAAAATGTTTGTACCACATCCACAAAAGTAGCATAACCTGGAAGGTGTGTATATGTTTTAAACCTAATTTGAAAAAAATCAAGCACAATGAAAGGGGACTGTTTTCTTCAAGAGAAATTAAAAAAAAAAAATATCCAAAAAAGTACACAGATCTTCATCATTTCTTCACACTTTCCTTTCATAAGTGCTTTAACAAATACTACTATATATGGAAGAAGTGTTTATTTTGCTCACTCCTTTGACCATCAAGGGAACACGTACATAAGCTAGATCTAGAATTATCGTAATGGTGGGTATAGGAACTTTTAGCCTAAATCAGCGTTTCCACATTATAGGTTTATAGATGCTTCCATAGCTTTTGACAACAAATACTTAGCTACACTCAAGCACTCACATTTTATTTAAACATTGTTAGAATATTGAGTAAAAATAAAGTAACCAGTTGTCCATCGTAGTACTTTCAACACATATATAATTTTTTCTCCACTTTGTGGTCTCTTTTTTTCCTCATTTTTATGTTTTGTACAAACCAACAATATGCAAAGTAGAAGAAAACAAAACAAAACAAAAAATTAAAATAGGTTTTTTTTTGTTTTTTTTTTACACAAGTCAGGCAGCTGTAATAAGAAAAAGAGACAAACAGACGAAAATTCAGACTATGTTAAAGGACAGCATGATAACCATCTGCAGCATTTCTGACAAAAGTAACAAATAATTGGGGGAAAAATACTTTCAAAGATAGTCTTTTGTGATGTAAAATTGTCCTGCAACCTATAAGACATTAGGCCAAGTGCCAGGCCAAGTTAAGAAGACTGCAAAATAATATAATCCACATTATACCCAGCATGGTACCATATGAAAAATTGTTTTAGATGAATCTATAAAGAAAGATGCACAAAACTGATAAAGCCACCCATGTTGTTTACAATATACTGTGCTTGATTGGCTACAAAGACAGAAAAACCTCTTGGCAAGGGAGGCACACCAACACAATGCAATGTCTAGGTGGGTCTGTCAGACCAGAGGGTCTGTGCACTGTAAGATTCTTCAGCAGAGATGCTGAAAGAAATATAAAATAATGTATTCATTATCACATTAGGGAAGTTAGTTATACAAACCATATTCTTATGAGTGAGGAATGAGTGTTGAGGAAACACAACAGTAACATTTCTATAATCTTGAGTTTTGAAAATGTACAAAGCTGGTCTTTTTCTATCCTCCCCATCTGCATGGATTTTTTTCCCCACTATTCAGATTTCTCTCTCTCGCTCTCATTTTTTTTTTTTTTAAATCTCCCTTTATATTAAATATGTTATTCACAGAAAGTGGTCTATTTGTTTTGTGGGAGAGATAGTATAAGTACACTGTTCACAACAAAACATTTTTTTCTTTTAATTCCATAAAGGGATTGTGGGATCGCAGGAATATTGGAAGCCTTCATATAATCAGAAAGCAGTGAAATATGTCTGCAGATTTTTACATTTGTTAGATCCATGAGTTTGGCAGTAGGTCCATGATCTTATCTAGGATGTCTTCACCAAATCGTAGACATAAATATGGAAATCGTCATCAAATTTTATGAAATAAACTGAGGGTTTGGCTTCAACTTGATGAATAACCATGCCAGTCCTTTTTGAGCCATCTTCTTTGGCATATTCCACTTGCTTTCCTACTAAGCTGTCCACAACTTCTCCGGGCTCCCTTTCAGCTGGAGGGGAATCGTCTGGTTTTATCAATTTAAAAAAAAAAAAAAATGGAGGTTAGTTGAAAGCAGATAATACACTATATTATAAATCAACACATGTACCTACAACAAGTTAAACAATACAAAAAGGAATTCAGTGTCAACCGCTTCTAAGTAAAATAAAAATAGCAATACCTAAGAAGTACTTAGTATAAATACTATATTTACTACTTGTGATTAAGCTCTGTGTAGTTAAGTCAGTGTCAAAACAGAGACACAGTAAGGATATCACTTGGAAATGAGACTGTGCACAGTAACATTTTTGTATGGTTTGCTCATATGTTTATCAATTATTATTTAGTAATTCTAAAATGACACACTACAAATGAGCAACTAGTTTAGATCCTCAGTAGACTAAAAGCTAAACTCTGTATGACATAGGAACCCTGTATTTATATATTGCTTAGAGGTACTTTTAATTACACTATAGGCACCCAGAGCACTTCATCTCAATGAAGTGGTGTGGGTGCAGTGACCCTGTCCTCTTAACCCTGCAATGCAAAACATGACAGTTTTAGAGAAACTGAAATGTTTACATTGCAGGGTTAAGACTGCCTGAATCCTAACATTTATTAAGAATACTGATATTAAGAAAGGTGAATCAATGGATCACATACTTGTAAGCAATTTGTTGAAATTTGCCTTTTGTGGTTAAACTTTTTCTTTAATATAATAATTAAACTCTGTGAAAGGATAAAGGCATTTCACAAATGCATATTCTGGTCATACCAGGTATTATTTTCTTAAATGGTTTTATTTGCAACAATAAGCATCAAAATAAATCATGCAGACATGTCACTGGGTATTGTAATGATCATAAAAATACGAGTAGTCAGAGGGTGATGCATTATATTGATTTAGTACTATACTAGAATATTTCCTGGCAAAAAAAGCCTGCACCTAGTCAAAGAAAATAGTCTAAAGTCAAATGTATTATATAGTTTGGTTGCCAATGAAGTACTCCAGTAATACATACACTGCTTTCTCAAAATAATTGGATTCTATATTCCAGAAAAGGAAAGAAAAACCAACAAACCAAACAGTGCACACGTTCTGTATAGAATATTAAAAATACAAAGTTTTGCAGAACAATAAACAACTTACTAGAATCAGGCATTATACGGAGATCTCCCTCCTTGTAATCATCTAAAAGTTGGTACATGTATAACACAGGGTCCTTTTCGTAGGTTATATAAAACCATGTATTCATAATGGGAGCTCGTGCCAACACCATCCCTCGCCACTCATCCTTAGAGCCATCTTCTGTTTCAAACATGTGTTCCACTGCTTTACCAATCATTGTGTCAGCTAAGTGGGCGTCACTGATTCGAGATGAAGCTAGATAAAGACAAAAAGTAAATTAACACTTGTAGCAATGTTAAAAACTAAAAGGTGTTACAAATATAAATAAATTACATTGAGTAATGCTAATTCCAAGCACAATGAAATAAATATATATTTTTTTTATTCCAAGTCCATCTGGAACCTGTAGACTATAAACTAAAGCCGTTATTGCTCCTCACTGTGCTACTCTTGGTTATAAAAAAAAGAGTTTCCCATCTAAGGGTTGCAACACAAAATGAGCTAATTTTACAGAGATATGCTACTGTTAATACATTTGGTGATCAGTCAGCATTTTATGATGAACTACAAATAGATCTTACAAAATATTAGATTTTCAATAAATTGCCAATAAAGAACCAGTCATTTGACAAAATACGGACTTAAAAATAAAAGGTTCTGTATTACACAATGCATAATCGTAAAGTCAAGAGCACTTTTCATTCCCAAAAAGCAGCAGAGTTGAAAGGTTCAGACAATTAAAGACTGGGCACCACATAATTACGGTTATAGCTTTAATAGACTTTTTTTAATTTTTAAATTAATTCTTTATTTTTGGTCGTGCAGGAGTATACAGGGTAGCCTGCAATGCCACGACAGCAATTGCCGGCATATGTCAAATACACAACGAAACAGTGAACATGACAACAGTTGTAGTTAGCAATAACGTTACGTTTCTACTCGAGTAAACAGCACAGTATTTTGTGATAAAGGTTTAGTAGCTAAACTGCGCAATTTCAATTGTAGAAATAAAAAAAAATTCAGAAAAAAAAAGAGGGGAAGAGGATGGACGTAATCAGAGGAGATAATTGGGTCTCAATTCGCCCAGTGTCGACCAGTACGGTCGTTCAGCCATATGTAGTATAGGGAGGAGAGTAATCCCTAAGTGTAGCACAACTTTATAAACAAAACTAAGGTATTGAAATAAAATGCAGATAACTTAATAGGAAGAGAGAGGGTACAAGTCCCAACAAAGATGTTGCCGTTTTCAGGTGGCAGGTGCGCCTGCCGTTCCTCGAGATGCAGGAGTGAACAGAACCACGGTAGCGGGGTTCCAGGCGGTGGTAGTGGGCGAGGGTTAGGGCTCGGTCTCAGGGAGGACAGGACAGCGTCCATTTCAGATGCCTCTGTGACTCTGTGTTCTACACCATTATGCTGGAATATCAGCGCACGAGGTGTGCCCCATCGATACTTCATTCCTTGGGATGTGAGCATGGATGCCAGGGGTCTCAGCGACTTCCTCCACTGTAATGTTGAGTGGGAGAGGTCAGCATAGAACGTGAGGTCCATTTCTTCAAAGTGGTATGGGGTCTTCCCCCTGGTGGCTTGTAAGATGGCTGCTCTGTTTTCCCCGTTTTGAAATTTAGCAAGAGGTCACTGGTGGTTGGGGCTGTGTTGGACTGAGGCTTGGGCAGACGAAACATTCCATCCAGCTGTATGCCCTTTGCTGTTTTAAAGGGGTAGTAATGCCGTGAACAGCCTACGTAGGAAGTGTGGCATCTCTGCCATAGTAACGGAGTCCAATATGCCTCTGATCTTCAGGTGTTTCCACCTCCTCTAATCCTCTAAAATTGCTAGCTGGCTGTCAAAGTTAGCCTGAGCCGTGGTGAGGTCCCTCACCTGCTTCTGTAGGTCTGCGATTTGGGGAGTGTGCTCCTCCACTGCTTGTTCCACCTTGGTTAAACGAGCTGTGAATCCCCTGACATCCTCCCGTACTTGGGATATATCTGCAGAGAGACTTTGTCGGAGGTCAGCCCAAAGGTTAGCAAGGATGGTCGTATTAAGTGGGATTGAGCTGCTGTCCGCCTCCGGAGGTGGCTTGGGGGGTCCCTGGAAGCCCAGAGCTGCTGGGTTATGCGGGGTGATCTCTTCCAAGACGTCAGAGAAATCGTCCAGCACGTCCGCCATTTCTGGCCCGCTTGCACAATGCGGCCTTCTAAAGAGTTCACTGATGTCAGCCGTGTACCCGGGCCGGTCCAGCCTTGTTTTTTTATCCTTCTGCCCCATCTGCTTACGGACACCGTCGGCTATGTCCAGGGCAAACTGGGCTCCAGAAAGGTACCTTTTTTAAAGCTTCTGCTGTGCTTTTTCGACGGAGCTCCGCAGACATGCGACCGCTCAGATCGTGAGTTAGCTCCGCCCCCCACTGATAGACATTTTAATGTCAACTGTACACAACATAATATGAACATTAAGACGTAAAACCTGCATCAAAACTCATTTGATATTGGCAAGCTGAAACGGAGCTGTGAATTACAGTCACAGGAGACAACAATACTTACCCCCTTCCAGTGGCTCTGGTCACCAAGCAGCCAGAGTTAGAGAGCATCCACTGGCTTCCCTCAATAGATTCATGACATATGCAGTTGTTAGGCAAATCACAGCTTTCTCACCATAGAATACCAGAGATGTATTCCATAGGTGCAAGCAATGGTGAGGTCTCAAAAATTAAAACAAATATGTTAAGGGACTGGTAGCAAAGTGACTTGGACAGAGTGTGGGCAAGCCTGCTTGAGGAGGAAGATGGCAATGACATGGGGATGGAGTTGTCATTGGTCACAGAGCATGTGACATAAGGAGGCAAAAGGGATTGAAATGCACTCATGCTTACACACTGAGCTACCACCCAAACCTTCTATTCTGTCTTAGATTAGACTCAACTTTATTATCATTGTACAGTTTCCATACAAAGACAATGAAACAGTTTGACTCCGACCAGAAATACAGAAGCAATTGATAAAAATACAGTAAGATAGAGAATGTGACTCAGTAAAACTTATAGTGGTCCACTTTATAATATCTAAAAAATATAATCAGAGTCTGCCTCAGAGTCTAACTAGTGGGTAAGTGATTAGCTTCTTTGAGTCATATCACTATAACAAAAACCTAATATAAAGGTGTACCAGGATAGAGAGGTATGGGTGTAAAATATAAGCATTTCGGTTGAAAAACACAATAAACAAAAGACAAAGGCACAGAAAAGGAAAGAAAGTAATTTTTCTAAGGATTATATTACCTAAAGGAAAATAATAAAACAATATAACAAATAGAGTTAAAAAAACAAAATGGCCACACAAAAAAAAAAAGACACAAAATGGCAAGCATCTAAGAAAAGGCGCCAGAAAGCATAACAGAAAAGCGCCTTTCCTTTTTTTCACCAAATCCAACAATTAACAAAACAAACCTGGAGAAATCGACTATCTCTAATATTCCTCTAGAAGAAAGCATTAAAGTACAAAAGGAGGAAACCCAGGAATTTAGCAAAGTGAAGCAAGAAGCAAATATGATTTACTCAGACATCTAGATACACAATTCGGGAAATTAAGAGAAGAAATTCAAGCCAATACTATAGACATCAAGACAGAACTGCTGACCCTTAACCAACAATTTCAAGGAATAAAAGAAAAACTTAAAGGACTAGAATATAGTGAAAACATCCATAAAGATGAACATCTGGTGCTAGAGAAAAAGATGGCTCACATGGAAGATAAACCGACAGAATTAGAATACCAGTCAAGACGGAATAATTTAAGATTTAGCGTAGTACCAGAACAAATAAATCAAACAATTTGGAACCATATAGAGGAAGTCTTTAAACACTTGAAGCTTAAATGGGACCATAGAATCCCTATGATGGAAAGATGTCAGAGTATATAAACCTAAAGGAGTCCCAGAACATCTCCCAAGGGACGTAATGATATGCAAATTCCTCTAGAATTAAGATGCAAATTCTAAGAGCCATAAGAAGTAATGGATGTACAGAAAAATATGAAACCCGAAAAATATTCCACAATTTGTTATGGTCAACCAGACAAAAGAGGAAAACCTTTGCTGAAGGCACATGGACCCTGAGACAGAACAACATCAATTACCGTTGGGAGTTACACATAAAAATTATTATGACATGAAGGGAAACTCACCTATAGCAATAGCGCAGAAGACCTGAAAAGCTAGCTAGATAAAAATGAAATTGGAATTTGCCCCAGCCATTAGCCAAAAATTGGGAGGCTCTAAACATTCAAAGAAATGGAGAAGGAGAGGAAGAAGAGGGGGTGGAGGAAGGAAGATGGAGAGAAGGGAGAAATAACAAGTAGTAGAAATTTTTAACTTCCCTGATAAATAAGGAAAATAACTTTTTTTTTTTTTTTTTAAATCTATATTACACATTAGGGATCTATGGGATACACTAATATAGTAAATAGAATTTGGGGCAAATAAATAAACAAAATAAAGAACTATAGACCACAACTAAAAACTTATCAAATAGGCACTCCATAAAGGAATTAATGCACAATAAGAAGGAACATTTTTTACACTAGGATCATGAATAAGAAGGAAATTAAGAGAGAAATTCACCAAAGAAAATAGGGGTAAAGAGAAGGAAGGAAGAAAAGGAAAAAAAAAAGTTAAAAACACAGAAAATACACAAATAAATAGGGAGGACGGCAAAGTTGTCTACTCGAGATACTGTATGGCGAGGTTAGCCGCCATACATCATACTTGTTTCAGATCAACCAGTCTTCTTTTTATGTAAACACTAATAAAGAAAGGTTTTTTGATTTCTATATATGTATGGTAACACTTGGAAAGAGAAAGCCCCAAAAAACAAAAAGAAACCATAAATCAAGTTGATTTCTATAAATGTCCAGAGGGATTAAAAAGGTCTATAATTGTAGATTATTTGATTTATATTTATTTTTGCAAAAAAAGTTTCCCTAGTTATTCAATATCAAGAACTAGATCCAGAGGGGCAATATATTATCTCAGGGCTTGACAAAATTTGTTTGGAATCTAGGAGCCAGCAAAAAAAGTTAGGAGCCAGTTTTTTTGTGTTTTTTTTTTTTTTAAAGGGGCACTATGGTCACCAGAACCACTACAGCTTAATGTAGTGGTTCTGGTACCTATAGCCTGTCCCTGTAGCCTTTTCAATGTAAACGCTGCCTTTTCAGGGGACCCGAGGGAGAGAGAGATGGGGGGGAACCTGAGGGAGAGAGAGATGGGGAAGGGGACAACCTGAGGGAGAGATGGGGAAGGGGACAACCTGAGGGAGAAATGGGGACGACGACACCTGAGGGAGAAATGGGGGGGACGACACCTGAGGGAGAGATGGGGAAGGGGAAACCTGAGGGAGAGATGGGGGTGGAAACTGAGGGAGAGATAGGGGACTGAGGGAGAGAGATGGGGGAAACTGAGGGAGAGAGATGGGGGAACTGGAGTGACTGAGGAGAGAGATGGGGGGGAACTGAGTGATGAGAGAGATGGGGGGGAACTGAGGGAGAGAGATGGGGGGGAACTGAGGGAGAGAGATGGGGGGAACTGAGGGAGAGAGATGGGGGGAACTGAGGGAGAGAGATGGGGGGGAACTGAGGGAGAGATATAGGGGGGGAAACTGAGTGTGGGATGGGAGAAAAAAATGAGGGAGGGATGGGGGGAGAGGGGACGACATACACACAGCACCCCTGCCCTACACATATCACCCCACACAAACACACACACATCACACCCCACACACAAACACATCACCCCACACACAAACACATACTCTGTACCCCTCAATGCAGTGTGTGTATTTAGCAGTCTGTGTGTGTGTACTCGGCAGTCTGTCTGTGTGTGTGTATGTGTGTGTATGTGTATTTAGCAGACTGTGTACTCAGCAGTCTGTGTGTATTCAGCAGTCTGCTAAATACACATACAGACAGACTGCCAAGCACACACACAAACTGCTTAATACACACACAGATGTTAATTAGTTTGGACAACTGTATGAGTTGTTTTTTCTAAACTTAAACCTCAATATTCAGGTTTAATTGCCGTTTTGGCACTTTGAGGGGAAAAAAAAATTGGCATGTATTACAGTTTGGGCACTCGGGCTCAAAAAGGTGTCGCCATCACTGATCTATACACTAAAACTGCTTCATTAAGCTAAAGTTGTTTAGGTGACTATAGTGTTCCTTTAAGGCAAATAAACCAGCCCATAAATCTATAGACAAACTTAAAATAAAGATCACTCCAGGCCCAGATGGCTATACAATACATTTTACAAACTAATGAAAGATCAACTACAAGGGGAACTCACTAATATTGTTAACTACTTAATGGAAACAGGAGACTGTTCTGAAGAGCTGTTGAGGGCAAACATTGTGCCCATCCCAGAAGCAGATAAAGACCTGGAAAATATTATAGACCCATATCATTCATTAATACAGATATTAAACTACTATCTTCCATTCTAGCTGATAGATTAAAAACAGTAATACCACAACTTATTAATAATGAGCAAGTCGGATTTATACCAGGGAGGTCCTCAATTAACAACCTTAGAAAAATAATAAACATACTGGAGGAAGCGGAGAGCAGTGGAACCCCTCTAATGTTTCTGTCAATAGACGCAGAGAAAACGTTTGACAGGGTTGGATGGGATTTCATGTTCGCTGCTTTAAACCGGTTTGGCATCACTGGACCAATCTTACAAGCCGTGACTGCTCTCTACAGCTCTTCATCAGCTAATATAATAGGGTCAGGATTTACATCACAAAATGTTAACATCAAAAAAACAGGACCAGACAAGGGTGTCTCTTGTCTCCTTTACTGTATATAATGGTGCTAGAACCCTTAGCAAATTTAATAAGACAGAATAAAACAAATTAAGGGATTCACAAATTCACTAGGACAAACTAAATTAAATATCTATGCAGATGACATCCTATTAACATTAGAAGAACTAAACACTGGGCTCTCCAAAAACAGTGACAGGCTAAAATATCTGGGTATCAACATAACTACAGAATTAACAGATTTAATAGAAGCTAACTTTCTTCCCCAAGCAACCCACTGCCAACAAACCAGCCACTGCCAGCCAGCTCAAGATCATGTAAACTGAACTGAGTGCCAACATTTCAGCTTACATGGCCTTCTTCAAGGACGCCACCTCACGCTTCACACTACTCATGATTGGCCTCAGTGGAGCACAAACTCAAGAAACTAGCAAAACACCAACTGGCAACCACTGATAAACTGGCTGGTAAACGCCTTAGAGAATCAACGGAGGCATTATAATTTAAAGATTCGGGACATACCGGACTCTGAAGGCCTTAGTGATTTACCTCACTTCGTCCAATGCCTGATGTTCCTCCTGCAGTCGCCACAACAAGCCACGGTGGTGTAGCTGCCTGCCTGCCGAAGCCAACAATGGTACCATAGGGTGCACATGCTGACCTAATTGTCTATTTCCAATTCCTTCTTAGGGCTGCAACTGTGGGAAGACCCCCTTGCAGTTTGAGGGCTCAATGCTCGCCTTGTTTCTGGACCTCCCTAGAAGCATCACTAGGTGGCATAGAACCTTGCAACCACTCCTATGACTACTTTCTTCAAGGAATAGCCGCTACAGGTGGGGACTCCCCAAAAAGCTTCTATTTACCCACCTGGGCAACTCCTATAGAGCATTAAGATGCCAGGAACTTGAGACCAACCTACACATATTGGGCCTAGTGAAGCCCCTGAGAGCGGAAGGAACGGGTCTGTCCGGCTTAGACCCTTCTGCTGTAACAGAGGTTATACTCAGAGCAGCTTACCATCCAACGCTTCCACACCCTAAGAGAGACATCTCTCCTGTCCCAGAAAGAACTGTCCAACTTCCACCTAATGCTGATGTTTTTTACGTTCATTTTTTCTGTTTGTTTTCTGTTTGTTTTATACGTGTACTGCTAGGACAGGGGTAGGCAACCTTAGGCACTCCAGATGTTGTGGACTACATCCCCCATAATGCTCTTACACTCATAATGCTGGCAAAGCATCATGGGAGGTGTAGTCTAAAACATCTGCAGTGCCAAAGGTTGACTATGCCTGTGCCAGGACATAGCACTGTCAATTTAAAAAATACAGCACTACTCACATAACGGATACACTACAGTTCTAACGCTTGTTTGGCTTCAACTTAACATCTCTCTCTCCCCCCTTCCCCCCCACTGTTACCTACTAGTGTATACTTTGCCCACCATTGTGGTGAAGGGAGGGAGGGTGATGTCCCATGAGGATCTAGCATTATTAAGGGACAACCCCCGATGTGATCATACCCATTAAGGAACTGCTAGTAAGCAAATATTGGCTTATCACTCATGCTTCAATTTGACTCCACAAAAACCCATTCTACCAGTTTTCCTCTGATGATTATTTGCTGATACTTTAATTTGTCTGTATTTTGCAACTTAACATATCTGTTGATGGCATACTCACATGTGGAATGTCATAAATAAAGAATAAAAATTTAAAATAAAACTACAAATACATTTAATTCAATACAGACTAAATAAACTGCCTAATTGTCAACAATACAGCTATATCATGTGAAATAAAGCACATACCACAATTCAATTAAACACGTTACTATGTTATTATTTATATAGCGCCAACAAATTCCGCAGCGCTTTACAGTGGGTAGACAAACAAACGTGTAGTTGTAACCAGACAAGTTGGACACACAGGAACAGAGGGATTGAGGGCCCTGCTCATTGAGCTTACATGCTAGAGGGAGTAACTCAAAAGGTAGGCTAATGACCGTTGCAAGATAGGAATCGGTCGGTGATATTAACCGTTTAATTGATACGCTTTTATGAAGAAGTGGGTTTTTAATTATTTTTTTGAAGGACTGGAGACTGGGTAAGCATCTAATGGAGGAGGGAAGTGAACGGTGCACCCCTAAAGAAGTCTTGAAGGCGAGCATCAGAGGTGGGAGTAAGGACATTAGCTGGACGTAAGTCTTCAGCAGAGCGTAAGGGCCTAGACAGAACATACTTGTGTAATAGGCAGGATAGATAGGTGGGGTCAGCATTATGTAGAGATTTGAAAGCAAGAACCAGAATTTTAAATTGAGCCTTATATCTTACAGGAAGCCAATGTAGGGACTGACAGAAGGGTGAGGCGTGGGAGGTACAGGCGGACAGGAAGATGAACCTTGCTGCCGCATTTATTATGGAATGTAATGGCGCAAGTTGGGAGCACGTAAGACCACTGAGAAGCAGATTACAGTAGTCAAGGCGAGAAAGGACAGTGGAATGGACCAGCACCTTAGTCGCATCTGGCGTTAAGTAGGGTCGGATGCACGCAATGTTTTTGAGATGGAATCGGCAGAATTTGGCGATCGACTGAACATGAGGCGTGAAGGAGAGGTTGGGGTCAAAGAGAACACCTGGGCAGGGAGCCTGAGTGGTGGAGCTGATGGTAGCACCGCTGACTTGGAGGGAGACAGTCACAGGAGTAGCAACACTTGAGGGAGGAAATACCAGAATTTCAGTTTTGGTCAAATTGAGTTTAAGGAAGTGGGCAGCCATCCAGTTAGAAATAGCAGAGAGGCAGTCAGAGACACTAGTCAAGAGGGTCGGGGAGAGATCAGATAGATTTGCGTTTCATTAGCATAGAAATGATATTGGAAGCCAAAGGAGCTAATGAGTTTACCAAGGGAGGCAGTATAGGGGACCAATAGGGTGAAGAGAGTAAATGTGTGAAATAGTCGTTTGGGTACACGGGAGAGTGTGGTTATGAGGGTATTTAAGTAATTTACTATTGTGTGTGTGGAGAAGGTGAATGGCCCTGGATAGGGAGAGACATCACCAACTGTTAGAAGCAGGAGGAGAGAAAGTGATAGGAGGAATAAATGGCTTTTGTATGCATGGGGTCTAGGATGAGATCGATTGTGGGTAGGAGTGAGAGAGTAGAAAAATGAGTGCAAGGCATGAGATGAGAGAAGGGGGGAGTGTAGCAGAGAGGGGCATATGTAAAAGTGGTTGGGGGGATGAGTGCAGTGGGTGTAAGAAGAGATGTTTATACTGAGGTAGAAGGAAGAAATAAAGAGGAGGAGAAGACAGATCATTGCTAAAGTGTGAAAAAGTAAATTGGAAATAATTGGATTATCAAGAGCAGGTGAAGGTAGGGTAAATATTAAGTTTTATGAGTTCAAGAAAGTGCAGGAGTGTACAAATAAGAGGCAGTGTGCACACCTGTTATTTTTACTTACCTAAGATTTGGGTGTGACAGAATCTATAAATGTCATAATGAGCATGGGGTGGGGTGGTGATGGGAGGGTGGGTATCAGACTTTCTTACAGCAGTATTAGGGCTTCATAGTTTTGAAATAAGGTGTGCGTATTGCAGACGATCAGCTGATGGAGCACAGAACTTTCTTACAGCAGTATTGGGGGCTTGATAGTTTTGAAATCATGTTGTTGAATAAACACATCAACCGTACACACAAAGCACAAAATGTAGACCCATTGACTATTAATATGCAGTGCTAATTGTGAGCACAGGCCACTTGCATAAAATGCAAGATGTGAGCAAAAAAACATTTGCGCACAGAGTATAATATACGCACATAAGACATGTGCATGAAGTGCAAGATGCGAGGATATAGACCATGTGCGTCAAGTACAAGATGTGAACAGATAGATCAGGATCATAAAGTGAAATTGTAAAAACCACCACACACACACACATACACACACACGTTCTCCACTTATTCCCATCCACATTCATGCACACGGCTATGCACAAAATATGACCCTGCAAACACACAGGACATACTATGGACAAAACCAATATGCTGCCTAAGAGGCAGAAGTATAACTGCATTGTTCGATCTTATGTCTCTCTTATTTCTCTTGGCAATGCCCCATAGATTCTCTATGGGGTTCAGGTCAGGCGAGTTTGCTGGCCAATCAAGCACAGTAATCCCATGGTCAATGAACCAGTCTTTGGTGCTTTTGGCAGTGTAGGCAGGTGCCATGACCTGCTGGAAAATGAAGAAGGAAGCATGAAGTGCTCCAAAATCTTCTTGTAGACGGCTGCGTTGACCCTGGACAATGAGGTTGTTCAGGTGAGAACTATAGCTCCCTGCAGCCTCTCTCATGTAAACACTGTATTTTCTGAGAAAATACAGTGTTTACATTGAAAGCTAGGAACACCTCCAGTTGCAGTCACTCAGAGTGAACCAGAGGGACTTCGGAGTTGATGAAGGCATAATATGCTTCCATCCACTCAGATCTTCTGTCAGCAGAGCACAGGGCAGCACTGTGCACAGCATCCTGTTATTCAGTGTCTCCTCCCTCTGCATGCAGACACTGAACTTTCCTCATAGAGATTAATTGATTCAATTCATCTCAATTCATGAGGAGATGCGGATTGGCCAGGGCTGTGATTAAATCATGCTGGCTCTGCCCCTGATCTGTCTCTTTGTAAGTCTCAGCCAATACTATGGGGAAGCACTGTGATTGGATCAGGCTACCACATGTCAGCAGACTGCTTATTTTTCTGAGTATAACAGCATGCAGATTTACAGCTTCAGGCTTGAATAAAGTAAGATTTTTACTATATTTATGGAGGCATGAGGGGCCCAGAGGGGCTAGATGGTGGTGTTAACACTATAGGGTCAGGAATACATGTTTGTGTTCCTGACCCTATAGTGATCCTTTAATGAAGCACAGTGGACCAACAGCAGCAGATGACATGGCTCCCCAAATCAACACAGACTGTGGAAACTTCACACTGGACTTCAAACAACCTGCAGTGTGTGCCTCTCCATTCTTCCTCCAGACTCTGGTTTCCAAATGAGATGCAAAAGTTGCTCTCATCAGAAAAGAGGACTTTGGACCACTGAGCAACAGACCAGGTCTGTTTTTCTTTAGCCCAGGTAAGACGCTTCTGACGTTGTTTGTTGTTCAGGAGTGGCTTGACAAGAAGAATACGACATCTGAAGCCCATGTCCAGGATCCGTCTGTGTGGTGGCTCTTGATGCACTGACTCCAGCGTCACTCAACTCCTTGTGAAAGTCCCCAACACTTTTGAATGTCCTTTTCCTGACAATCCTCTCCAGGCTGCGGTCATCCCTGCTGCTTGTGCACCTTTTTCTTCCACACTTTTCCCTTCCACATAACTTTCTATTAATGTGCTTTGATACAGCACTTTGGAAACATCCAACTTTCTTCGCAATTACCTTTTGAGGCTTTCCCTCCTTATGGAAGGTGTCAATGATGGTTTTCTGCACAACTGTCAGGTCAGCAGTCTTCCCCATGATTGTGATTCCTAGTGATCCAGACAGAGACCATTTAAAGGCTCAGAAACCCTTTGCAAGTGTTATGGCTTACTTAGCTGATTAGAGTGGGACACTGTGAGCCTAGAATATTGCACCTTTTCATAATATTCTAATTTACGGAGATTGTAGATTTGAGGTTTTCATGAGCTATAAGCCATAATCATCGCACTTATGACAAATCACGGCTTGAACTATCTTGCTTTGCATGTAATGCGTCTATCTCATATATTAGTTTCCCCTTTCACGCTGCATTATTGAAATAAATGAACTTTTGCACGATATTCTAATTTTCGAGTATCACCTGTATATTTATGTTCCATAATAACAGACAGAAAAAAAATGTATCGTTTGCACTCACCAACTCTATCTGGAAGAACTTCAAGGGCAGATACTCTTTCATCCTTATGAAGTTCTAGTCCATAGACACAATCAAACCCATCATACTTTATAAGATATAGAGAAGGGTTGACTGGCACTTGATCCAAAACAGTTCCTTTCCACTGTGTTGTCGGTCCACTGCCTTCTTTCCACCCATGCTGTATCCTACAGCCAACGATATTTCTTCTAGGCTGTGAAATAGGTTTACTTGGTCCCATATTGCTTCGATGTTTTCTGAGGCAGAGAGGAGGAGAGAAAAAAAATTAGTACGTTTCTGGCCATGTAAAACAAACACTTTAATAAAGAAATTTTGCAGGAGCATCATCATTTGTCATCATATAAAAAAAAGGACTGGGTTTATTACAGTTGTTGGTGTTTACAGTTAGTGAACACTACAATAGGTACGGGCATTATACTTTGAGAAAGGGGCTGTTTCCCTAAAATATCCATATGTCAATGTTCTACAAATAATTTCATTTTTTTGCCCTACTTGTAAATGTATGTCTATTGACTTGACACACTGCTTAAATGATACTCTAGTCCTCTAAAGGATTTCCGATGGCTGAAATGCTTTAGGACTTAGTCAGTATTGCTCTCTTATTTTATAAAACTGCTGAAGTGCTTTGTTCAACAAATACTTCTCTAAGTGAAGAATTCATTTGAGGAGTGCATCATTTGAGAAGCATTGGATTGGTCCAGAGATCATCAATATTGATAATATCCCAAGGGCTGAGAAGAGCTGTGGTGAGAATGTGGTCTTACCACTGAAATTTTTTTTTTTTTTTTTTTTAATAAACAGTGTAGAGCCCTAAATCTACACAAAAACGTGACACTCCAACATTAGAAACATATATAAAAAAAATACGGTATTTAGCTAAAGTTAATTTGTACACCATGCTTAGGAAGTTTAGTGCCAAAGAGGTGCCAAATCTTTGCCAGATACCGCAAAGCACCAATTCTAAGGCACAACTCATGGTGCTGATGACTGGGTACCCCCTAAGGATTTCACACCTGACATCTCTGAGTTTACTCCTACTCCAAGAATTCAGGCTGACTTGTCTCACCATAGCTCGCTATATGCAGCTATTCTAGGGGGATGATATCTTAAGAGGGTTATCACACAGATATTTACACCAAGCAGTATCTGGCACAAAGCAAAGATAGTATCATCGTCAGAAAAGGGAGCTGGTACCCTTCCCGTGTACCAGAATATAAGCAATTCTGGGCACTAACTAGTCATAATCAAAAAGGCCATCATTAGGATGTATTGGTTCAAAAACCCAGTATGTAGCACCCCCGTTTTTTCCCAGACCTCCCCCACCCCCCAGTCAACAGTGTTCTCCCCCACCTACCCCCCCATCCCTTGTCCCATAATGTTCTGTGTGGCAAATGCATACAACGAGGGTATCCTCATACTCGGCAGATGTAGCTGAATACAATATGGGGTTTTGTACACGAATAGCACACTTCAGCTTTCCAAAATACACATATTTATAAAAAAAAAAAAAAAAAGTTAAATGTGTATGTTAAAAAAAAAACAAAAAGACAGGCTAACTGCTGAGCAGGATGGCTGCATAGTTCCTTGCTCTGGCACATGAGCTCACAATCCGCTGCAATCCTAGCATCCAGAACCACTATACAAACACCAAACACCAAATATATCTCTCCACAAAGGCAGAAAACAAGCTGGGAGGGCTGAAAAGCTGAATTTCTTCGGCCAGAAAAACAACCCTGGAGCACGGGCCTCGCAGGCCGAAATTCAAGATGGCTCAGAAACGGGCACCAATACGCCAGACGTGGATGACTCTTTGGCCGCTGAATCGGTGACTGAACCAGTGACTCAAACCTACCTGACAAGCCCTAGAAGTGCTATCCAGCAAATTGATCTCAAGCTGGCAATCCTCGTTCAACACCCTGAGGCACATTATACAGGAGCTGGGGTCCAGAACATCCCACATGGAAAGCAAACTAGATGAATTTGCCACGGCACACAATGATCTGGCGACCCACGTGGAAGAGATAGAGCAAAAAATGGTCCAGATACAAGCTAAACTCATGGACAATGAAGACAGGGCACGCAGGAACAATCTTAGGCTCCGGGGGTCTCAGAAGAGGTGCAACCTGCCGACCTACCTGCATATGCGAGAGGCCTGTTGCATGCCTATGCCCCAGAAATCCCAGCAGACTTGCTACTGGTGGACAGAATCCACCGGGTACTGAGACTCAAACACTTACCTGAAACAGTTCCGCGAGATGTACCCCTCAGGGACCACTACTACCACATTAAAGAACATGTCTTGATAGCAAGCCGTAACGCATCTCAACCCCCAGAGAACTACTCCAGTGTTAAAATATTTGCTGACTTGTCGGCGGCAACGCTCAGCAAGCGAAGGACATTTGCCCCAATCCTGGAAGTGCTGAGGGACCAAGGCATAAGATATAGGTGGGGATTAAATAAATAGTGGAGATCCCAGGAGTAGCTTCTGAACACACAGAATAAGCAGTATAGTTGCCAGATCATAAGAAAAAATGGGGATGGGGGAGGACACATATGAATGGGTGGGAGGATAGAGAAGGTGGAAGAGAACAAAGAAACCCTATCTACATCTTATGCTCCCCACAGCTTGCTATCCAATACAGCAAAAAAGTGTCACTTTATGGTAAGAGATAAAGAGAGGTCTAGCCGTGCATCCCAGAAATGACTCCCAAATCTCAGGACACATAAGCTGAATAGATTAGAAAAAGCAGGCAACCCAGAATATGTGTTACATAAAAAAAAAAAAAAAAAAACACTAGCATTAAGGCAGGCAAGAAGGAACCTGTAAACTTAAAAAAGGGAAGGGAAGGAAAAAGGGCAGACCCGATATGGACAAACCCTGAATCCAGAAAAACACCACAGGACCAAAAAATGCCTGCCTAAAAAATCTTAGTACAAAGTCATAGGCTGACTAACTAAACCAAACATACTAACTACCTAAGTGCTAGTGTAAAAATGAAAAAAATAAAGAAAGAAAAGCGCTCGACGCGCGTTTCAGCGTGAATACACACCGTCGTCAGGAGCTATTTTTTCATTTTTACACTAGGTAGCACTTAGGTAGTCAGTATGTCTGGCAACTATACTGCTTATTCGGTGTGTTCAGAAGCTACTCCTGGGATCCCCTTGTTTCAAGGGTCTCCACTATTTATTTATTATTTCTCTGGGTTACCCCCTACACTGTAGCTCTGAGGTAGGCTACTTACAAGATAGATTCCACCATTTCACATATTACTGTGACTGTGTGGATCTATCTTTCTATTTTCTTTTACATATAGGTGGGGATTTCCCACGAAAGTGTTGGTGATCAAAGATGGAGCCATCCAGACACCAGAAGAGAGACGTCGGAGACTCCGGTAACGGAATCTGCCTGCCCCAAGAACCCCAGAGACGCAAGGATCGCAGAAAGACAGGCTGCCGCTAGAATGGAGAAACGCAGCGCAGAGACGTTAAGTTCCAGAAACGGAGAGACTTGGTTATCTAATCGCAAGTATACCTTGCACCATATATGTGTTGAGTTAGTTAGACATTGTGATAATGCTTATATAACCGGATAGGTCACAATCAGAGATATAGGACCCCCAGCCCAATTGCCATAGGCCAATTAGCAGAATAGCCCAGTTCTGAGGTACGCAAAACATCACTTCCACGACACATAACCGCTCAGACCAGGCCCCACAGAGAAGATACTCTGAGTACCCCCCCAATCTAGGGCTATAAGAGTCCCTATCGCACGGTAACTGGCAACAGGTGTTGCGTGGGAGTAAACACACCTGCCCACCCCTACCGCACACCATCAGTCACCACACGTGGCAGTTAAAGAGGACACCGGATGGGGGGGAATCCCACAGCTAGGAGTACACCCAGGGCCTAAGGGAAACCAGCCAAACCGATTGAGCAAGGCTACACCGTAACGCAACACAACCCGGGTGACGATATGATCCCTCAAAGCTGGGTGGGCATCCAAGGATGCCCCATTGTGAGTAATATCGCTACACGAGGGTCAGTTACGTGCATGGGCAAGATTAAATGTTAAATGTTAGTTGTGATAAATGTTATATGTCCGGTATTGTCTGATGTTAGCATGATATAACTCAAATGCACAATGTTACAAATAGGTTCTGGTTCTTTTCCCAAACAATGCCTCATAGAGCTCGTTAGCCACAAATACGGAGGTCGATAGCCTCCATCCCTCACACACCCATACGGAGTGCCTTCATTTTACTGTGGCAGTTAGCCCTGCGCACGGCGTTTGTACACACTTTCTTTTCCTTTTCTCATACTTAGGCCTTGTTCTGGCCAACCCCCTAACCACACCCCATCCTTCCTCTGAGACAAGGGAGACGCACCCTATACCTGAAACAAAACATAGCATCCATTGGGTACACTGCACAGATGGAATAACACAGAGAGGTGGGCTGCATTGCTTGTTGCAACTGGGTCATGCAGCGCCCTCTAATAGAACTAATTTGCTAAACCTAGCTCTGATATTCACGACGGGGTTTAGACCCCCATGAAGATATATACACACAACGTAAGGGGACTAAACGTAAAAAGACACCACCTGAGCAGAGAACTTGGTTCACAGAGAGCGGATGTTGTATGCTTACAGGAGACCCATTTCAAGAAGATGAATAACCACCCAAAACTCCTGAGTAGGGAATACCCCCACCAATTTCATGCTACCTCCCCAACGAAGGCAAAAGGAACGTCTATACTGATTAGCAGACATGTGGCGTTCACACCCCACTCACATGCACTAGATAGGGAGGGCAGATATGCAAAGGTCATAGGCACGTTTAACGGAATACTGTACACTATCGTCAACATTTATGCACCCAACTTTGAGCAAACAAACTTCCTTCACAAAATCCTCACCACAATAGTAGAAAAACAACAGGGCATTACGGTAATATGGGGAGACTTCAATCATGTCTTAGACCCATCTATTGATACTACTCTCCCTGCACACAGTCCCAGACTTAGACCCGTAAAAAGGCAATACATAAATTGCTCCATGCATACCATCTATATGACGCTTGGAGACTACTACACACTAGCAAAAAAGCCTTTACGTTCCACGCTTCAGTACATAATTCATACTCGCGTATTGATGGCTTCCTTCTAAAGGGTCAGGCGTTAGACCAAATGACTCAATGTGAAATTGGGGGGATATCCTGGTCCGATCACGCCCCGGTGACTAACACTTAAAGATGCCTATGATCCTACCCACTGCAGCCCATAGAGATTAAATGAGTTTCTCCTGAAAGACACCTCATTCACAAAAGACCGACACACAGATGAGACTGTTCTTCTTGGAGAATAGTCCTGACGAGACCACCCAGACGAACATCTGGCAAACACACAAAGCAGTCATCCGAGGCTTACTGATAAGGAGGGCCTCATACCTTCCTAAAAGATCACAAACACAATTAGTGGGCTGGCAAAAAGACCTCCAGAACTTAACCAGGCAGAACCAAGTAACCCCATCCACCACCCTGCAGGCCAAAATTCAACATATAACTAGGCAAATTAACCAACAGGCCCTAGAGAAGACAGGATATAAATTACATAAACTTACAAGCATCACACTATGCCCAGGGCAACAAAGCGGGCAAGATGTTTGCAAATAGACTACAAAACCAGCAAGCCATCCAAAAAAACCCCCCTAAAAACGCCCACCTAATAGGAGGGGAAAAAAATTATAGCTCCGAAAGACATCAGCAACAAATTTGCCAGGTACTATGCCTCGCTATACAATCTAAAACATGACGCATCCCTCCACCAGCCGACACTCCCAGACATAGAGCGATACCTAGACCCTCTTCCCCTGCCCAAACTAACGGAAGAACAAAGCCAATTACTTTCCTCCCCAATCTTAGAATCTGACAAAAGCAATACTTGCACTGCCCAACAATAAAGACCCGGATTCACTAATTGCTACTACAAATGCTTCAGATACACCCTAACCCCACATTTGACAGCAACCTTTAACAAAGCCATTGACCTAGGTACACTTCCAGGAGAATGCCAGCTAGCACATATAGTGACACTCCCCAAACCCGGCAAGCTACCTACCCAGCCCCAAAACTTTCGCCCTATATCCCTGCTTAACACAGACATCGAGCTGTTTGCTAAAGTGCTAGCGGCTAGGCATAGTCTTACCAACCATAATTGACTCGGACCAAGTGGGATTTGTCAAGGGACGCCAAGGCAGCGACAACACTAGAAAGGTCTTAGACATAATTTGGGGACTGCAAGGCACACAGAAGGAAGGCTTAATAACTTCCCTCGACACAGAAAAAGCCTTTGACCGCTTGCACTGGGGCTTCATGGAAGGGGTCCTGAACAAATTTAACATCCTGGGGAGATTCAGGTCAGCAGTCAGGTCCCTGTACTCTGCACCCTCAGCGAAGGTGTTAAATGCTGGCTTCTTATCAGACCCTTCCCCCATGACGAACGGATCTAGACAGGGGTGCCCACTATCGCCGTTGCTCTATGTCATGGCGCTAGAGCTGCTGGCGCTTCAAATTAGACAACACGACCGAATACACAGAGTGACGATAGGGCACAAACAATACAAGGCCAACCTATTCGCAGATGACATACTCCTGGACCCAAACACATCACTACCTAACTTGCTAACACTGATGGGAGACATTCATATTACAAGCTGAACGTAACCAAGACCCAAGCCATGTACCTGGGGCGGGACTCGACACAGAGAGGATGCAGAAAACATACCCCTTTGACTGGAGGGAAGACTACCTAACCTTCCTAGGCATAAAATTAACTAAAAAGCTTACCTCGCTGTATAAATACAACTATGAACCACTTATACAGAGTTTTACCTCCACTATGCAGAAATGGGAGGGCTGCTTCTTATCATGGGTGGGAAGGATAGCAGCAGTGAAAATGATATTGATCCCGAAGTTCCATTACCTTTTGCGAACACTACCCATACCCCTCTGGAAACACGTACCTCACTAAGCTACAGAGAACTCTGGTTCGATTCATTTGGAACAAGAGCAAACCCAGAGTGACCAACACGATACTAATCAAACTCAAGAAAAAGGGAGGATTGGGTCTCCCGGACATAAAGTCCTATTATAAAGCGGCGATAATAGCCGCAATAGTACCAATGCAAACCCAGACACACAGACCACAATGGACAGACGAGCCTTGAACATTCTGTCTGGGTCCCAAGGGCACAGAGACGCTGGGCTGCCACAACCCTCTCCACAACACGTCTCAACTTTCAGGTATGGGACGCAGCGAGGGGCTCGCTGTACGTGGTCGGACCAACCTCCCTAGCCACACCGCTACAGAGCGTGGGCATCCAAGTACCAACCTTAGACTATAGATCATGGGTCGAGCGGGGATGCACATGCTTGTACCAGCTGCTCCATGGAAACAAAATTATCCCCTTTCCGGACCTGCAGACAAGGTTCAACTTGCCGAGTAAACTACTGTTCCCATACCTCCAACTAAAGTCTTACATATTAGAAAACTGTAAAGCTGACATGGGATCCACACAGCTGACACAATTCCAAAAGCTATGCATAGCCCTTACCCCCCTGAGTAAAGTACTCTCTACCACTTACACAGCGTTGATAAGTACGCACCCACTAGAGACCAGGTCATACAGGAAAACGTGGCACAAGGAGCTGGGATACACAATCCCGGACGACCAATGGGATAAAGCACATAGAGGTAACAACATGCACAATGCACTTTGAGTTGATGAGAAAACTTATGTACAGATGGTACTACGTACCCGATAGACTTGCCCACATATATCCAAATGTATCCAATAAATGTTGGAGATGCGGGGAGGGAGTGGGTACAATGTTACATGTCTGGTGGTCTTGTCCGAGCCTCCAGGACTTCTGGAAAATGGTCACAAAGGCGGTATCAAATGTTACCCAAACAGAGCAGTGTTGTACCCCGGAGCACTGTTTCTTGTTCATATTACCGAGAGATATACCTAAACCACTGACCAAACGTACTTTCCAGATCTTAATAGCCGCGAACACGTTGCTTGCGAGAGCCTGAAAAACAGGTAAAGTCCCGAGCACAAAAGCCTTAAGGGAACAAGTAACCCTTAACTGGGACTACGAGCAAATGGCGCACTCCTGCATAGCCTCTAACCCCAATACCATCAAAGCCAAATCCATATGGGATAATTATACATGTAAAGCTACTAACGAGAGAAGACCAGGAGCGGGAGGGGCTCTCTCCCCTAAGATAACATAAGATACTAAGGTACGCAGCCAAGAAGTGTACCAACAGAAACACACATGAGCCAACAAAGCATTGATAGAATCATTGACGAGACTACTGCTATAAGCGTCCCCTTCCTACACACCCCCCATCCTCTTTTCTTTTCTGTACCCTGCCCAATTGTCAACCCAGGACGTTAAACCTCAACCACGACTGGTTGAAGAACAGAAAATGTTTAGTTTCTTGATAGAACGGAACAGATGGTAGATACACCCAAAACAGACCCAGAAGAACTAACAAGATACTGGGAGTGTCTCTCTATATTATCTGCATTATCTTTATGTTATTTTTATGTTACCATGTTGACGTGATGTTTTCTTGCCAAACAATGCATCGACAATCACCCCCTGAAACCCCTCTTTCCTTTCTGTACCCCAAAAAATTAATAAAAATTGTCTAATTGAAAAAAAAAAAAAAAACAGAAAAGATCACCCAAGCAATTTTACAACAACATAAAGCACAGATTGGCTGTGAAATAGATACATGAAAAGTGAATAGTCAAAACACCCAGAGGCAAATTACTCTATGATGTCAACTTTATATAAACATATATACTTCTGTGTGGCAATTTTGTTTTCTGTGATGGCTATTAAGCTTATTAGACAAACATAACTTCTAAAATTGTTCTATATTGAAATGGTTTTTTTTGTTTGTTTTTTTTACTCCTTGTTTATTGTGGCCTGCAACTATCAAAATAAACAAATAACGAATGAATGTAATTTAACTTATTTTAAATTAAGTTTCTTAAGCTGCACCTTAACATTGTTAAAATTATTTGGGTTATTTTGGCATTTTTTTTTTCTCTAAAAAATGAGAATTTATATGTATATGCCACATCAAATTAAAGCCACTTTGTCCTTAAAAAAATGTTTACAACGTGTTGGTGTAATAAAAATAAATATATATTTAAATTGCAATTGAACACAAACAGCATAAAATGCAACAATTGCTTGGGTTTTTAAGTCCAAGACAGGCATCTGAAGCCGTGTGTTCTTAAGGTGTTAAAGGACAATTGTCATCAAATTTTCTCTTTTTGTTTCTTATATAGTTATAACATTTAATGAAACTGCATTTTAAGTGGCAGAGCAGCTACGGTTACCTGCCTTTGGCTGCTCAACCTAACTTGCTTGCTGCTGTGATTGCTCTGTGTGAAACTGCAGTAACAAACAAGCTAGATTAAAACAGTAGGCCAATGTCCTGTTAAATGTATGCTGGGGGGAAGGGGGTTAATTGCACTCTTAGATTATAGCGATAGTAACAAGTTCTACACATTATTATATATGTAAGAAAGATATGACTGAATTGCCTGAAATGAAAGATGGTTAGGTTTCTGTATTTGTGACGCTTACTTGTGGGATGTCCTTTTCTTCATCATGCTTGCGGACACACCTGCATGTGCTGTAAGAAGGTATGAAAAAATATCAAAACACACATTACCAATATAAGCAGATACAGCCTTTTTTCTATTCAATCAAATTTTCTCTATGCAGAAAACACATCCACACTATAGGACTTACATGGAGCTAGTACATTTGGTCTACTTATCTATTTTATTGCACATTTTGAATAAGAGATATGTAGAATTTATCCTCTACACATCAGTCTGTAATGGTAATGGTGGTAAGTGTGAGCCGTCATGGGAATTAGATGGATTCCCTGCTCTGTTGCGTTATTCTATGTTTGGGGAAATGTCCCTGAACACAGACATGCGCTCCAGAGCAGGGAATCCCTTAAATCTATGTTTGGAGAAATTAGCCCGAACTTAGAATAGAGGAGAGAAATTAGCCCGAACTTGTTCTGGTGCGTTCGTCTATATTCGGGAAGATTTCCCCGAACATAGAAGAACGCAACAGAGCAGGAAATACCTTAACTCCTCACTTACCAACCAATTCGTTCTACGACCGGGTCGTAGGAATGGAACCCGGTCGGCAAGTGAGAAGTGTCTGTATGTACGTACGTACATATATATTTATTTAGTCTGCAGCCTTTGCAGGCCCTCCCCTTCTAACCCTGCCCAGACTGTCCAACCACAGACTTCACAATGCAGCTCAATGAGAAGTATTTGCAAGGCAGACTTTGAGCATTTGATGCCTTTTGAATTTAGGTCCACTGTGTTAAACAAACCAGGAAGTAACAAGACTTTTGGGCACAGAAAAGTGCCAATTTCTATTAAAAAGTAAAAAAATTTGTTGCAAAAAGTACACATTCTTCATACAAAGCTGAAGTGCTTTAGGGGTCTGTCACTAAGTAAGGAGTGTTAAATAATAAATAGAAAACAAGAATACATAAATAAATAATACTTCATATTTTGTGAGCAGCAAATTAACACTCAGGAGTTGTCCCCTGACATGCAACTCTCAGTTTTGACAAATAAACAAATACAATGGAGGTGTACATAAAAATATATATTAATACTTATCTTCATATTTACCATAGATAGTCTTCATAAACAACAGTGCATATGAATTTTACATACATACAAATATAACTAGTATTTCAGTCTGCATTATTTGTACATTTTCTATTTTGTAGACATATGGACAAACAATTTTATGTAAGAAGACCATCTATGGTAAAGTATTAATATTTTTTTTTATGCAGACATGCATAATATTGGTTTATTTGATGGACAAATGTAAACATTGCCATTGTTTTTACAAATTACAATGCTTATATGTGTCAGCTTGCAGGGACAATTTACAGGCACCAATACCAAATACATTAAGCTGTAGCATTTTTGGTCTTTAGGGTGTCCCTTTAATGATGTAGTAGTTATGGTTTCAAGAATTCCCCCACGCAGAGGAAGTATTCAAACCGTTTAAACGTACACTGTAGGCACTATAATCATTTCATCTAATTGAGTTGGTTATAGTACATTGAGTCCTCTGGTGCTATTACTCTAGTGTTAAACCACTAAATAAGGGTCATTGGCCACTCGGTCTGGCTCCTACTAGATGTATAACAACTATGGCAAAGATTACACAATTCCTTCTAGCCACACCAATTAATATCAGCAGTGGGTGCTGTCATAGGCTGAAATTGGTCAACTGACATTAAAAAACAAGTTGCCCATTTCTGCTCAGACTAATGTGTGCTCACTAGCTTGAGCAGCATAGAATGGAATCTCATTGAACATTAAAAATGAATGTATGGTGGCAGGGAACTCCAGACGCTATAACCACTCAAATGAGACGAAGCAGTTATAGCGCCTACCATGTCCCTTTCAAAACAGAATTACAACTAAACTGGGTCCCCTTAGTCCCATGTTCACATTCTGCAGAAGCAAGGTGCCACCCATGAGCCAAGGACAGCTTGATACATGGTCTCACTTATTGACCAAAAGGACTCAGCTGACACCCTCAGCCCCCACATACATAAATACCCTTAAGACAGAACTTGGGGAAAATATGGTAGGCAGGAAACCACAAAACAAAATGAGTTATTCACTAAACACAGAATTTTGTCAATGGACATAATTTGGTGAAAAACATACTGCAACTGGTTTTGACACTCGTTTCAAGCAACGCCCCAATCTGGTCATATCATCTGAATGAGGACTATTCGATGTGTACCATTCATTGTGTGGTTTAAAATCAGTCGTTTCACAATTAAAAAATAAATAAATAAAAATAGCATATGATATAAAATGGGAGGCATATGATGCCAATCTTATATGCAACAACAAAAACCGTAGTAAAACCTTGCTACCAAAGTAAGCCCTGCTCCAAATTACAGGTGTTAGCGTTAACCGTGGATCTAAACAAGCATCATACCAACACTTCCTGCCTTGTGTACCCCACTAATCTGTGTATTGGTGAATGCTTTTCCTTTGTTACTTTGGTTGCCTAGCAACATTAGCATTGTGAAATCACAGTGAAATTCTCACGATATACAATGTTGTCTAAGATAGAGGAAGGCTTTTTTTCCCCGTTTTCATTCTATTTAGAGATCATTGCATTGCTCATATTGAGCTCCTCAATGGAACCTTAACCCCTTAATGCTGTTACGGTGGTCTATGCCATCATACTTTAAAGGCCGTTATGGCGGCATAGAACGCCGTAATGTTTTGCAGCCCCTGTAGCACCATTTACTTACCTCTGCCAGCGATCCCCCCCATGTTTGAGGGAGTTCCTGACAACCCAGGAAACACCCTGCAGCATACATTCCAAGATACTTAGTGTAACCAAGTACCTTATGTATTTTTGTGTTTATACACATACATGCACGCACGCACGCAAGCACACACAAAATCTACGTGTATATTTATGTAATCTTATTATTTTTTCCCTTACAATTTGAGGGCCCTGGCAATCCAGACAGGAAGGCCACATTATTTAATATGCGCCATATATTTAACCCTTTAACTTTCCAAAAACACATAAAACCTGTCTACAGGGAGTACTGTTGTATTCTGGAAACATTGTTGAACACAAATATGAGTCTTTTCAAACAGTGATCATCAGTGAAAGGGCATTTCTTTGTGTGAAAAATTCCAAAAACAAATATGAACGCTAACTTTGGCCAGGGTTTGTAACTAAGTGGCTACTAAAAAAAAAAGGGCCAAAGGCTGGTTTATCCCTTGCATGCATTTTAATGCAAACACTGTCTTTTCAGAGAAAAGGAAGTGTTTGCATGAAAATGCCTGCAGGGACTCTACTCACCAAAACAACTACAATGAGCTGTAGTTGTTCTGGGGACTATAGTGTCCCATTAATAAAACTTGTATGGAATATTTCTGATAATTACTTACTTGAGGAGACTCCATGCCAAGAATTATTAGAGCCCCAGCGGTCAGGTACTTTGGGAACAGTTCCAGCGTAGTTCCCTCTATCAACTTTAGTAAGGGGATTTAATTTATTTTTTTAAACCCCTTAACACCGTTACGGCGCTCTATAATGTCCCCATTATAATGGGCTTTAAAGCCGTTGCAGCGGCATAGAACGCCGTAATGGCTTGAGCCCCCAGTAGCCTCCAGATACTTACCTTCCCGGTGATCCGCTTAGAGAGGACTGCCTCACAGCCCAGACAGCCCTCCCATGGCAAATCAGGCCCCCCTATAGCTGGCTGTTGATCTGCCTGCAGGGGGACTGTCTGGGCTCTCAGACATTGCCCCTGCTGGTGGGAAGAATAAAAAAATAATAAACATGTTAAAAAGAAAAATAAAAAAAAATTATATTATATACACACGCAACGTCATACGTAGTGTATTTTAATGTTAATATAAGTACATATATTAGAATTAAAACACACTTAGAAAGAAGTTACATATATGTATAAGATATATACATTATATATACACAATACATATATTTTATATTTATATATACACATGTTTAATTACAATAATAAATATAATAAAATATTTTAAAAAATAAAATTATATATAGATATGTAATTTCATTCTAACTGTATTTTGAGAGATAAATATATTTATTGTGACGGACCTCTGGCACTCCGACCGAGTACCTCCGCCAATCGATGCTCCTGGTGCTTGCTGAGGACTCCGAGCACTCCACCAGACACCATAATCACTGCAGACCCCACTTCCAGCAATGCAGCTGCGCTGGGGTCTTGCCGTCTTTCACCCACGCTAGACCCAAGATCAGGGACCAGCTTCCAGTGGGCAGACCTCTCCTAATCCAGAGAGCATATCAGGAACACGCTCTTACAGGAGCTTATACTCAGGGAAGTATTATGTTATAGCAATCCCCAAGAGTGTAGTTATCCCACCCCCCAAACATGAGCCAGGGCTTAATGCTGGGTAGAGATCTGTTTAATGGCACACAGAGCAACAGTATTCATGCAGTAAAACCTCCTGCTCTGAGGAAAACAAACTGACAGTTAAAAGGGTCAGACAGTGTTTGAAAATATGACAGTTATTAAAGGTTTAACTGGTGTTCTGTAGGGGGGATAAAAACTCAAACTAAGTCCATAAAACAGGGGTTTTCTTCACAATTTAAAGCTGCACACTGCTCCAATATAATTTAAAGGGGCAGACAGTACAATAAAATCCAATATGCCTGTCACGTGCGTGGGCTATAGGCCCAGCCGAGACAGTGGGGAGAGTGTGGAAGTGACAGGGATAATGACGCCAGACCCCTGGTTACCTGTTGCTAGTCCCAGCAACCACTCAATTAACCCCTGCAATCCCTTCTACACTAACCCCCTTAGTACACACTTTACTGCCACCACCAAGACTTTAAACCCGGGCGTCTTAGGTTACCCCACACACAGGAGAATTATAGAATCACAGTTCTACTTTTACTGATAAAACATATATAGTTAACCCTTTTTGGTAACGTGTTTACCTGAGCTTTCCTCTGGAGAGTGAAGCTCATAGAGAACAGAGACACAAGCTGATTAAGTAAACATTTAATCTGACAAAAAAGATTCACAGTGCTGAGTACAAAATACAGAAATAAATGACATACAGATAACAAATTGCAAAACAGTACATAAAATAAAATAGGAGAAAACACAAGAAATTCCTTACATATATTTACCCCATATAGAATTCCTGTGGGAGTCTTAGATGGCTTAGGTCTCCTAGAAGTTGCTGACAAAAGAAAAATTAATAACTCTCGGGATAGTCCAGTACCCTCATTAATATATCTGAACTAGTTGTTGCTCAGTGGGCAGACCCCAGGGGGGGGTTGATCAGAGGGGGCTGGTCTGGCAGTTTATTGCCCACTCTATGCAATTCCTTGTGTCCAGCTCTGGTGATGGCTATCTAGATGTTTTATGGTCTAAGCCTGGTGCAAGATCAAAGACCACAATAAACGTCATCCCAAGGTTTACAAAAAAACAACTCTTAACATAGATCAATACATCAAACACCAACTCATGCTTTTGGCATGACACCTTCCCCTTAAGCTGGTGGACAGAAACAGGCTGATTTATCTGTTTACCATTAACCCTCTAGTTGCCGAGACAGGCCATCTGCATTCCCATGCAAGTTGCCCTTTTTGTGTTGGACATTGAAATTATACTGTTGGAGGATAAGGCTCCAACGGAGCAGCTTACCATTGTTACCTGATACTCTGTCCAGCCAATGCAGCGGGTTGTGATCAGTGATGACAGTAAAGTCTCTGCCGTACAGATATGGCTGTAATTTCTGCAAAGCCCATACAACAGCTAGACACTCCTTTTCTATTACTGCATAGGCCACCTCCCGGGGTAACAGCTTCCTACTAAGGTAGAGGATAGGGTGCTCTTCTCCTTTAGAGTTAACCTGGCTAAGCACAGCTCCAAGCCCAAAGTTGGAAGCATCTGTCTGGACCACAAACCTCTTACTGAAATCTGGGGCCTGAAGGACTGGGAAGCTAGACAAGGCTGTCTTTAAGGCAGTGAAGGCTTTTTCACAGTCCTCAGTCCACGTTATCTGCTTGGATACTTTCTTTTTAGTTAAATCTGTGAGGGGTTTGGCAGTCTCACTGTAGTCTGGGACAAATCTGCGATAATACCCTGCTGTCCCCAAAAATGACATGACCTGTTTCTTGGTCTTAGGGACTGGCCAGGCCGTAATAGAGTCCACCTTACTCGGTTCAGGGCGAATGGACCCCCCTCCTACGCTGTGCCCCAGATACTGCACCTCTGTCATGCCTATCTGACACTTTTCTGGTTTGATGGTGAGCCCTGCCCCCCTTATTTGCTCCACTACTTTGCCCAAATGAACCAAGTGCTCCTCCCAGGTCTTGCTAAATACGGCAATGTCATCCAGGTATGCCACGGTGTATTCCTCATGGCTCTCCAATAATTGATTAACCAATCGCTGAAAAGTGGCCCGGGCATTTTTCATCCCAAAAGGCATCACACTGAACTCATACAACCCAAAAGGAGTGATAAAGGCTGACCGCTCTTGGGCTTCTGGAGTCAGAGGGATTTGCCAGTACCCTCGACTCAAATCCATAATAGTTAAATACTGAGCACCTGCTAGCTGATCAAGTAGTTCATCTATTCTGGGCATGGGGTAAGCATCAAATGTTGTCACTGCATTTAACCTTCTGTAGTCTACACAAAACCTGATGGATTTATCTTTCTTGGGAACCAGCACTACAGGAGAAGCCCAGGGGCTCTTTGATTTCCTAATTACCCCAAGCCCCATCATGTCTTCTATCTCCTTATGGATGTGAGCCCTTACCCCTGGGGATACCCGGTAGGCCACCTGTCGTAGTGGTGGTTGGTCATCAGTATCTACGTGGTGGATGGCCCGGTATAGGTGTCACTAAAGGGGTCTAGTACCTGACGTAGCTGCCTCTTCTGTTCAGCTGAGAGCTCTGGGTTGATTTTTGTATCTGGTAAGGATTCCTGGCCTTTAGCTTCCTGTACAAGATCCAGCAAAGGATCATTACCTAATTCTTCCTCTGGTGAACTACATACACTGAGTACCAAATTCTCTGGGTCATAATATTCCTTTAACATGTTAATATGATACTGCCTCTGCCTCTCACCCTTTTCATCAAGGGCTACTACGTAGGTGGTGGGTTCTAAACGCTGCAAAATGAGGAAGGGACCCTCCCAAGCAGCCTGTAACTTATTTTGTCTTATGGGGTTCAAAACCATGACCTTTTGTCCCACTTCATAGACCCGGTCCCTAGCATTGCGATCATACCAATATTTCTGCCTAGACTGCGCTGCTGTAAGATTGTCATGCACTAGCCCTGTCAATGTCTGCATCCTGTCCCTAAACTTCAGAACGTATTCCACCACAGAAGTCTCTGGAGTGTGTAGTCTCCCCTCCCATTCTTCCCTAACTAAATCTAGGGGTCCCCGCACTTTGCGTCCATAAAGTAATTCAAAGGGTGAAAAACCTGTGGTACCTCCCTGTAAGCAAATAGTAAATGGGGTAAATACTTCTCCCATTCCCGGCCCTGTGATTCTACAAATGTTTTGAGCATCTGTTTCAAGGTCCCATTAAACCTCTCACAGAGACCATTGGTTTGGGGATGGTAGGGACTTGCTACCAAGTGCTGTACATTAACCTTCTTGCAGAGACTCTGCATCAGATTAGACATAAACTGCGTACCTCAATCAGTGAGCATTTCTTTAGGGAAACCCACCCTGCAAAATATACTGATCAGAGCGTCCGCTACCTTATCTGCCCTGATAGAGGATAAGGCGATGGCTTCAGGATATCTAGTTGCATAATCCACCACTGTCAGAATAAATTGCTTCCCTGTACTGCTGGGGATAGCTAACGGCCCCACAATATCTACGGCAACTAGTTCAAAGGGTACAGTTATGATGGGCAGAGGCACTAAGGGAGCACGAGTAACATCCCCAGATTTACCCACTCTCTGGCAGACTTGGCAGGATCGGCAGTAATTTGCAACTGCCGTGCCCATACCAGGCCAGTAGAAATTGTGGGCCAATCTCGATTTTGTCTTGGTTACCCCTAGGTGTCCTGCCAAAGGGGTTTCATGGGCTAACCTCAGCAGCTCACCCCTGAACTGCCTAGGAACCATTAGTCGTCTTTCTCCCTCCCTGGTCCCTTCTATGGTGACAGGAAGGGATTCCCAGTACAAGATATTATTATCCCAATATACACGGTGCCTATCTGAGTCAGTGCCTAATTGTTCAGTGCGGTGTCTCAGCCCTTCCAGGGAGGGGTCACTGCGCAGAGCTTCCAGGAAACTCTAATTGCCCTCTCCCCACCATGCTGCACAAGAAGGTACTGCTCCCTCTGGCAGAGCCTCAAGGGGTGGGATAGGGTCTACACCATTTTCTGCCTGTTCTACCGCTGCAGCTCTGGCACACTGCTGACGGGTTACCACTGCCACCAGGGGTACACATCCCTGGCTTTCGCTTTCCTCCTCCCCCTTACTTTCAGATATCTCAGTCTCACAGTATTTTGGTACATGCACATCACTACTCACTCCTATATTACGTTTGGTAGACATCACTGGTTCAGTTACAGGTAGATATGTATCCACACCCTGCTCTCCCTCCCAGCAATCACAGTTCACAATGTCGCCCAAAGTTTTACACAATACCTTAGGTGGAGCAGTCAGTCCTTCTGGCTCACAGTGTCCTCTGGAGCATAGTGACAGAGCATCCTGCCCAAATCATTCCCCAACAGAACATTAACAGGGATATCCTCCGAAACCCCCACTTCCCGCAAACCTTTGCCCGCACCCCAATCAAGGTACACACATGCCAGAGGCACAGCGGGACGCACACCCCCAATTCCTTTGATGGACATGGTTCTTCCAGGGATTATGTCCTCCGTATTCACCACTTCAGGGCGCACCAGGGTGAATGAAGCTCCAGAATCTCTCAGTCCCACGGTCACCCACAATTACACTCTGCAGGTTATCCTCTCGTTTCCCCACAGACCCACCCACAAGCAAAACTGATGGTGCCCCTCCACGGGCTGGTGAGGGTATATTCCTAGTGGGGCAAGTCCTGCTCAGATGACCAATCTGGTTGCATCGAAAACAACGGCAGGCATCTGACTCACTTGAATTAGCCTGGCTACGCTGGCAGTCGGCGGTGAAGTTGTCACTGCAGATCTTACAGGTGGTGATTGAACTGTAGCTTCTCTCCAGGTCGAAGTAGCAGCTGACACAAGTCCACGCCTGAATGTGGGTGCATGGATGTCGGCATAGTCATCTGCCAGTTCTGCAGCAGCCCTAGCATTTTTTGGCAGTTTATTGCCCACTCTATGCAATTCCTTGTATCCAGCTCTGGTGATGGCTATCTAGATGTTTTATGGTCTAAGCCTGGTGCCAGATCAAAGACCACAATAAACGTCATCCCAAGGTTTACAAAATAAAAAAACAACTCTTAACATAGATCAATACATCAAACACCAACTCATGCTTTTGGCATGACAATGCCCAAATAAAATTTTTAAAGGGCAAAATCTTCTAGGGGCCATAGTCGCAGGGCAGGAGGCTGGCAATTAGTCCACTCCAGGCACAAGTTGTGAAGGGCACTTCGTCACACATCTTCCCTCTGGGGGAGGGGGGGGGGACTAACCAGGTACCCGACCTTCTGTCGGTTAGTACCTGAGTTAGTCGAGTACCCCACCCACAATAAACAAGCACTGCCCCTGGTGATTTCTGGTGTCCGGCTCTGGCTTGTATGTCCCAGGTCGCTGAGGGGAACTAGTAGGCAGAGGCCAGCGGCGCTCTGCCCGGATGCCAGTGCTTCTGCTGGGTTGGCCAGTGGGCATTCAGGTTCTGAACAAGATAGCAAGGGAGGGCAGAGGCCGGCTGCGCTATGCCTGGATGCCAGCTATTCTGCTGCAAGGGGGCCAGTGGGTATCGCAGACCCATCCACTGCCCCCAGGACTCTGTTGGGAATTAGCTGGGATGGGCTCGCTTATCTCCTCCTGGTATTTCTGCGAGGACGGTTGGGGATCTGGACCAGCCGTCCAGCGTCACTGTAGAATTGGCACAGAGACCGCGGTCCCATCTGCACCGGTGGGGTTAGGGTTGCTTTCCCCCTGTAGTTGCGGTGAGGGACCAGTCGTACCCTCTCCCGGTACCTCCGGCTGCTGTTGGAGGGTGAGGCCGGTTGCCTCCATTGCCCAGGGCGCTGGTTGCTGTAGGGATCGACCATCTCCTCCTCCTTGAACTCAGGCCGCTACTGGGGAGAGAGACCGATTGTCTCCTCTCCCTGTAATTCCAGCTGTCGATGGGGATCTGGGCTGGCAGCCCAGCATACCTGTAGGGCCTGTAGAGAGACCTCGGTCCCATCTCCACCTGCCTGTTGGGGATCCTCCCAGGCCCGTCTATGAGGTCCACTACCTCGGGTACCTCTGGTTGCTGCTGGGGAAGGAGACCGGTTGTCTCTTCCCTCTGCACTGCCGCTGGGGAGGGAGACCGGTTGTCCCCAGCCTCAGTCGCCACAATCTGAACTCACATTCCCGTGCTGCTCGGTTCTCCTCATCCAACTCTTGCATGATACGGACGATCACCTCTTCCAAAGGGTCTGGGCCATACTCGACTATCCACCTCTTTACCGCTGTGATGTAAGCGTCGCCCTCATGGCAATAGGTCATGTTTACTTGCTTGCTCATGCAGGCTGGCAATTAGTCCTCTCCAGGCACAAGTGGCAAAGGGCACTTCTTCACATATATTTATAGATAAATATATATAAGTGTTCTTGCATAGCAAGACCACTTAACGTTATCTCACATATATATTATTATTATAGCCAAATTTACCACCCTAACTCCTCCCACAGTTTTTACACTACATAGACTGTAATAAACCGAAACGTGCGGCTTGTTCCCGATTGGTGTGCTATTACTTTGTGGAACGTTTCACCGAATGGTTCACGAAATATCGTCATTTTTGTGGCGAAATTGGTCCCATAGGAATGAATGGCGAAATGTTCAAAACTAGAGTGGGAGCTGGCAAAAGCTGAAAAATCAGGACATGATTTCTAAACTGCCACCACTCCCTCAATTGAAGAATGAAAAGTAATCAGGAGAGGCAAAATACTCTGACCTGTGCCAGGCTGGAGCAGCAAAGAAAGAGGAAGTGATGTCGGACAGTGTGAGCTGAAAAATCAGGACATGATTTCTAAACTGCCACCACTCCCTCATTTTAAAGCCAACCTACACAAATCTTATATCAAAACGTTCAGCTATTCCTGCTGCCACTAAAAATGTCCACGGCTAAGCCATAGTCCTGATAGTTTTCACAATATGACCATTTGTTTGCAACTCAGGCCGTCCACTGACATTCATTGAAACTCCACTCTAGCCACCTAAAATTTGAAGGGCAATATCTAAACTGCGACTGTGCCTTCATTTTTAATATTTTAGAGACATACTATGCATCATGTAGGTCAATGTAGGTCTGGGTCTTGTCATTCTCACAATATAGATCTCTTCGCTGTAGGATTTATAGTTTTTAGAATACGACCGTTTGAAGATGGCAACCGCCAGTGAAGTGAGCAATTTGGAGCAGTTTGTTTTTAACCGCTCTACCCTGCTCTATTTGAAATCTATTAGTTCCTGTTGGCAGTTGGTGGAATGTTCAAGGGATTTGAAATGGCGGCTGCAGAAACCCTGTGTAACAAGGCAGTAATATGAAGATGCTGTTATATATGTATTAATAAAGTGAATACTTCATTATACAGGAATTATTGAATGATTTATACAAAACATCACAGTGGCAGCGGGGATAGCTGAACGTTTCGATATAAATTGGTACATTTATATCCCTACATGGCAAGACCACTTACTATTATCTCACATATATATATATTATTATTCTTATTGAGCAATTTGGAGCAGTGTTTTTAATTGCTCTTCTCTGCCCTTGCTGTAGAGTGAGTGAACCACACTCCAACCTTTCCAAAGTTACTCCGCCCACTCCAGTTGTAGACTACTGGTGGAGGCAAGAACACTTCACACAATTTCCCCAGAAATTGTAGCTTTTCTAGTTACATAAATTACAGAAGTTTACACAGAATTTAAAGACATATATATGTATATATATTAAAATTCTACGTGTATATTTAAGTAATCTTAACATAATTATGTGATTTAATTAATTAAAATTGACATGCCTGACAACCCAGGCAGAAAGTGCAGAGAATTTAATTCGCACGCGCTATATTTAACCCTGTAACTTTCCAAGACACCATGAAACCTGTACATGGGGGGGTACAGTTTTACTCGGGAGTTTTCGCTGAACACATATTAGTGTTTCAAAATTATAAATTGTATTACAACAATGATATTTTCAGTAAAAGTTACTTTTTTTGCATTTTTCACACACAAACGGCACTTTTACTGACGATATTATTGTTGTAATATGTTTTACTGTTTTTGTTTTTACACTTATGTTTGTGCTCAGTGAAGTCTCCTGAGTATAACAGTACCCCCCATGTACAGTTTCCATGGTATTTTGGAAAGTTAGAGAGTCAAATATAAGGCTTGCATTTCATTTTTTTTCACATTGAAAATTTGCAGTTTGTTAATGTTGCCTTTGAGACCGTGTGGTAGCCCAGGAATGAAAATTATTCCCATGATGGCATACCATTTGCAAAAGTAGACAACCCAAGGTATTGCAAGTGGGGTATGTCCAGTCTTTTTTAGTAGCCACTTAGTCGCCACTTACTGATCTTATACAAGTAGCACAAGATTAAATGTTTCAATATAGTTGACACTTTTTTATAGGTTTCCATGTATTTGATATATGTTTTTAAATTTATTTTTTTACACATATTTCCCGATAGACCTTTTATTCTAAGTGGTTTTATAGCAGACTGTGTATTGACCTTTCCTTAGGTTTATAAAGTTTTTTAAAAAAAATACAAAATTAAAAATCTAATTACATGCTTCTCAAAAAATTTGATTTATCAAAAGGGACGTGTCGGCAAGCACACTGAGCATTACAGGACAGGTAAAAGCGGACGGAACCCAGAACTGACGCAAAGCATATTAGCGTCACTTCCAAGTAACACAATCCGGAATGAATGAGGAGCACACCACCCCTAAAGGGATACCCCTGCGAAACCGTAATATGATTAGAGAATATAGAAAGAAAGCAGTAACATGGCAAAGTTAAATGTGAGGACGAGTGAAACGTATTACAACGATTGAAAAAGCTGAATCTAGAATGCAAAACACATCTCTGGAGGAAAAGGAAAGCAAGAAGTGTTATTCTATTTTATTTTTTCATTTCGGTTTAATACATTTTTAAATGTTTTACTAACCTATCCTCATACTTCGTTCCCTGGTTCAAAAAGGGTAGTGTCACCAGACAACTTGACACAAATGCTATATACTTGGAGCCAGTAATTAATAGGCTCCCAAATTGGGAGCATTCAATTTTTCTTCTTGTGCTTCTATTCATACGTGCCATTGGGAGAAATACTGAAAATCTACTCAAGAAGTTTCTGATTGCCACCTTAGCCTTTAAGTGCAACAATTTTAAACCCATACCTACATCATCAATTTATTTTTATTTTTTTAATTCACCCACATTGTGGGATTCCAAATTATTACAAAATATTTACACTATTGTTGGTTTTCAATTTTTTAATTGTACATATGTTCACCCCATTTCACTTTGAGGGGTAAGTGTATATTGTCACCTATTGGCCAAGCCGAGACAGCTGGGAGAGTGTGTGGAAGTGAAAGGGTTAATGACACCAGACCCCTGGTTACCTGTTGCTAGTCCCAGCCAACCACTAAATTAACCCCTGCAATCCCTTCCACACTAATACCCTAGTACACACTTTACTGCCACCACCGAGACTTTATATCCGGGCGTCTTAGGTTACCCCACACACAGTAGAATTATAGGATCACAACCTTACTTTACTGATCAGACATATATAATCAACCCTTTAGGTAACGTGTTTACCTGAGCTTTCCTCCGAAGAGTGAGCTCATAGAGAACAAAGACACAAGCTGATTAAGTAAACATTTTATCTGACAAAAAGGATTCACAGTGCTGGGTACAAAAATACAGAAATAAATGACATACAGAAACACAGATAACAAATTGCATTGGGTCACAATGTTTACATTAGAGCCTAGGAACACCTCTAGTGGCCACTCCTCAGACGGTCACTAGAGGTGCTTCCTGTGGTTGTGCTGCACTATGTGCAGCACTGATGTTCAGTGTTTCCATGGTCTGCATTGAGACGCTTTACTTTCCCACGCTGATTGGCCAGGGATGAGCTTGGCTATGGGAAAGCATTGTGATTGGCTGAGATCATCAATTCTGATGATCTCGGACAAGGAGGCGGATTGGAGGAGCCCTGCACAGCGCTGAAAAGGAGATTAAATCCCCTTTCTAACCCCAGGTAAGGGGGGCAGACCACCTAAACGGTGGTTTTCAAACTAGAGTGTAAGGAACGCATGTTTCTAATGCAACACAGACTGGCAGTTTATACCACTGAAAGGATGTTACCTATATGACTAAAGTTAGTTTTTTCGGATTGTACTTTCCCAACAGACAATCCGGTTAAAGAGTAAAGCGCTGTGGAATTTGTTGGCGCTATATAAATAACATAATAATAATAATAATGACAGAAAATCTAGATGACACAAGCCTAAATAACAAACCCACAGATTTATGCGATTATGGAGAAACACTGTTGCAACCTATAGTTCATGGAATGGTTACTGTTAAAGTGCCACTGAAAAGCAAAACTGAGCAATACAGTGATCGCTAACTAAAATAAGCACAGCCTAAACAGTTCATCATAAAAAAAAAAAAAAATCATTGCTTTAATCTAAATACTACATACAGTGAGAACTTTACTGTGATGTCATAATGATGTTGCTTGGCAACCAAATTAACAACAGAAAAAGGATAAGTATGCAGACAACAGGGATATAGAGGAAGGTGTTAAGGTACCAGGCTTCTTATTTACATTTGCCAATACATCTCACTGCAATTTTGGCAGGGTTTACTCTGATTGCAAGCTTAACTAAGTGTTAGTTTGATTGGTGTAGGTAGCAGGAAAAGATAATGAAACAGCACACACCCATTTTATTTTCTCTTGTGGAAATTTGTAACCACTGGTTCTCCTGTTATATGAGAATTCTGAAGAAGCCACGCACAGGAAGTCCAGAAACAGGTCAGTTCAGGAAGCAATTGTCTTTATTCTCACCGATCGGGTTTCAGCTGAACTCATGTTCCAAAATGTCTGAACCCTGAGCACAGGCTTTTTATAGACTATATATCCCCCTTCTGCACCCTTACACCAATCAGCAAACAGTATTTACAGCATTACCTTATATGCATAGGCAGTATGGCACTATGAGAATGGAATGTGGTTATTCAAATCCAGCATATGCTCAGTACATTGATGACAGTATCTTAGCTACAGATACCTGTAGAGAGCAAAAAAATGGGTTGCAAGAGAATACTGAGAACGGGCAGCAGCTGAAATAGCCTGCCCTTCGGTGGGTCCCCGCTCAGTTCTCAAGCTGGTTTTTGCTCATCTTGTGCCATTACAGAGAGAACATTTCTGAAACATATCAGACTGGTCCCACCCATATGGGCAGTCCAGATCCGAAATGCCAGCACCGAATGGCAGGCTATTTCAGTTCTCAGTATTCTCTTGCGCCTTGTTTTTTTTGCTCTCCACAAGTTTAAAGGGTAATCCAGATGTGGACCCCTTGCTCATGGTGCCTAGAGAGATATCAGCTATGCCTCACTGATGATGCCTAACAAGGCTGAAACGATCGTCTGGGGTTGCTGCTGAGTCTCTCGTGCAAGGGGAACTTGCTGGCATTTCCGATCTGGACTGCCCGTATGGATGGGACCAGTCTGATATGTTTCAGATATGTTCTCTCTGTAATGGCACAAGATGAGCTAAAACCAGCTTGAGTTCTGAGCGGGGACCCACCGAAGGGAAGGCTATTTCAGCTGCTGCCCATTCTCAGTATTCTCTTGCGCCCTGTTTTTTTTTTTTTTGCTCTCCTAATAGATACCTGTACTTGTATATGCCACATGGAGATTTTAGGCATACCAAATTTTGGGCCTAGCTGAAATCCCATCACAACCCTATTTAGCACAAGTCTTAAACCAAAGAGTTTAGCAGGGCTGACTATACAGATATATTTAGCCATAATGTTAGATAGTTGAGAAAAGTTTCTCTATTTAAAATATATAAGTAGTGATGTCCCTAACGGTTCGTCGCGGACTCATCATTGAGTAAACTTTGACCCTGTACCTCACAGTCAGCAGACACATTCCAGCCAATCAGCAGCAGACCCTCCCTCCCAGACAGCTCACTAAGAATGCAGCTTCCCAATGAATGTAAAATGGATGCTGTCCAGGAGGTGGGAGGGTCTGCTGCTGATTGGCTGGAATGTGTCTGCTGACTGTGAGGTACAGGGTCAAAGTTTACTCAATGATGAGTACGCGGCGAACCGTTCAGCGAACTGTTCGGGACATCACTATATACAAATAATTGAGAATACAATAAAAAAAAAAAAATAGGGACTGTTTTGGAAGCAATAACATTTTGTCTTTTAAAACATTTTATTGAATATAAATATAGAACTATAAAAACTCAATCCATTATAATAATATACAGCAGAGTTTATAAGATTAAAGTACATGATTGCAAAATAAAGAACATAGAATAGCATACCCTCTTGCTCATACAAAACAACCTCTAAGTATTGTAAAAATGCAGCAGCATCTCTGCTTCCAAATTCTCCCCTCTTAATATTAATAAGTAAACATATTTATACCCTTGATTTTCAATTAGGTCATGTTAAGAAAATAGAAAAACAAGCCTAATCTACCTTAACTTGCCAAGGAGACAAGGTCATGGCTATTAAATGACATAGCCTTGATTTTGTTCATATCACATGTAAAATTAAAGAAAATCATCTTAATCAGTCTATTGTCATGACCTAGACATCTTAATCTTTGTTTGGACTAAAACTTAAGGTTGAACATTACGTATACAAAGCTCTGACTTTGTGTATCTAGGATACAATAGCGTTTTAAAAGCAGCACTGTCATGCAGAACTTATCTTTCCCCAATCGATTCCTCTTCTCTCTCGGGATCTGTTTTTTAATGGTTTTAATGGTGATGGTTCAGGACCGCCATCGGCATTTTTGCGTTGCCGACCGCTGGTGGTCCTGAACCATCACAACGGTCAGATATACCTACACGATCGCTGTCGTTCCCCCGGCGGCAATCAGCGTTGCTCCCGGTGTGGGGAGACTGCCTGCAGCCCAGGCAGTCTCCCCATGGCGGACTAGAACCCCTGGGGCCATGTGATCGCTCAACAGAGTGATCACATGGTCACAATAGGTGTCCAAGTGTCTGCCTGCAGGGGGACTATATATTTAAATTCTACGTGTGTATTTATGTAATATTTTTACAGAATTAAGTAATTTTATTGATTGCAATTTGAGGGACTTGTCTGACAACCCAGGCCGAAAGCCCAGAGAATTTAATTTGCTAGCACTGTATTTTACCCTGTAACTTTCTATAACACCCTAAAACCTGTACATGGGGGTACTGTTTTACTCGGGAGACTTCGCTGAACACAACAATTAGTGATTCAAAACATTCAAACTTATCACAGCGATGATATTGTCAGTGAAAGTTACTTTTTTTAATTTTTCACACACAAACAGCACTTTTACTGATGATATAATTGTTGTGATACGTTTTCCTGTTTTAAAACACTAATATTTGTGTTCAGCAAAGTCTCCCGAGTATAACAGTACCCCCCTGGTACAGGTTTTATAGCATTTTTGAAAGTTACAGGGTCAAATATTTTTACATTGCAAATTGCCAGGTTGGTTATGTTGCCTTTGAGAGCGTATGGTAGCCCATGAATGAAAATTACCCCCATGATGGCATACCATTTGCAAAAGAAGACAACCCAATGTATTGCAAATGGGGTATGTCCAGTCTTTTTTAGTAGCCACTTAGTCACAAACACTGGCCAAAATTAGCATTCAATTTCGTTTTTTTACTTTTTTCACACACAAATATGAACGCTAACTTTGGCCAGTGTTTGTGACTAAGTGGCTACTAAAAAAGACTGGAAATAAAAAAAATATGTACATGTGGGGTGTTATTCAGAGATTTATGACAGATAATAGTGTTACGTCACTATTGATAAATTTTAAAAACATATGTTTTGAAACCGCAATAGCCAACTTGTACCTAAAGCCCTATAACTTGCAAAAAAAAAAAAAAAAAACAACAAAAAACATGTAAACACTGGGTATTTCTAAACTCAGGACAACATTTTGAATCTATTTAGCAGTTTTTATCATTAGCTTTTGTAGATGAGGAAGATTTTTCAAGTAAAAGTAAAAAAAATGCCCTTTTTGTCCTGAAAAAAAACATACATATAATTTGTATGGGAACAGTAAATGAGAGAGTGGAAAATTACAGCTAAACACAAACACCACAAAAGTGTAAAAAGAGGCCTGGTCGCAAATGTACAACATCGCAAAAACAGTCCGGTCTTTAAGGGGTTAAAACATAAGACAAAGTAGGGACTATTTGTCTTATGGAGGTTTCCTAAGTCTTACCAGAGGAGGAGAAAAGTGTGCTCCATTTTCCTGTGGTCAGAGAAATTTTCCCACAATTCTTACCTTTCCTCCATGATCTTGCGATGCTTCCAGTCAGTATCCCCGAACGTCCTGTCATTTTAGACAGGATGAAATTCGGAAGTTTCGCCAGCGTTCTAACAGAATGAGAACAGTTTGTCCATTCGTGTTAGGATGCAATTCGGGACTTTGTTCGGATTGGAATTTTATTCGTATGAATGAAATTGCGAGCTATTTGTGCCGCGGCTGCAATTTACAGCAGTTTAGTAGATAGCTCCCTACCAACAGGCTGAAATACTTAAATTGGTCTTTCAGCCAAAATTTACTAAATTACAAATTTACTAATACTAGCAGACATGCCCCTACTACTATACCGCGAGTAGGGGCATGTGGCTGCTCACTGTTTAAAAAAGCCCCCTAGTTTCCACCTTCTGAGCCCCCACCCGTGCTGCACGAATGGGAGCTTTTAAACTGAAAGGGGGATGGGTGGGTGACTAGGGGTCCCCAAGCTCCTAGTCACTCCCCTTTCAAAAAAATTTTTTAATAAAGACCTACCTACCCCCTCACCCAAAAAATAGTGAAGGGGGATGGGGGCTGGGGGGGGAGGGAAGGAACAAGAAAACTAAATACCTGTAAATAAAAAATAAACTTTCCATTTGATGCCTTCTATTTTCAGAACCAAAAGGGCCAAATAAAAATCCATAATACCTGTCGCAACTGTTAAAAAAACCAACAACAACAAAAAAAGATGCTAAAAGGGTAATTTGTCTTAACCCAGCAAGGGCACTGCACAGACTGAGCTCTGCAGGGCGGGGAAAGGCTTATAAAGCCTTCCCATGCCCTGCAATTTGACTTGGAGCACTCTGATTGGTTGATTCCAACCCAGAGTGCTCTGACAGGTAAATCTTTTCAAATTGAAAAGCAACCAATCACAGTGTTATGAGTCAAATTACACAGCATGATAAATTCAAAAGGACTTTCCCACGCTGTGTAAAATGACAGAGAGCACTCTGATTGGTTGGATTTCAACCCAACCAAAGTGCTCTAAATCAAACCGCATTCAATTTTTTTTGGGGTGCGGGGGGGTGACTAGGGACTTGAGGACCTCTAGTCACCAGGGGGGTGGGTTTACATTGGGGGGAGAAGAAGGACAAAGGTACAGTTAAAGAGACACTATGGGCACCCATACCACTTAATTTCATAAGAGTGGTCTGGGTGCAATGTCACAGTCCCCTCAACCCTGCAATGGTAATTATTTCTGTTCTCAGCTTCTGAGAAACTGCAATAATTACCTCTCAGGGTTAACACCACCTCTAGTGGCTGTCTACCAGACAGCCACTAGAGGGACTTCCGGGTGGTTAGGGGACCAAAAGTCACCTGACACTGGACATCCTCCCGCTCTGCATGAGGACATCTAGTGTCAATCAAATCCTCATAGGAAAGCATTGAAACCAGGCTTTCCTATAGGGAATCCTAATGCGAACGTGGCGCATGCTTTGCATGCGTTTTAAGCTTGCTGTGCATGAGGTTTAGGTCTCCCCCACCGGTGAGAAAGGAGTGTTGGCAGAGCCCGACCTATCACCAAGGGACATCAGCGCTGGATTCAGGAAAGTGCCTAAGGGGATTTCAACACCTTCAGTGCCGAGGGAGGGGAGCACTGTAGGAATCTATAGTGCCATATGTCTGAACGTTTGTCATGTGAATTAAAGAGGGAATGGCCCTACTCATAAGTTTCTGAGTTTTTGTTGCTGGGTGGGGAGGGAGAGTAACTACATTAATGCAGAAAAAGTTGTGAGTGACCATTTAATTATTAAAGGAAATAAAATATGTGCATGACTGCAAAATATTTATATAGTTAATACATTGCTAAACACAAATACACACACCAGTAAAGCCTTGAGACTTGCATTTCCCACAAATCTCATTTCAACAGTGCTCTCACTACTGCAATGGATTCTGGGTAGGCATATGCAAATGAGCATAACAAAGAACCACATTTTTGCCTATATAAATAAATTCAAGATACCTGCATCAGCTCTGGATCGCTGAGCTGCGGCCTTTCCAAATGGGGTCTTCATTCATCTGTATGTAATGGGCAGCAAAGCTGCCGAACTAGGGCGAAAATCCTATTCTCTCCAATGTTGCTGTAGTTTTGCCAGTTTATAAAAAGAAACTGACTGCTTTTCAGCCACCGAACCAGTCAAGTTCTACGTAATTCCACCCTTTGCTACTATGATCTGGAAAAAACAAAACATAAAATTTGTTAACATGAAGGTAAATCAGTAATATTATACACATTGTGAATTATGATCTATGTTTAGCTTTGTTTTAATAAGTTAATATATGGAAATCCAATAGCTTTCATTTGTAACAAAAATTAGCATTACATAGGAATAATGAAATTCACATGGAAAAAAACAAAACAAAACAGCACTTATTTTATGCACAGGCAAGAAAAAAAGTATATTGTATAATTTTTATTAATTAGAAGTAAGTAGAGCAATTGTAAATGGTGGATAAAGTTTTAATCTAGTTTGCATATTACAGAATTGCTAAATGGGTTATATCTGATGTTTCAACAGACCATTTTCTAAATACACCATGGGTTCCCAACCCAGTCCTCGCTGAACGTTCCCCATAGAGATGCATTGATTCAATGCATCTCTAGGAGGAGATGCTGATTGGTGCAGCAGCAAAACATTGGACTGGCTGAGATCATCAAGCTTGATAATCTCAGCCATAGAAGAAGGGCCAGTCAAGAGGAGACCAGTAAAGCATGGGAAAAAAGGTGAGTATATACACCTTTCCCTTGCGAACGGAAGGGGTCTGGTCACCTAAACCCCACCCACCCCCCCACCATGACACCCCACACCACGACAGCCAATCAAATGTTTTTCATAGGCAAGCATTGAATTCAATGCTTCTGTATGATAAACATTAGAGGATGTTCAATGTTCTTACACAATTATTATTATTATTGCTATATATATAGCACCAACAGATTCCATAGCACTTTACAGTATTATGAGAGAGGGGATTTAACTATAAATAGGACAATTACAAGAAACCTTACAGGAACAATAGGTTGAAGAGGACCCTGCTCAAATGAGTTTACAGTCTATAGGAGGTGGGGTATAAAACATATTAGGACAGGAAATATCAATCAAATAGGTGGGAGTGAAGCAGAGCTGGAGGAGAGAGTAGAGTGCTGCCCTTTAGGAGAGAGAAAGAGACAGGTATCTCTGTGTCATCAGTGTACAGGTGGTAGTGGAATCCAAATGAGGTAATACATTTGCCAAGAGAGGCAATATAAAGAGAAAATAGAAGGGGACCAAGGACAGGGCCTTGGGGGACTCTAACCGAGACAGGACGAGGGGAGGAGGTATCATTAGAAAGGGAGATACTGAATGAGTGTTAGGAGAGATAAGATGAAAACCATGAGAGGACAGAGTCACAGAGACCTAAAGATTGAAGAGTTTGAAGAAGGAGAGCATGATCAACTGTGTCAAAGGCAGCAGAGAGGTCAAGAAGAATTAGTATGTCGTAGTGGCCTTTGGATTTAGCTGTGATTAGGTCGTTCGTAACTTTGATAAGAGAAGTCTCAGTAGAATGGAGAGGGCGGAAGCCAGACTGAAGAGGGTCAAGGAGAGAGTTGAAATTGAGGAACCAAGACACACGGGTAAAGACAAATCTTTCCAGAAGCTTTGAGGAAAAAGGGGGAAGGAATATGGGACGATTGTTAGAGGGGGAGGAGGGGTCAAGAGATGTTTTTTTCAGGATAGATACTACAGTGGCATGTTTAAGGTCAGCAGGGACAGTGGGGGGGGGGGGGGTGCCCTCCTTGAGGTGCATGTTCTGAGTGGGGCTGCAGCGTTCAAGGCAGAGGTGAGAGTAGTATTATATGTGGAGATGGCCAGTGAGGGCCAGGAGAGGGAAGGGATGGATAGCAGTTGTGAATCAATATCAGCTGACAACTGCTGGAGGTCAATAGAAGTAAGGTTCCTCCCGAGTTGAGGGGGATTAGGCTAAGGTTGGTGGGTGATAGGGATCGACCGATACCGATACTCTGAACTTTCAGGCCGATAGCCGATATTCTGTACATTTATCATTTTGGAAAATAAAAACAATTTCTAAAGGTAAATGCACAAAATACACATGCCACGTGCAGTGGATGCAGTGTGTTTAGACAGGGGAGCTGTGTGTGTTTGTGTAGTGTGTGTGTTGTGGATGCAGTGTGTGTGTTGAGGGTGCAGTGTGTGTTTGTGTAGTGTGTGTGTAGTGGATGCAGTGTGTGTTTGTGTAGTGTGTGTGTTGTGGATGCAGTGTGTGTAGTGTGTGTTGTGGATGCAGTGTGTGTGTGTGTAGTGTGTGTTGTGGATGCAGTGTGTGTGTTGAAGATGCAGTGTGTGTTTGTGTAGTGTGTGTTGTGGATGCAGTTTTTGTTTGTGTAGTGTGTGTGTGTAGTGGATGCAGTGTGTGTTTGTGTAGTATGTGTGTTGTGGATGCAATGTGTGTAGTGGATGCAGTGTGTATTTGTCTAGTGTGTGTAGTGGATGCAGTGTGTATTAGTGTGTATATAATGAAAGCAGAGTGTTTGTGTAGTGTGCGGATAGTGTGCGAGTGGGGCTGCAGCGTTCAAGGCAGAGGTGAGAGTAGTATTATATGTGGAGATGGCCAGTGAGGGCCAGGAGAGGGAAGGGATGGATAGCAGTTGTGAATCAATATCAGCTGACAACTGCTGGAGGTCAATAGAAGTAAGGTTCCTCCCGAGTTGAGGGGGATTAGGCTAAGGTTGATGGGTGATAGGGATCGACCGCCCAAAGTGTTCAAGGAAGAGGAGAGGGGAACGATAAATAATTGCAATGTTAGCAGAGAAGGGTCTGAAAAGGCAAATTGAATGAATTTCAAAATTATAGAAAAGAGAGGGAAGGGGGTGAGCAGTGGGATGAAAGCAGAAAACCTACACCGCCACCTTTACTCTCAGCTTGTCTTGGGTTGTGGGTAAAGTGAAGACCACCAAAGGATAATGAGGCAGGGGTAGCTGTATCAGAGGGAGAGAACCATATTTCCGTTAGTGCAAGTAGGTTTAGGGAGTGTGAGAAAAATAGGTCATAGATGGAAGTTGATTTAACAGTGCTGCACACAGAGTGTGCATTCCAGAGAGCAGCTTTAAAAGAGGAATTATAGTGAGTTACATGGAATGGATAGGAGATTGTTGTGGTTTCTGGTGTTAGCACCAGGTGGCTTAATAGAGGAAGGACCAGGGTTTGGAGAGACATCACCAGCTGCCAGGAGCAGTAGGATGGAAAGTAAGAGAAGGTGGGAGTAAGATGTAAATGTTTGGGATGAGCGTTTGTATTTAGGGGATTTAGGAGGGGTTTGCGGATTAAGGCTGGATAAATATGAGTAAAGTGCATAGGATGAATACAGAAATGAGGGAAGTAGAGAAGGAGCAACGAAGATGGTGTAAGTAAAAGGATAGAGAGATTTTAATAATAAGGGAAGTGAGAGATATTTTAGAATATGGAGAATTGAGCTGTAAAGATTGTAGGTGAGGTTGTGAGGGTTAAGGGTTAAAAAGGTATTCATTGTGTGAATTAAGCTATTTTAGGTGTGGAGGGCTTGGTGGACATGATTGGTTTGTCAGGAAATCCATGTAATTTAAGCGATCTATAAATGTAATGCGTACCATGGGGAGGGTGGAAAATGAAATCCTGCATGGTTAGGTGCTGTGAGTTCTGGGTGTAGCGGTTTCAATGGTTTATGGGACCTAGGCTATAAGAGAGAATCTAGGGTTAGATAAGACAGATTGTGGGTGGGGAAGCATTGAGGTGTTAAAAACAAAATCAAGGAAAAATCAGATGAAAGGGAATTTAAATATATGAGGGAATGGCAGAGATCAGATAGGTAAAAGTCATAAATAGGAAACATCATGAATTAACAAGGTTTAGAGTGCAGGAACTAACTAATGTTTAACTAAACAAGAGTAAAGGATGGAGGGTGCAATAGTCATCAGCTAAGCAGTAATACTGTGAGGTATGTAGATAGATAGGAATACAATTTAAAACAAAAATAAGCACAGGTTTTCACACGATGATTATCCAGAGATGCTACCTCTGCTTAGGGCAAACCCTGCAGTGTTAGGTGCTGCGAGTTCTGGGTGTAGCCGTTTCAATGGTGTATGGAACCCAGACTCTGCTTAGGGCAAATCCTGCAGGGTTAGGTCATGTGAAACGAGAGGAAGTGATCTGTGTGCCTATATTGTTCCTTTAAAGGACCACTATAGTGCCAGGAAAACATACTCATTTTCCTGGCACAATAGTGCCCTGAGGGTGCCCCCACCCGCCGGGCTCTGGAGAGAGGAAAGGGGTTAAACTTACCTTACTTCCAGCGCCGGGCGGGGAGCTCTCCTCCTCCTGTCCTCTTCTTCGGATGAATGCGCATGCGCGGCAGGAGCTGCGCGCGCATTCAGCGGGTCTCATAGGAAAGCATTTATAATGCTTTCCTATGGACGCTGGCTTCTTCTCACTGTGATTTTCACAGTGAGAAGCACGCAAGCGCCTCTAGCGGCTGTCAATGAGACAGCCACTAGAGGCTTTGGAGGCTGGATTAACCCATTTATAAACATAGCAGTTTCTCTGAAACCATGTTTATAAAAAAAAGGGTTAATCCTAGAGGGACCTGGCACCCAGACCACTTCATTAAGCTGAAGTGGTCTGGGTGCCTCGAGTGGTCCTTTAAAGGGACACTATAGCCACCAGAACAACTACAACTTAGTTTAGTTGTTAGTTTAGTTGTTCTGGTGAGCATAGTCAGTCCCTGCAGGCCTTTTGCTGTAAGCACTGTCTTTTCAGGGAAAGACATTGCTTTCTGCAGAAGTGCTGCCCACTACGCAGCACTGACATTCAGAGTCTCCGCCCTTTGCATGGAGACACTGAACTTTCCTCATAGAGATGCATTGATCAATTGATTGGTCAGTGTGTTATTTGGCTCCGCCTCTGGTCCTTCTCCATCGCTGAGATCATTAGAATCCAGGGGGAGGCAACTTTCGGCACTCCAGATGTTGTGGATTACATCCCCATAATTCTCTTATACCCATAATATTGGCAAAGCAATTTTTTTTTTGCTCTCTCTTCTGTACTCTAGTCACTCAAGCATGAGCCAAGGAATGCGACTAATGTAAACATTGGCAGAAATAAGATATGATGTCTGCAGCAAGAGGGGTTGAATACAACAACCCAAAGATAAAATGTTTGGATATGTGGATATTTGCACACACTATCCACATTTAACCAACTAATTATATCAATCATAAATAAATAGTACTAAGTTAATAATATAGAATATTCATGGATAATATCAATGAAGAAATTTCATATTTACTAACGTTGGTGGAATATGTGTAATTTTACTATGTGCTACACACATTTCACGCAAGAAAACCAGACACAGGATTACCAATGACAGATAACACTAAGTAATTAAATTTACTTTTTAAAAACTAACGGAATATTACAAACTTCCATTGTATAGAGAGGTGAAGAAGAGTTTAGGACGTGTCAGAAATCTAATTTAATGGCGAAAATTGCAGATACAAGTCTGGCTGAAATTAACCAAAATGCTTTGAAGAGTGACATGTCTTTGACGAATAGGTATAAAAGATAACCAAGATGATGTCAAACACATCACAAAATTCAGTTAAAGCGGCACGGTCATGCCGAATCCTGTTTTTTTTTTTTTTTTTAACCCCCCCCTCCCGCTTCCACTATCTCTAATTGACACCCGAGTCACTCCCAAATGTCCCTAAGCCCCCCCACATTACCTATTTTTTAATCTTTATTTTCTGCTCCGATCTTTATTCAGGGCGCCACCATCTTTGTGTAGGTAGATGAAGTCCCTCAGGGACACGTCATCAGCCCACACTAGACAGACTGTGAGATTCCCGCACATGCCCAGTGAAACACCTGGACATGCGAACGGGAATTTAATCTATTCATTCATTCATCAGACAGACGAATGAATGAATAGAAAAATCAGACGAACAAACTAACACTGTGTGTCAGTGTTCGTTTGTTCGTTCAGTTTATTACAAGGAGGGAGCTACCGGCACGATGCTCCCTCCTTGTAATATGTAAAGATAGAAGTGGCAGGGCTCCCCACCACTTCATAAGCCCCCCATTTCCCCCCCCTCACTCTATGGGGTCAATATGACCCCCATAATAGCACAAGGGAGATTAAAATCTCCCCAATGCCCCTACTCGCTATACTGCTTACTGTAAAAAAATAATCCAGGGGCTACTGTCATAATGATAATGAGCGGGTGGGGGACCTGTTCCCCAGGCCCCTGGGCGGTTGGTGGGGTCCAAATGATAAGGGGAAGACGACCTACTGTCCCTCCGCCCCTCGCCCCACCACTAGGGTGGGGCCATAAAGATAATGGGGGGACCTACTGGCCCCCCACCCCTGGGCGGCTGGATTATTTTTTTTGCGCTCAGGTGTTTTTTTTTGTGCTCTGGATTTTTATTTTGTTTTAGGTTCGAAGGGTATTTTATTTGGCCTTTTTTGGGGCTGAAAAATGAAGATTTTAGAAAAAAGAAGATGTCGAATGGTACTTTACAGGTTAGTAATTTGATTCCCCCTCACTATTTTTTAGGGTGAGGGGGGTAGATAGGGGACTTTTTATTTGGGTGGGGGGTGGGTGACTAGGGGCTTGGGGAAGGACAGTAGGTTCCCCCACTCATTATCATTATGGCCCCCACCCACTGCCCAGGGGTGGGAAACAGTAGGTCCCCCCCTCATTATCATTATGACCCCCACCCACTGCGCAGGGGTGGGGGCGACAATATTTCTCCCCCCTTATTTTACTTTAGGGCCCCCACCCATCGTTTAGGGGTGGGGGCCAATAGTTTTTGTTTTTGTTTTTTTACAGGCTGCTCACTGTTTAATAGACATGCCCCTACTCGCGGTATAGCGAGTAGGGGCAGCATTTACTAATACTAAGTAATTTTTACTTAGTATTAGTAAATGTGGCTGAAAGACCAATTTAGGTCTTTCAGCCTTTTAGTAGATATCTCCCTGATAACGTGGGAATTAGGGAGTTATCTATGCAGCCAAAGCAAGAATAGGATCGGAGTTTCATTCATTCAAATGAAATTGCGATCCGAACAAAATGCCGAATTGAGTTCTAAAAGAAACGAACATACTGTTCTCATTCAGTTAGAACGCAATTCGGCCGTTTCGGCTAAAATGACAGGAAGCATCGCGGGAACACTGAGGAAAGGCAAGAATTATGGGAAAATTGCTCTGACCAGCGGAAATGAAGCACACTTTGCTCCTGCGCTGGTCAGAGCTGGTCAAGCGGAGGAAACCTCCATAAGGCAAAGAGTCCCTACTTTGTCTTATGATTTTAAAGAAAACTAAAGAAGGGAAGAAAAGAAGAACAGATCCTGAGAGAGGGGGAGAAGAGGAAGAGATTGATGAAAGGTAAGTTCGGCATGACAGTGCCGTTTTAACCCATTATACAAAAAGGTAAATGGACTCCCTGACAAGAATTTTCTGTGATGTAATTGCACCATCTACTGACCAAAATCTAGATGATAGTCCACATTTCTCTATTGGTCACTATCAACTAGTGACGTATAGAGAACGTCCCCTTTAAAAAAATTAGGGACAAAGGAAAGAAAGACAGTCGCTGGGGATGCACTCACACCTAAGATCTGACATCTGGAGCCAAAACTGGACACACCTAATTCTTTGTATCTTTTCCAACTAATACTTAACTTTTAAATTCTTTAAAATTCAGAACTCTGAAAACTTTCCTATCTCCCACAATTCTCATTCATTCACCATTTTGGGATACATCTCCAAGCCTAAAAAAGAATTTTTATCAAAAGCTGGTAATTATACTGGTTCTATTAAATTAATTTAATTAATTGATTTTACTAAAAGGTAGAATATACTTGGATAAAAAGCTGGTGATTCCAACATTGAGTCATGATTTGTTAAAAATGTTTAGAATTTGTAATTCCATTCCTGCAGGTGGACCAATGAACTCTCTATTACTTTTAACTTTAAAAATAGAATACCAGGCAATTATCCAGATATATTAGCTTACATAATTTAGAAAAAGTGAATCTTAATTAGGAAAGTTAAAATTCTGCAAACGTAAAATCTGGTTAGAATTATTCTTATTGAATGGACATAGGAATGGTCAATGATCTAGTATGAGAAATATTGTATTTGTCATTGCAATATAAAAGGATATCTTGACTATGAGAATTGCAGACAGTAGTGAATTAGTTAATTCAGTGTGATTTGACTGTCAGCCAAAGTTTGTATTGCTTTATGCTGTGCTGCTAGGAGATGCTGTGTTCTGTGTTAAATTGATTTCAAAGTGAAGTGTCCGGTTGTAAATCTTGTTGAAGACTGCATACATGTTGATATAACTGTTGCCAAACTGAACTATCTATAAATTGTGTTAAACCACTGCCATATTGTATACTTATGTTATACCTAAATATTCACTGATTATTGTCACGCATGTTACATATTATTGTCACAATAAATTATATTTTTATAATTCATTTGTGATTAATGCGTGAAATAAAATCCTCTAATGAAACATACTTCAGGATCTATGAGAATTAAAAATAGTGGGTGATGCTCAACTTTAAATCATTAAATCGGGGAAACAGTGCCAATATATCAATTTGATATAATAAAAATAAATATCCTCACAGTGTAGTCCAAAACACCTGGAGTGCCAAATGTTGCCTATGCCTGGAAGAGAATTTCAGCCAATCCAATGCTTTCCTATGGGAAAGCATTGTGATAGGCTGAGATCATCACTTCTGATGAGGTCAGCCAATGAAGCAGATCAGAGGCAGAGCCAGCACCAACCGATTGGAATAAAGGTAAAATATTACTATATTTAGGAGGGCAAGATAGTGTTTTTAACACTATACACTCAAGAATACAGGTTTGTGTTCCTGACCCTATATTGTTCTTTTAAGGTTGTGTTTCTGAAGTTTTCACTTACAAAATACATAAATTTAAAAAAATTACTTTTTATTACTAAAAATTAAAGATTACGATATTAAAAGGCACAATATGGGCATCAATACATCCGAAGGTTAATGAAGCAGTTTATATGTATAGATCATGTGTCTGAAGTCTCATTGCTCAATTCTCTGCCATTTAGGAGTTATATCACTTTTGTTTCTGTCTATGCAGACCTAGTCACACCTCCCCTGACTTTAACTCAAAGATCTTGCATGAAAACAAATAGTTTCATTTACAATCAGATTTTAACTTAAATAGTGTTTATCTCCTGCTCTTTAAATTGAACTTTAATCACATACCGAAAGCTCGTGCAGGTTCTAACAGGCAACAGAGCAGGAAAAAAGACATTTCATTTAAATGTTTAGGACGGCTCTGTAAACCGTGAATTAAACATTGATACCGCAGGGGCATGGTCTGTAATCCAGCACTGCTTGAGTAAGCTGAAGTTGTTTTGGTGTCTACAGTGTGTCTTTAATAATTCATTCTGGTGCCTTACATGCATGCATTACTAGTTAAAGGGCCACTATAGGCACCCAGACCACTTCAGCTCAAAACTGCTATGTTTCACTGAGGGTTAATTCAGCCTCTAGTGGCTGTCTCACTGACAGCCGCTAGAGGCGCTTCTGCGATTCTCACTGTGACGCTGGACGTCTGTAACGGAACCGCTGGCACCCTGACCGGATACCTTCCGCTAACGGATGCTCCTAGTGCTTTCCGAGGACTCCAAGCACTCTGCCCGACAATATAACCACTGCAGACCCCATGAACCGCCGCAGCTTGGTTGGGGTCTCGCCGACTCCACCCACTCTGGACCCAAGAACAGGGTCCAGCTTCCAGTAGGTCGACCTCTCTCCGAATTCCAGAGAGCAGGAACAAGCTCTTAGCAGAGCTTAGTGATCATACCCTGGGGAGTATAGGGATTATAACAATCCCCAGAGTGTAGTTCTCCAATCCCCCAAACATGAGCTGAAACTTCATGAAGGTACAAGATGATCTGATCTTTTAATGACCACACACTGGCTTTTATGCAAGTCCCCATACAAGGGGACATCCCACAGGGTGGGACACAGTACAACCAATCATTTACAGGCAATCCGTAAAACATACCCAGCCCCAACATACAATCCCTCCCCTCTGCCTGTGATATAATTACTGAACACAATGGGTTAATGTAATTTATCAAAGGCAGGAAAAATACACTTTTTACACATATACTGTAACTTTAAAAATATGCATCATATTCACATAAAACATACATATTCAGAATCAGCATACTTTAAACACAAACATAACCAAAAATCACACAAATCCCCCCAGTAAATAAAAAGTTAGCTGGGAGTCCTTTATGACCAACCGCAAGCACATTTTCATGCCCAAAACTGTTCCAGAGAATCAGGCTGTGCGGTCGGTCTATTTCCCATGTTAAAGTCAGTTCCAACAGACGAACGACAACCATTCGAATTGTCAAACTGTCGAATGGACTGTCGAATGCATTGAAGTCTGGAGAAGGTAAAACTTCAGCTGAATTAAAAATAGCTGCTGCCACGTGTTCGTTTGTTGAATGCTGGCCCCCCAGCGTTTGCCAATTTACCTACAGCAGGCTCCCAGCCTGGGAGGTACATTGCCTGCACACTTCCACTTCTGGGTGGTCCGCCTGTGGTACCTGGTTCAGTAAGCTCCATGTACTGAACCAACTGGGAGAAAGCCAAAGACAAAGTATTTGAAAGGTCTGGGGACATAGTCACGCAAAGTCTCAATATATCCCCAGACGGTTCTTAAAGGGCCAGCATGGTCCAATACAAGTCCATAAACCACAATGCAGTTCTTAAAGGTCCAGCAGCAGCACAATATAAATCCATCGGCCCAAATAATGTTTGTAAAGTGCCATACAACCCAGGGCCGTAGTCATGAGGCAGGAGGCTGGCACTCAGGTTCCTCCAACAGCCAGGGGCAAAGGGCAACTTGTCACCTAAAAATCCAGTGACAAAAGGCATTTCGTCACAACGTCCATAGGAAAATATTGAGTAATGCTTTCCTATGGGCTGTTTGAATGGTGGAGGAGAGATCGGCGCTGGAGAAAGGCAAGTGGCTGAAGGGGTTTTATCTCCTTCAGACCAGTTGGGGGGGGAGGGAGGGGGTTCCTATGTCCATTCAAAAAATGAGTTTTCCTGGCATACTATAGTGCTCCTTTAAAATTACAAGTAAATCTTTTTATTTTATTTACAAGAAATAAAAATAAAAAAAACACAACCTTTGTGACTTCGTTATTATGACCGTTTAAATCCTGTCCAGAAATCATGACAAATATATATCTACTTTGCGAGTTTTTTTTCCAAATAATTTCTATTTTTGCACCATTAACCTTTCAAGAAATGTCAAAAACAACAATGTTCAAGATTAGGTCCCTTATGGAATGCTCAAACATATGTGCTTATTACTAATGAAGTTTGCAGGTCTCATCCAATTATAAATTCTGGATCAAATTTCATTCTAATGAGAATTCAGTCAATAACACATGATAATAGGCTTCTCGTTCTATGGAGAATACTTGATAGTAAGAATTAAAAAAAATATAAAAAAATAAAAATAAAATGTCTAATATTCCCTGGAAAGTGATAGGTTTTCTCCTCATGGCTTGTCTCTCAGCCCTATCCTCAAAAACACTCAAGATTAAATGATCATAGTGTCAAACCATTTAATAAGGTATTCAAATACTGTTAAAAAGCAGAGGGTGAGACACTAATGTAGGAGTATATAAGTCCTTGCTCAAAATGGTACACAGACAACCAAATTTTGACTAAATACAATTTCAAACAGCACTTTTTCAAAACGTAACTATTTTTACAAAATGTTACATATGTAAAAGACTAACATACCTACAACCCAATATGTTCCAAATTATCATAACATTTACAGTAAGAAATCCCATTAAGTTTAACAGAATTAGGCTATCAATGTCTAAAAATATAAAAACCTGCAGTTGTGTACCAGCATTTAAAAATAAATTATACATATATATATATATATATATATATATATATATTATATATATAAATTCTAATACAAATAAATCCTAGCAACATCAATACTTTGTGTGTAATAATTACACACTATGAACAATAAATCAAATACCGTATATACTCGTGTATAAGTCGATCTCCTGTATAAGTCGAGTGCAGTTTTGTGACCAACAATTGTGAAATATGCTATGCCTCGTGGATAAGTCGAGGGTAAAACTTGGGGCTATGAAATTCTGTGATTTTTATAATTATATACACACATACTCATACAAACACACACTCTGCATTATATACACACACACTCATACAAACATACACTCTACATTATATATACACAAACTCTGCATTATATACAAACACACACTCATACAAACACACACTCATACAAACACACACTCATACAAACACACACTCTGCGTATATAATGCAGAGTGTGTGTTTGTGTAGTGTGTGTGAACTGGGTGGGGGGAGGGCATTTTTATTATTTTAATTTTTATTTTAATATTATTTTTTTATTATTTTAATTTTATTTTGTCCCCCCCTCCCTGCTTGTTAACTGGTCAGGGAGGAGAGCTATCTTAATCCCTGGTGGTCCAATGGCATGGGCTGTGAAGTGGGGGGGCCGGCAGAAAGCATTTACTTGCCTTTCCTGCAGCTCCTGTCAGCTCCCTTCTCCTCCGTTACGGTCAGCTCCGCTGTAAGTCTCGCGGATCGTTGCCATGGCTCTGACGGCCGCGGCTCTCTAAGTTGCCATAATACAGACAGTGACTCGAGTATAAGTCGAGTGGGGGTTTTTAAGCACAAAAAATGTGCTGAAAAACTAGACTTATACTTGAGTATATACTGTAATCTTACTCTTTCACAGTTAGTACAAATGTCTTAACAATATCAAATTCTAGATATGAGATGACCCCTCCAATAAAGCTGTCACAACACCTTTTCCTTTATCAGAACAGAATCTAATCTTCATACTGGAAGCCCATTTTTGATATCAACACCACAGTAGCAGAGTTCACCCCAGAAAAAGCTGGCTTCCTATAATAAATAAATAAATAAATAAAATCTCTCCAAACTCTTTCTGCCTGCAGTTAGACATTTAGTACCACTCTACTGGCTTTAGCAGTGTGGGCCACAGGAACAGCACTGGCTTAGAAGGGTTGAAGAGGAACTGTATGGACGTTCTAATGGTAGGAAGCAGGACTCAATCCACCAAGAATTAATTTGCAACTTGGTCCTGTTAGATGCATATTTTGCTCAATGCCCACCCACCCACACACACACACACACACACACACACACAAATTAATCTTGACTGAGCACTATTAAAACACTCATCTCTTCTTCCACATTTCTTTTATTTAACCTTTTTCTTTACCATATTGATACCCCTAACCTTCATTAGAAAATAAGCATGGCAGATATAGGCCATACAGCTACAGGGGTTGAATGAACTCTTCCGCACACAAACTTGGCCTGAACTTTATATCCAATGATTTGGTTATACCGTTACCTGTAGTGTCTGCATTTAATATTTTCTCTGCTATTATTTGTATTACATCTGTTTTTGAATTTTTGTATACCTGTCACCATAAAACAAAAACAGTAACTACATAAAACAAAATATTAGAAAGTATGGGGATTATATGTCTATAAGGTCCATTAGGGCTTGACATGCTAGTTGAATTAGTTTATCCTTTAAAAGGAATGGCATATGCAGCATAGCTTTCATGGTGATGAGTGCTGTCCTTAGGTCCTTGGTCAAACCATTTGACCGGTGTGAGCGGAAATAGAGAACTGGCAGGCCGTCACAGTCCATTTTCCATTCACCTGGATTGCAAACGCATACATTCCGTAACATTTGTATCATTCATATATTGACAGTATTCACTGGCTGAGCACAGCAGCTGACTTGCACTGCCTTACCTAATAGCACACCTATGTAGTTCATGCAAGAGGGACGTAAATCATAGAAGGATCTGGAGTAGAAGTAAAGCCAGGTCGACTAGTAAAATTTACATTTGCCAAATCTTAACTAACAAGTTAAGAGAGGCTCTAATTAGTTTTAAAAATATATATATGGTTCGTTTGGGAAGTAGAAAACTATTTCCCTTGAGCAGCTTTTGAAACATACAAGTGCAACTGAAGACCCGTAAAATCCCCATATGCAATGGAAGCCCTAATCAAACAAGCAAATTATAGGTTATCCAGGCTTAGTCTCTCACTGTACCATTAAAAAAAATTTTTTTTTTTTTTTTTAAATCTCTTGGGAAATGTGGTAAGGGAATGTTTTTTCTACCTTAAAGCATCAAGTTTCACATGTTTATTATGAAAAACAAACCATTATCTCAAGGTTAGACTAAAAAAAAAATACTATGGAAAGGGGTGGGCATTTCTGGAAATTTTCATATAAAATAGTGGCTGTTATAACAGCATTTACAAACCCCAACTAAACATACAAAAACTATTCATACATTTCTATATAATTTTATTTAAGAGGGATTAAAAAGAAGATTACGCAGGGAGGTAGGGCACTATAGACGACAAACATTTTTCAGGTGAGTATATATAACATGGGATTGTATCAAATCATTATCAATTGATACAGGAGTGACCAAAAGAAATCTCTGGGTAACGTGCAGAAGCTTACAATCATTCAACTAATATAATGCAGTTATGACTGCAGTGACCACCAGTATGTTACTGACTCCTGCAGACTAATGTGAGCATTGAATTATTTTTTTTAATACATTTTTATTTAAAACTTGTGTGCAACATAAACAAAGCCATAGGCTAGAACAGAAAAAAAATAATCACAACTCCGGGGAGAAAATATATAAAAAGAAGGTTACAGGAACACTTTTTTCTTTTTATAGCACACTGCACTAGCTTTGTTAACAATGCCTGCTCAGATTAAGTAGTGAAACTGTTTGGGAACAGTTTTAGAGCTGGAGTTTGCAAGGCTATTCCTCCCACGGAGCTTCTAGTAGCTTTACTAAGCTTAGTCCTTTTTGTGTAGGGTCCCAATACTGAAAGAATACTAATCAGCTGAGTGCTCTTAACCAATGAGCTAAGCCCTGCACCACTAGACTTTGCTTGTGCTGGATCTCCCAGGGTCACAAAGCGGAGCCTGGGAGACCCCAGTCTGACCATGGAAGCAACAGGGGTGGTTAAAGACACGCAAGTCACCAGAAGATGACTTGCATGTCTTCATCTGCCCTGATACTGAGCCACGTTAGCGCAAACCTCCAAGATGTCATGTGACACGGAAACGGAGACCGAACTACAATCCCCGGAATACAAGTTGATAGGAGTCACGTTCACTTCTGGGAGACCCCACGTGACTCGAAGGAAATGAGCCAGTCTGCCCCCAATTAGCAAGGCACACCAGATTTCATTTAGGTGTTATCCACCAATATATACACACTGGGACATTTCAAGGATATTCACAATTCTGAGGAAGCCCTGCTGAGAGAAACATTGGTTTCATGTGGTATTGATGACCCCCTCCATTGACTTGATATTGTGCTTTTTACTTTTGACTGAATATATTTTATACTTTTCAATTAAGTAGACTTAACAATAGTGTAACTCCTATTTTATTATTTAGCTGCTGACTGTTCCTGGTTCCCGCATATCACAGGTGAGGATACCACGCCTTTGCTCTTTAGTTTGTAAGTAGGATACCTTTTATACTTGCATACTAAATCATCAAAATCTTGTTTTTTTTGCTTTATTTTAATATTGAAATACTGCAGCAGATTTTCACATATCCTGAGACGTGATTGTACAATCCTAGCACTATACAGCAGAGCTCTGAGTAGCTCAAAGTGTGAGTTCTCTGTCTAAATCATCTATTCAATATCTAAAATTGATGTGACATATTACACTATCATTTGTCTCATTTTTATTCTGAGGTTTTTTTGAAAACTTAACCATTATTCACTTAAATTGAGAAAGTATGTATATTATAAGGTTATTGATCTACTGCTCCCACCCACAGTAATTATAGAGAGCGCCTAGATTCTTTTTTTTATTGATTTTGGTGAGGGCAGTCTTCATAAACTATTATAAATAAAAATAAGTTCATATAAAAAAAAAAAAAAAAAAAAAAAAACAAGAAGCTCACTTTCTGCTTGTTCTTTCCTGGCAAATTTTTTTTTACCTTCAGCTATCTACTTCAGGAGATTACCTAATACGCAGCAAAAGTAATGTTTATTGCTCAAATAGCAACTTGCTTAATGAATTCTTAGGATCAGCATAAAAAAAGCCATATTTAACAATAAAAGATAGCACCATGGCTATCACTGATGGTTGTAAGACTTCCATTAACAAAACACTTTGGTAAGGATCTATTAGGTCATTTAAACAAACCAAAAACCAGTTTAATTCAATTTGTTCCAAGCAGTTGATACACATAATCAGTACCTTAATCACAGATATGCTAGCAATGAGCATTTTACAGCTCAAGTGTGGACACATTTGCTTTGCAATCAGCACATCAACTGTACTGCAACTATTTTTTATATTTTCTTTAAAGTGCCCTATTAAAAGTCGCCCTGTCCTGATGTCACTCACTCCCTTTCTGTGGCCCAATCAAATGTTTCTCATAAATAAGTATTTGGCTGGACCGTTTCCTTATTGGACCACTATAGGCACCCAGACCACTTCAGCTCAATGAAGTGGTCTGGGTGCCAGGTCCCTCTAGGGGTTAACCCTGCCTGCTGTAAACATAGCAGTTTCAGAGAAACTGCTATGTTTACATATGGGTTAATCCAACTTCTAGTGGCTGTCTCATTAACAGCCGCAAGAGGCACTTCCGCGCTTCTCACTGTGATTTTCACAGTGAGAAGACGCCAGCGTCCATAGGAAAGCATCGGCATCGCGCATTCAGCCAATTACCTCGTAAGGAAGAGGAGAGTCCCCAGCACAGAGGGAGCCCGGCGCTGGAGAAAGGTGTTTAACCCCTTCCTCCAACCTCAGCACAGCGGGACGGGGGCCATGAGGGTGGGGGCACCCTCAGGGCACTATAGTGCCAGGAAAGCGAGTTTGATATTCTGGCACTATAGTGGTCCTTTAAGTTCAGCGCATTCACACGCTCTGATTATTGTTCTAATCAAAATATAAATAAGTCTGTATTTTGACATTTATTTATAAAATATTTTACCAGGAAAGATACATTGAGATTTCTCTCGTTTTCAAGTATGTCCTGGGTCCACAAATCATTGCATTGTTACATTAGGGTACAATAAAATACAAAAACAATATTAATACACAATAAATACAAAATGTAACATAAAACAGGTAGGAAACATATAATCAACCATGACGGATGCATTTTGTTTTGAGGTAGAATGCCAATGTACAAGGAGTTACTTACTAAAATCAATTAATAGTTTTAGAATTAAAACACAATATTTAGGGAAAGAGCGCAGATTTGGAACAACTAAAGTAAAAAGTTTAACAATTTTAGCAAGCATTTTCATTGATGTATTTAAATCATGGCAATTCATGTTCCTACAGTTCACTAGATTTGAAAGGACATTGTAGGCTGGTACCACAATCTGCAAAAAAAAAAAGTGCCTAAGTGCCCAAGGTCCTTTCATCTAATCCTTCACCTGAATAACATTCAGTAACACTGTAAAGACATCCAATATATTATACACACAGTTCTGTTTAAAGGGACACTGTAGGCACCCAGACCACTATAGCTCATTGAAGTGGTCTGGGTGGAGTGTCCCTTTTGAACTTAGTGCAGCAATGTAAAACAATGCAGTTCCAGGGAAACTGCAATGTTTACATTGCAGCTCTAAGTCTGCCCTTAGTGGTTTGAAACGGACCTTTGGTCCAGTATCTAACGCTGGACGTCCATTAGCTCGGCATGTGGACCATCAGCGTCATTTTTTCTTATAGAAAAGCATTGGTTTGCCTTGCATGTGTACAAGACTCTGCTCGTCGTTGGGCGGATGAGGAGCGTCGAGGGACATCGGCTGTGGGAAAAAGTAAATAAAGGATTACCAACCCTTTATTTACTGGGAAGTGGGGGGTGGGGGGGGGCGTAAGGGAGTGGAGAGGCAGGGGGCAATAGTGCCAGAAATACAGCTTTGTATTCCTGGCACTAAAGTATCCCTTTAACCTCTTAATGACGTATGATGGACCCGGTCGCGGCGATCGCTGGGTTAATGCACCTGATCGCGCTGTCTCATATGCTGCAGGGACTCCTGATCCACCTCCCAGCAATTCCACGGTCAGTGTGAAGAGCAGGGAGACTGATCAGTGCTGCCGATCTTCTCCCTGTAAAAAAATAAAGTATAAGTTAAATCCCACCCCCTTTCCCCTGCTTTATTAAAATTAACCCATTCACTGCCATTTGATCACTGACTACAGTGATCAAAATACTTATCAGGGTATTTTACAGTGATCTGATTTTTTTTTTTTTTTACCCCCTCAGGGGTTACAATTTATTTTATTAATTTAAATATTTTAAAATTATATATTTTGCTAGCTAGGCTGGGTGGAAGTTAGTGGAGAATTGGGGGATTTGGTGTTAGACTAGCTAGGGATTAACGTTAAAAAAAAAGTTTTTAAAAAAGCTTTATAAAGTTTAAAAAAAAAGGTTTAATAACTTTAAAAAAAATAAATAAAAATCACCCTCTCCCCCCCCACTTTACCCAGTACTAATAAAAAATAACTTCTTCCCTGCCAGTTGATCACTGCTTAAGGTGATCATAGTATAATACTGGGATCTGTATTTTGATCAAAAAAAATTTTTTTTATACCCCTGAGTGTTAACTTGTATTTATTTATTTTTAACCCTCAGGGGTTCAATTTATTTAATTAAATTTAAATATTTTAAAATTATATATTTTACTAGCTGGGATGTGTGGGAGAAAAATTGGGAATTTACTGTTAGTGCTGCTTACAGCTTAGAGTTTAAAAAGGTTAAAAAAAATATATACATAAAAAAATGCTCATTACCACTACACCTGGAACAAACTAGGGAAAAAAAATATCCTATCTAAGGTTCAAAATATGCCTTTTGAATTACCTCGGGATGTATTTTTTTATAAAATAGTATGAGTTTGTGGGGAAGTTTGATTAACCAACCAGCTAAACTACTCCAAAATGAAACATGGACACAGTGTAAAACTTCTAAGTTAGAAAAAAAAACTGAATGGCTGCGTCTCAAATGTGCCCCTTCAACATCCACACATAACTGGCAAAGGTACATACGGGGTATTGTTGTACTCGGACGACATAGCTGAGCAACATATGAAATATTATACAGCCGTTACAAATATAAGATTTGCGAGATCATCAATCCTGACGATTTCAGTCTAATGAAAAGTTTCTTATAAGTAATGAAAATACACGGTCAATACTGTGTGTAATTACACCATATGTGAATACATTTGGCAAAAAGTAAACATAGCTTGTTCAAGAAATTGCAATGTTTTAAATTGTCAGTGTCAAGAGGCAACATGCACGCACCAAAACCATTAAATTAAGATGAAGCAGTTTTGGTGGTTAGTGTTTAATGCAATTTTTGAATATATGCCATTTATTTTTCTTGGAGATGCAACAGATTTATCAATCTTTTCACTTTTTCTACCCCGACAGAAAACTACTCTGTTTACCTTCCCTTTTTTTATGCAATACTAATTCTGACAGTCTTCTGAAATAGTATGTTCTGTGAAAACTGGCAGAAATTACACAAAGAAAGCAGTCACTTTCAGAACTTTAAAGTATAAAATTAATACAATGTTAAACAAAAATCTGCACACCAGTTAAGCCATAAGACTTGCTTCTCCCACAGAAATCACAAATTTGCAGTGGTGTTACTACCACAAAGGATTCTGGGTGGGCATACACAATTAGTTTAAATTTTTTTGCCTCATTTCATTTTAAACATGGATTCCTTTGAGTCTGTGTATGCTGTATACAACAGCTTTGAAAAACAACTTAGGAAAAGATGGAAAGCCAGTGAACCACTCATCGACAGCTGTTTCATTGTTAATGCAAATCATCAGCATGAGGTTTGTTACTGATTTGCTATTGAGGCTTGGTAGTGCTTGGGAAGCAAAAACAAAAAAGGTTATGGTGGTCAGGTCAACTGTCCATGAGTGGTCACTGGCTTTGCATCTTTTCCTAAATTGTGTATACAGCAAACACAGACTCAAAGATACCAAGGATTAACCCCTTAGGGACTGAGCCAAATGTACACGTTGTGATCAAAACATAAACAAAACCTTGAATTTGCGCTATATGTCTGTTCAGGCGTAACCCACACTTATTATATATCATTTAATTCAGAGAAACAGGGCTTTCATTTATCATCAAATATTTTAGGTATGAAACAAGTTAATGGGAATAAAATATTTTTAAAAAATGGGAGAAAATAAGATTTTTTTAAAAAATTTTTTAAATGTTTTTAGTTCTACGTGACATTTTAACTGTGAATGTCATTATACTGTTTGCTTTTACTGCAATAAAATACACATTTTTATTCAGCGATGTCTCACGTGTTAAGGAGTACCCACTATGTACAGGGTCACATATAGCATGTTACGTTTTTCAGGTTTTTTTTCACATTGAAATTCACCAGATTGGTTACGTTGCCTTTGAGACCAAATGGTAGCCCAGGAATGAGAATTATCCCCATGATGGCATAACATTTGCAAAAGCAGACAACCCTAGGTATTGCAAATGGGGTATGTCCAGTGTGACCACCCAATCTGGCTTTGAGTAACTCTTTGATCTTATACACATATGGATTTGTTATGGTGTCTGAGGTCATGGGCACCATCTTACCATATGTGGCTAACTAGTTTTTGAATGATTTTACCCATAGTCCACCCACTGGCTGTGCCCCTCTGACTCCTCCAGCAGAAGCCTTTCCCTTTGAGCGGCAGAGATAGGCTGAGAGTGTCAGCTGGCGATCTCAGTCTATCACTGGTTGCTCATTGAGAGAAAAAAGTTTTAGAAAAAGGTACATAACTTCCTAAAGGTGACTTAAAAAGCATAGGGTTAAAAAAAATAAAAAAAATAAAAAAATAGAATAAATGTGATTTTCAAAAAAAAAAAAACAACAAAAAAAACCCAGCTAATTTGGCTTACAAATCTCACGTTTGTAAGCCAAATTACTCTCCCGTTTCTAATTCATTTCAATTCACTATAGTGAATTTAAAAAAAATAAAAATAAAAAAAACACCCAACATGCTAGCAAGTTAGACTACTACTATCTCTGGGCATCACCAACAGCATTTCTGCTGCTTGTAGATGTTTATGTGTTTTAAAAAAAGTTTTCAATTGGCATTTATCATAAAACTATTTTATTACAAGATAAGGAGAATCCTATAATTCTTCTTTGCTTGCCTCAGCAATAAATAAATAAAACGCCAAAAAGAGACTCTGGTAGCCCCTCAGTGTCCCAACCTCTTAATTTGTGTGTTTCTTCCAAACAACTCCACTTTGGTTTCATCTGTCCACAGAATATTTTGCCAGTACTGCTGTGGAACATCCAGGTGCTCTTGTGCAAACTGTAAACGTGCAGCAATGTTTTGTTTGGACAGCAGTGGCTTCCTCTGTGGTATCCTCCCATGAAATCCATTCTTGTTTAGTGTTTTACGTATTGTAGATTCGCTAACAGGAATGTTAGCATTTGCCAGTGACTTTTGTGAGTCTTTAGCTGACACTCTAGGATTCTTCTTCACCTCATTGAGCAATCTGCTCTGTGCTCTTGCAGTCATCTTTACAGGACGACCACTCCTAGGGAGAGTAGCAGCAGTGCTGAACTTTCTCCATTTATTGACAATTTGTCTTACCGTGGACTGATGAACAGGGAGGCTTTTGGAGATATTTTTATAACCCTTTCCAGCTTTATGCAAGTCAACAATTCTTAATCGTAGGTCTTCTGAGAGCTCTCTTGTGCGAGGCATCATTCACATCAGGCAATGCTTCTTGTGAAAAGCAAACCCAGAACTAGTGTGTGTTTTTTATAGGGCAGGGCAGGGCAGGGCAGCTGTACACACACACACACACACACACTATACAAACAGACTGCATTATATACACACACACACTGCATTATGTACACACACACTGCATTATATACACACACACTATACAAACACACTGCATTATATACACACACACTATACAAACACACTGCATTATATACACACACTATACAAACACACTGCATTATATACACACACTATACAAACACACTGCATTATATATACACACACACTATACACACTGTATTTTTTATATATATATATATATATATATATATATATACACACACACACACACACACACTGCATTATACACACACACTATACAAACACTGCATTATATACACACACACTATACAAACACTGCATTATATACACACACACTATACAAACACTGCATTATATATACACACACACACACAACAAACACTGCATTATATACACACACACTATACAAACACACTGCATTATATATACACACACACTGCATTATATACACACTCACACTATACAAACACACTGCATTATATACACACACACTATACAAACACTGCATTATATACACACACTCCATTATATACACATACACTACGCAAACAGTGTATATAATGCATTGTGTTTGTGTTGTGTGTTTATATAATGCACACTACACAAACACACTGCATTATATACACACTATACAAACACACACACTGCATTATATAAACACACTACATTCACTACACACACACTCCACAAATACACACACACACTCTGCATTCATTATATACGCACACACACTTTGCATTTAGTATATACAGCATTCACTTTACGCACACTACCCAAACAATCTGCTTTCATTATATACACAATACATACTGCATCCACTACACACACTAGACAAATACACACTACATCCACAACACACAAACACACATAGCTCCCCTGTCTAAACACACTGCATCCACTACACGTGGCATGTATATTTTGTGCATTCACCTTTAGAAATAGTTTTTATTTTCCAAAATGGTAAATGTACAGAATATCGGCAAATTATATCAGCTATCAGCCTGAAAATTCACAGAATATCGGTATCGGCTCTAAAAAAATCAATATCGGTCGATCCCTAGTAAAAATACCTCTCGTGATGGGAGGGGTGCAGGTACCTAAACAGACATAAAAAGACAAACATTCTGACACACTAACATACACAGTCTAGGGATTGACCGATATTGATTTTTTTAGAGCAGACACCGATATGCTGTGAACTTTCAGGCCGATAGCCAATAACTTACCGATACTGATATTCTGCACAAAAAAAAATAACTATTTCTACACAAATCTACTGTTAACATGTTTATTTTATTTTTTTTGCAAATCTTTTTTTATTAAAGGTAAATGCACAATATCCATATCTGCCAAGTGACCCGATGTTGGGGTAACATTCCCTATTCTGCTCTGTGTCAGTGTGTATCAGGGATCCTTAGACGGATATAATGCCAGTCAGAATTTTTTGTTTTCAAGAATGTGTGTGTAGTGGATGCAATGAGAGTATTTGATTAGTGAATGCAGTGTGTGTGTCTGTGTAGTGGATGCAGTGTGTGTGTGTTTATGCAGGGAGTCTTTCTGTAGGTATGTAGTGTGTGTAAAATGGGGGGGGGGGCATTTTTATTTTTACATTTTGTTTTAGTCCCCCCTTTCTGCTTTTTACCTGGCCAGACAGGGGAGATATGGCATTCCTGGGGGCCAAGCACATGCTTACTTAACCTTCCCAGCAGCTCCCTTCAGCTCCCCTTCTAACTCTTGCGGCCTGCATGCCACGTTGCTATAGTAACCTGTGGCAGCACTCTGACTGCTGTGGGACTTGTGAGATTTAGACAGGGGAGCAGAAGGGAGCTGCTGGGAAGGTAAGCAAGAGTGTTCTGGGTCCCCGAGGACCCTGATGGCGGCTGTGGTCTGCATTATCGGCAGATACCGATATTCAGTCAATCCCTAATACACACACTGACATTTTTCATTTTAATCCACCCAGCCTCCCTACCTGGGGGCCAGTGGGGCTGCTCGCCACGAAGCAGTGATCTACCTGCAGCTCCTCTCAGCTCCCTGTAAAGATGCTGGGGATGGAATGACGTCATATTCCCAGCTTCACTATACAGCGCGAAGAAGCAGAGAGGAGCTGCAGGAAGATTAATCCTCCCTTGCTGCCGCCTCCATGCAGCCCAGGGCAGCCGCCTCCATGCTCCTCAGGCCGGCTCCATTGTTCCCAAATTCTACTATAACTTAAGGGCTTCAAATCCCAGACACCAAGGCAAAATTTATAGTCGCCATGGCAACCTGGGATTTGTTGAGCCCCATTTTGAGATATCAACCAAATCTGACATTGCCTGCAATCACATTATAATGTTTCACAAATAGATCTATATCTTCCTATATGGTACGTCCGATAGAAAATCGCCACTTACCTGATCGCTGGCAATCTCACATCGGCATTCGCGATCCTGGGCTCTGGCTGGGAGCTCAGGCAGAGCCCACTGCCCGATCCGGCCCTCCCGTGTCATGTGGTCGCAGTGTCTTCGCAATCACATGGCCGGAATACATGGCTTGTGCTAGGGCCTGCCTGAGCTCTCAGGCTGTCCCCCTAATGCCTGCAGAAAAGTTTTACAAACTTTGTAAAACTTAAATAAAAATTTTTTAAAGTAGATAAAAGTACTCAGATCTCATATATATCACACACACACACAAATTATTAAGTGTTTTTTAATATTAATCTATATAAATTTATACATGTTTTTAAAATACTATAATATATATATATATATATATATATATATATATATAGTAATATAATATATATACTCTGAGCATATCCGTTGTGATTCTCCCATTTCCAAAGCGAAGCAGTGATTAGAGCTTTTGGTTACCCAAACATCAGCCTAGACTTGATGAAGGGTACAACAGGATCTGTTTATTGAAGGCCAAATACACAGTATTTATGCAAAGACCCCCGCAGGGGGTCTCCATTCACAGTAATGTAAAACATAAGCCCGTCCTGGTGAGGCTGTTTCTGGGGGATAATGGTATCTCCCAGGCACAGGAAGCAGACACACACAAAAAAAACCCCCCCACAAAATACACAGAACACCGTAATGCATCCCCACATGCCCTACATCCTCCTGGTCTAAGCTATGCTCCCTGAATATTTCGAAGTGATCGGATGTACAGAGCCTGAGAAATCATCGTGTAAAATCTGGGCTTGCGGCTCTGTACATACTCGAAAACAGTTCCACAAGATCACTTTTTATGACGGTGAAAGCAGCGGCCAATCCAGAGAAAGGACGCGAACACGTAGCGGCCAATCAGCATTCAGAGAGGGCATGTGTTTTGCTGACCAACTGGGAGAAAGGGCGCAAAACCAATTTTAATGGTAGCGCTTCTCCCATTGGTCAGCACGGACTCTGCTGTTGTGAAGCCGCCTGCTAATTGCAGAGTGTCAGCTAGGGCTTGCGCCTCTCCCTGGCGGATGTCTCCACGTGGGTAGCACCAAGGAGAGCGCATTTTTGGGGACACAGTTCATTACATTGCTCCTCCCCAGTTCCTTAGTACAGCATATCCTGCCAGACCTCCACAGGTCGGCATGGGGATGTCCGAGAAGCAGGGGTCAATTAGAGTTCCAGTTCTGACTGGCGGGATAAACAGTCGGTGTTGTGGTTCTGTTTGACTTGCCTGTATTGAATAGTAAAATTATAGGTTTGCAAGGCCAGGCAGCCTTAGGATTTGTATTTCACCGGCTTGTATTGTTTCTGGTGACAATAGTGTCCTTTTAAAGGGACACTATAAGTATCAAACCAACTTTAGCTTAATGAGGCAGTTTTAGTGTATACATTATCCCCTGCAGTCCCACTGCTCAATCCTCTGCCATATAGGAGTTAAATCATGCTTGTTTCGGTTTATGCAACCATAGCCACACCTCTACTGGCTGTGACTCACACCGCCTACATGACAAAGAGGTTTCATTTTCAATCATGGTAATTTGCTATAGACGTTTTATCTCCTGCTCTGTAAATTGAACTTTTGTGACACACAGGAGGCTCCTGCAGGATCTAGAAGGCTATTAACAGTCTCTGCAAATAAGGATGTTTAAACATTAGATCTCTCTTTACAGTAGGTATTTAATAAAGCTGCAAAAGTCACATGAAGGGAGGTGTGACTAGGGCTGCATAAACAAAGGTGATTTATTTAACTCCTAAATGCAGTGAATTGAGCTATGAGCCATTAAGTTAAAGTTGTTCTGTGCCTATACTGTCCCTGTAAGTGGACTATCATTTTACATATTAACCAGAAATGTAGCTGTTGACCTTGGCTTCACCCCTAGGGTACAGAAGAGAGTGCAGAATTTTATTGTACCATTTGACAATTTATTAAAGAATTTAGCAATAGACTAAAATCAACAGTATAATTTACTGTTTACTATAATAACCAAGTCTTAACCCTTTAAGGACAGTGGAGTCTGCATTTTGTGAATAAATTTAAAGAACAGTATGCAGAGCTTACTTTGAGGGCTGCATACTTCTCAACGGTCCCTCTGCAGCCCACCAAAAAAAAAAAAAGGCCTTAGATGATAGAGGGGAGTCCTAGGTTTCCATTGATACCTATGATCCCTTGGTATAAGCAGGGATTTAACCCTGCTCACACTGCATTACAACCTATGGGGACTTATGTCCATTTAAAGCAGGGCTTGACAAATTTGTTTGGAATCTAGGAGCCAGCTAAAAAAGTTAGGAGCCAGTTTTTTTAGTTTTGTTTTTTTTTTTTAAAAGGGACACAGTCACCAGAACCACTACAGCTTAATGCTGTAGTGCCTATAGCCTGTCCCTGTAGCCTTTTCAATGTAAACTCTGCATTTTCAGAGAAAAGGCAGTGTTTACATTGCTGCCTACTAAGACCTCTAGTGGCAGTCACTCAGATGGCCACTAGAGAGTCCTGTGTCAGTGCTCTTCATGGACGCTCTGAATGTTACCATACAGAACATGCGCAATATCCTCCCAATGCTCTCCTATAGGAAAGCTTTGGCTTATCTGATATCATAAAGATTGATGAACTCGGCAATGGAAGTGGGACAAGGCGCAGCAAAACCTGCAAGGCTTGGGGAAAAAAGGTGAGTTAAAAAAAAAAAAACATCATGTGATCGGAGGGGGGGCAGGTACCTAAACAGACAGACACACACACACAGAAGTTTACACACACGGTTTTGTGATAAACTGATTAAATGAAAAGTGTCAAAATGTTCTAAATTACACAGCCTGTGGGTGTACTTTTTACAAAAATAATACTTTTTTGTAGCTGTTTTGGATTCTGTGACTACTATTTATTTGTGTAATCTCAGATTGCCAAATTATGCAAAGTTTTAGCTTTAAAAGTGCAAAAACATGTATTGAAATCTTAGATATACTGGGCATTTTAACAATCAGGACTGATTGGTGGATCTATTTTGAGTTACTTTACTTGCACTTTGTGTGTAGAAATTATTGCAGGTAAAACAACAACAAAAATTATATATATATATATATATATATATATATATATAAATAAAAACCATTATGTATACATATAGGATATAGAAAGAAAGCCCCATCTTTCATTTAAAAAAAAAAAAAAATATATAATAAGTAAGGGTGCACTTGAACAGAAAGGGGTAAATTGTTGTGGAATGAATGCATGGCAAAAACACCAAAAAGGACATGGTCACAAACGCGTTGCATCTCAAAAAAATCCTAGGTCCTTAACGGGTAAAGGTAGGTATACATACACTATAATATATATATATATATACACATACACACACACACACACACACATACATACATATATATACACACACACACACACACACACACCTACCTTTACCCGTTAATGACCTAGGATTTTTTGAGAATATATCTAACAAAATCAATATTTTGGTTACCAGTTTTTCACATTTAATCAGGGATTTAGTTGTATTTTACATTGCTGTGACAACTACCTGGGACATTTAGGCTAGGAAGACAATACTCACATACAATTATTCAAGTTAAACAGTCAAATAGGCATGATCTTATTTTTACTCATCGAGAGCAATACACTTTGGCTTTTTATATGGGAATGGGACGAGCATATTGATAAGCCAGTCATTAGCGGAAAGCATATGGATAAGAACCACAAACTTAAGTGACTGTGAGACCCAATAACCAATACATTCCTACTAACAAAAAGGAATCCATCTGTCTAAAATAAATAAAAATATATAAATAATAATGAACACAACTACAATTCAGTAAAGGGATATTAGGGGGACGTGGGGGGGCAGTAAAAATTTTTTTTTAAAAAGTTAAAAAAATAAAGGACAAGAAATAATGGCACGACTAAAATAGGGAAGAATACTTCTTCCTATTATAGCTAAAATTAATTAGAACCCTAAAAATTTAGTAGAAATTTAAATCAGAAATCAACATTCCTTTTTGCATTTTAAATCACGTTATGTGGTACATTTACTAGGGCTCAACATTTTCACTTGCCCACTAGCAAGTAAAAATTTAGTGCTGAATAAAATTCCACTCTTGGTGAGTGTGCCATTCCTTAGCTCATATAAATCAGACCTTCACTCCCTGTGGTAGGAAAAGAGAGGTAGGAAGGGAGGAATAGTGGCACACATCAGGACCTACGTCATACTTTTCCTCTCTTATTTGTTCATACTCCCACAATCCCAGGCGGCTCTGATACCTTCAACTCTCTTCTTCCCCCTACTGTACGGGCAAGATTAAACAGTTAAGGAAATAATGATGTCCCCTTCGCTCTTCTTTCTCTCAACCACACTAGGACTGTGCCTTTCCCACCACTTGTCCGTTTGATCTCGTCCCATCTCACCTTATCAGTTCTCTCTCTCTCCCCTTGTCTTGTGCCATCATTAATGCATAACTTACACTGCTCTCTATTTTCTGGGATTGTTCCTGCTCCTTTAAAAACATGATACTGTGGTACTCGTCCTTTGAAAGCCAACTCGACCCATCTTCCCTTTTCAACAATCGGCCCATATCCCTGCTCCCTTTTTCCTCAAGGCTTCTACAAAGACTTGACTTTACCAGTTTGGTTTGCTTTCTTAATTCCAACTCTCACTTCGACCCTCTTCAATCTGGCTTTCACCCCTCCACGCTACTGAGACTGCTTTGATTGAAGTAACAAAATCTAAATTACGACTAAATCCAAAGGCCACTACTCTATAATAATTATTTTTGACCTCTCCATTGCTGTTGACATTGATGATCATGTTCTCCTTCTCCAAACTCTTCACTGTCTCTGTGACACCGTCCCTTTCATGGTTCCCATCTTATATCTCCCAACATTCATTATCTTCTTTTCTAAAGGCACCCCCTACTAAGTTGGAGTTCCCTAAGGTTCTGTTCTTGGTCCCCTTTTGTTTTTTTTTTCCTTTATACTTCAACCCTTGGCAAACTTATTAATGCATTTGTAATCTTGTATTCCACCACCACCTGTATGCTGATGACACCTAGATATATCTCACATCTGTCCTACGCGTCACTAGTTGTCGTACTTCCATCTCTGATTGAATTTCAGAAAGCAGGAGGATATCCAATCTCTTTTTTTCCTCCTCATAATACTACATAATACACAAGACTTCTCTTTCGGCCTCCCTGCATGCTGATGGTATCCGCATCAGCCCATTCCAGAAAACTTCCCACATTGGTGTTATCTTTAATTCTTGCCTCAAATTTAGTCTGTTGCTAAAACTGGTCAATTTCACCTTAAAAACACTGCCCACATCAGTCCCTTTCTTAGGCAAGATGATGCCAAGGAGTTTGTTCATGCTCTAGTAATATCTTGCATGGACTACTGTAATGCTCTTTTAATTGGTCTTACCAGAAGCCATACTGCCTTGCTACAGTCTGTAATGAATGCTGCCCCCAAGCTGATTTTTCTCTCCTGTCACTCCTCACACACACACACACACACACACCTCTTCCTGTGTCAATCCTAACATTGGCTTCATGTACCCTATAGAAGTCAATTCAAAATACTAACCCCTAGCCCTTGGTATATTTCTTCACTAATTTGCAGGTTTGCCCCTACTTGGTCTCTCCACTCTGCTGGGGACTTTCGCCTTTCCACTGCTCGCATCCTTACTGCTAACTCGCACTTGCAGTACTTTTTCTGTGTGTTTCCTTACCGTTGGAACATTCTGCCTACCCCATCAGATTCTACAGTAGTCTTTAATCATTTAAGAAGTTCGCCAAAACCCATCTCTTCAGAAAAACATTTGGGCTCCTAGAGTAACTTATATTTCACAAACCTGTCTTTTGCTTTCTCCTAAAGGGCCACACTCCACTCTCAACTTCCAGTTCTCCTAATTTCCCATTACATAGTCTCTGAAAAGAGACTCGCGTGCATCAACAGCCTTCCTCACATATGTTTTTGCTGTTGATCCAAAAGAAGGCAAAAAACCTAGTCTGAAGCGTTTCCAATTTTGCAACAAACTAGGAAACATTCCCTTCTTGACCCAAAAATAGTAGTCGTATATCTCCTTGGATCAAGCAGCTATTACCCCACTAATTTGAAATTATATTCCTGTATGTTATGTTTTTATTACATATCCTTATTGTTCTTACTGTTAAAAAAAGCTTCTCTTTGCCTTAGATGAAATCTCCTTTCTTCCAGCCTGAATGTGTGACATTGTGTCCTATGTATAGCCCTGTTTATGAATAGATTTCCAGATAAAGGTTTGTACTGGCCCCAAATATATTTGGGTAAGGCAGTGGCTGAGTGATAGGCAACAGAGGGTTGTAGTCAATGGAGTATATTCGAAGTTTGGGCTTGTCACCAGTGGGGTACCCTCAGGGATCTGTACTTGGACCCATTCTCTTTAATATTTTTATTAGTGATATTACAGAAGGTCTTGATGGTAAGGTATGTCTTTTTGCTGATGATACTAAGATATGTAACAGGGTTGATGTTCCAGGAGGGATAAGCCAAATGGCAAATGATTTAGGTAAACTAGAAAATGGTCAGAGTTGTGGCAACTGACATTTAATGTGGATATGTGCAAGATAATGCATCTTGGGCGTAAAAACCCAAGGGCAGAGTACCGAATATTTGATAGAGTCCTAACCTCAACATCTGAGGAAAGGGATTTAGGGGTGATTATTTCTGATGACTTAAAGGTAGGCAGAAAATGTAATAGAGCAGCAGGAAATGCTAGCAGAATGCTTGGTTGTATAGGGAGAGGTATTAGCAGTAGAAAGAGGGAAGTGCTCATGCCATTGTACAGAACACTGGTGAGACCTCACTTGGAGTATTGTACACAGTACTGGAGACCGTATCTTCAGAAGGATATTGATACCTTAGAGAGGGTTCAGAGAAGGGCTACTAAACTGGTTCATGGATTGCAGTATAAAACTTACCAGGAAAGGTTAAAGGATCTTAAAGGACCACTATAGTGCCAGGAAAACACTAGTTTTCCTGGCACTATAGTGCCCTGAGAGCGCCCCCACCGTCAGGGTCCCCCTCCCGCCCGGCTCTGGAAGGGGGAAAGGGGTTAAAACTTACCTTTTTCCAGTGCTGGGCGGGGAACTCCCCTCCTCCGATCCTCCTCTTCTCCTCCCCGTCATAATGCTTTCCTATGGACGCTTGCGTGCTCTCACTGTAAAAAAAAAACCGTAAGAAGCACGCAAGCGCCTCTAGCGGCTGTCAATGAGACAGCTGCTAGAGGAAATAGGGGAAGGCTTAACCCATTCATAAACATAGTAGTTTCTCTGAAACTGCTATGTTTATGAAAGAATGGGTTAACCCTAGCTGGACCTGGCACCCAGACCACTTCATTAAGCTGAAGTGGTCTGGGTGCCTAGACTGGTCCTTTAACATGTATAGCTTGGAGGAAAGACAAGACAGGGGGATATGATAGAAACATTTAAATACACAAAGTTAATCAACACAGTAAAGGAGGAGACTATATTTAAAAGAAGAAAAAACTACCACAACAAGAGGACATAGTCTTAAATTAGAGGGGCAAAAGTTTAAAAATAATATCAGGAATTATTACTTTACTGAGAGGGTAGTGGATGCATGGAATAGCCTTCCAGATGAAGTTGTAGAGGCTAACACAGTAAAGGAGTTTAAGCATGCGTGGGATAGGCATAAGGCTATCCTAACTATAAGATAAGGCCAGGGACTAATGAAAGTATTTAGAAAATTGGGCAGACTAGATGGCCGAATGGTTCTTATCTGCCGTCACATTCTATGTTTCTATAATATTATCATATCCCCTCTGAGATGCCGTTTTTCCAAACTAAAGAGATTTACATTTTTTAACCTTTCTTCGTAACTAAAATGCTCCATTCCTTTTATCAATTTTGTAGCTCGTCTCTGCACTTTTTCTAGTGCCATGATATCTTTCTTTAGAACAGGTGCCCAAAACTGCACAGCATATTCAAGGTGTGGTCTTACCAGAGATTTATAAAGAGGCAAAATTATATTTTTATCCCGAGAATTTATGCATGACAAAACCTTACTGGCCTTAGCAACTGCAGATTGACATTGCATATTGCTGCCTATAACAATTCCCAAATCCTTCTCGTGTGTGGTTATCCCTAGTTCACTACCATTTAGGGTGTAAATTGCTTGTGCATTCTTAACCCCGAAGTGCATAACTTTGCATTTCTGTACGTTAAATTTCATCTGCCATTTTAGTGCCCAGTCCTCCAATCTATCCAAATCCCTCTGCAGCAAAGCAGTATCCTGCTCACATTTTATTACTTTACAAAGTTTTGTGTCATCTGCAAACACGGAGACATGGCTTTCAATGCCTATTTCAAGATCATTTATAAATATGTTAAATAGAAGCGGTCCCAAAACAGAACCCTGAGGGACACCACTTACCACTTTTGTCCAGTCTGAAAATTTACCATTAATGACAACTCGTTGTACTCTATCCTTAAGCCAATGTTCTACCCAAGAACATTCATCTAGACCAATTTCTTTTAGTTTGAATACTAACCTATTGAGAGGAACTGTATCAAACGCCTTTGCAAAATCCAAGTAGATCACATCCACTGCAACACCTTGCAACAACCCATCTTGTCGTTTGGTTGCTATCCCCTCAATGCCTTTCCTATTGTGTTCTTATAACCACCTCTTCTATACTGTAAGCTCATTTGAGCAGCGTCCTCATCAACTTATTGTTCCTTTAACAGTTTGCAATTCTCTCTTTTATTGTCAAATGTATAATATTGTAAATCGTGCCCAAATAAATTGGCGCTATATAAATTCCAAAAAAAAAAAAAAAAGACACACACACACACAATAATAATGTAGATATTGAAATAAAATCCTGCAATCCTATATATATATATATATATATATATATATATATATATATATATATATATATAGCTTATAAAATCCCTTTAATAAAAACACTGCAGTAAAAAAAAAAATATATATATATTATATATTTGTGCTGAATTTTTGCAATCTGCAGTTCCACAAATACCAGCAGACTTTTTACAAATAAATGTGATGACAGAACATTAAAAATGTCCTACTTATTGCATATTCAAAGACTTTGTTTACTATTGACTGACAATGACTGCAGAAGTATGTGGAAACATAAGTGTATTAAAATAAATTTAAAAAAAAAAATGAGTTTGTGGATTTTTGTAAAAAAAAAATATATATACACACATACATATACAAACTACATTTTGTTCTAATTTGACATGATCCCACTACATCCAATATTTCAAACTTTAAATAGACACTATAAATGCTAAAACATCTCAGTTTGGTGTTTTTCGTGTATAAATCATGCCAATGCAGTCTCACTGCTCAATTATCTGCTGTCCAGGAGTTAAACACTTTGATTATCCAATCCTAGCGACATCTCCTCTACATGTGACCTACATTAGTCTCGCTACACATTTGCTATAGAGAGATCTAAGTTTTTTTTAACTTCCTTTATTAAATAATCAATCTGTTTAATTTAGAATTAAGTATCTCCTGTAATGTTAATAGCCTGCAGGAGCCTTATATGTATGATAAAAGCTCAATTAACAGAGCAGAAGATAGAAACTTCTAAAGTGAACACACTGTGTTGTCATACATGACTGGAAATGAAACCAAAATTGTATTGGTGCTTATAAAATCCCTTTAATAAAACACTGCAGTAAAAAAGCAAATAAGAATGATACCATGTGAATAGTGCACAAGTAGTGTCAACAAGTGCTAATAGACTTTGGTTTAAAATAAAACACAAAACTTTAAAACCTGAACAGAGAAGCAGACATGCAAAAAAATAAAACGAAGGTTAAAATGAACAGTGCTTGTGTTCACTTTTCAAGGATGATTCATGGGAACAGACAGTACATTTGTAAATGATGATATCAGATGAGCGTAAAAGTGGAAAAGAAATCTGTACCAAAAAAAAAAAAAAAACACGTCTTTTCCAAACAATCTTACCTTTTCCAAGACAGTTTAAGTGACCCAACAAAAGACTTGAAAAGGTGTTTTATGTCTAGTTGCATTGTAGACCATGCACACAGAAGTCAGTAATTTGGCTGCAATCACATGAAAACTAACACACCTGAACATCACACTTTCCAATAAAATGTCTTATTCACAGAGACCACAGGCAAAAAAAACCCCAAAAAAACGATTATCCACACATGACCAAATATACAGAGGCTATTGCCATCCCTAGTATTTGCAATCATGCATTTTATCAATGAACATACGTGAAATGAGAATAACTGGAAAGCCTAGAGAAGACAGGCTCTGCCAACATTTTTGGTGCATCACTCCCCTCCCCCGAATGGCATAACAACATAAGAGCGAACATAAAATCCATAGACCTCCTGGCTCAATACCAAGGCCTGGCGCAGATCACACCCCAAAAAAAAAACTTTTGCTACAATAATTACAGATGGGTAGATGTAAAACCTTACACAGAGAGCATGGTGGATGAGATTTGCAGGACTGTCTCGCTTACCCTTGAAATGCCACTCTAACAGAGGAGCCACAGGGGGCTGCAGCGTCCGATGGGCTCACCGCCCTTCAGTGATAAAATGGGGATTGGGGTGTACAGGGAGAGAACTGGACACGCACTGCTGAAAGGAGCAGCAAGACAAGCCGCAAGGAAATTGGAGCCTACCAGGCAGGGCGAGTGTCAGCCATGTTGTGTGTTGGTCCAGTATTTACAAACCCGCAGCAGCAAGCGATTGAGTCTCAAAGAAAGAGACGAGAGGGGGAGGGGAGGGAAGGCTGCAGACAAAGGAACCAAAGCTGGAGACTGGAGAGGCAGACAAGTCAGACAGCAAAAAGGCTGCTCCTTCCTGGCTTTATTCACTAGTGTCACATAATCCTCACTCACTCACTTTCTCTCCCCTTGGCCTCTTTTCTAACTATGCCCAGACAGCACACCCAACTAAAGCACTACTTCCAACACAGCAGAGGGTGGGGGACTGATTGGTACTATCTGATGGGAATTGTAAGAGAACACGCGATTGTGATAAGATTAGTACCTCAAAAAAACAAAACATTCTTTATGAGAACCTATAGAGTTCTGCAAGGATAAAGGAATGTTGTTACGTCATGCACTCTAAGGAACCGTGACGTCAGATGTGTAAGGGGGGAAACACAAGGGGGCGCAAGAGCATAGCAGGGGAGAGAGTGTTTTCTTTTTGAGCAACAGGAGAATTTGGCTGTGAGCGGGTATAGAGGGAGCTGCTCGGGAGTCTTCCAGCACTGTCACAAGGCTGCAATTACAGAACAAAGGCTGCACATTATTTATACACACAGTCAGCTCTCACATGAAGAATGGGGGCAGTAAGTTGGCACTTACCTGGAGGGCTGCATAGACTATAATGGGGGGGGAAGGGCTTCCTTTAGAAAAAAAAAATAATCCTCGTCCCTGGATACAAAAATTACAAAATCCAATGTTCCTCCGGATGGTTTGTTTCCTTGCGGTATCCCTGCTGATTTCTCCCCCCCTCTCTCCCAGCTCCGTCACAGACAGTAATGGGCAATGCCGCTCCCGCCCTCCGCTTCCCACAGCGAGCCGCTCGGCCAGCTCCACTTCTCGTTTTGTCCCTTCACGTCCCCCTACCCACTCCCATTGGTTCCCAGATTTGGCGCTCCCAGCACCTTCGCGGTGAGACTCTGCTTGGCTGCCAGGTCTAGGCCTCGCCTTCCTGCCAAATAGTGATCCACTTTTTCTTTTGCTGGTGCAGAACCTGGCTGTCCGCGCATGCGCCATGTGGCTGTGAGCGCCGCGGTGGTAGCGAGTTGCGCATGCGCGGGCGGAGCGGCGCTTTCTGTGAGAGACCCACTCACTGCTAGCGCTGATCAGACCCGCTCTCCCGGGACAGGTAGCCGCACTCACTGCCGGCGCTGATCAGACCCGCTCTCCCGGGACAGGTAGCCGCACTCACTGCCGGCGCTGATCAGACCCGCTCTCCCGGGACAGGTAGCCGCACTCACTGCTAGCCCGCTCTCCCGGGACAGGTAGCCGCACTCACTGCTAGCGCTGATCAGACCCGCTCTCCCGGGACAGGTAGCCGCACTCCCGGGACAGGTAGCCGCTCTCCCGGGACAGGTAGCCGCTCTCCCGGGACAGGTAGCCGCTCTCCCGGGACAGGTAGCCGCACCCACTGCCGGCGCTGATCAGACCCGCTCTCCCGGGACAGGTAGCCGCACTCACTGCCGGCGCTGATCAGACCCGCTCTCCCGGGACAGGTAGCCGCACTCACTGCCGGCGCTGAGCACCTCTCACTGCATTACATCAACTTCTGGCACCTAGTTTATTTTTCCAAGGATGCCAGTGTGTAGTTTTTCTCTACTACAATGAAACTTGTGGTAATGTAGAAAGGTTGTTGAGTTTGTTTGTTTTTTTCCTGTTTTATTTATTTTTGCTAGAAGTTATAACAGCTGAGGTAGGACTTGTAACATTTCTTTAAATATTATATTTAGTTTGAATATTTAATTTTGTAATAGTGATAACATAGTTCGGATGCACTGGGGCTGCACTAAATAGTGAGTGTGATAGTAATGGTTGTGATTATATTGGTAGCTTTAAAGTATGGAAGATCCAAAAGCAGGTGGATGGGATAGATCCTCATTCAGGAGAAACAAACTTAGAAGTAAATATAATCTAAAGTACAGCTGACAGTCTGCAGGTTCTGTGCTATTTGTGTTCTGTACTATTTGTTGTACGATATTATCTATTAAATGTCGTCCCTGTGGGTAGTTTTTTTTTTTTTTATAATTCTGTATAGTTTTCCTGCAGTGCTGTAAAATGTTTTGATGTTATCAGCAGTGTAACCCAGCCTCCTTAGTCACCCCCTCCCAGATTTAAACAATTTCCTGATTCCCAGTCTCTGAAAGAAACATACCTTTTTCAGCCAATGAAAATAGAGGCATGTCTTCTGTAATGTAAGGTATGCTCACAGCATAGAAACATAAAATGTGACGGCAGATAAAAACCGTTTGGCCCATGTGGTCTGTCCAATTTTCTAAATACTTTCATTAGTCTCTGGCCTTAATTTAAGTCTAGGTTAGCCTTATACTTATCCCAGCATTCAAACCTTAACTCTCTCTAAATAAGGTGAGCTCAATACCATCCTTATATTTTTATTGATTTTGTATTGAAAATACTACACATTGGTGGCCTTTTTTTTTTTTTTTTTACTGGAGGGAACATCTTTATGGAGTGGTAATGTTGCAGGAATAAGCCGCAAAAGCCACACACAGATAGATGGAAGCAGGTTCGTTCAGGAAGCAAAAGGTCTTTATTGTTACCGATCGGGTCTCAGATGAACTCCTGTTCTAAAAATGTCTGAGCCCAGAGCACAGATTGCTAATGATTTTTATTAACAATAACTCCTCCTATTCCTAGCTCCATTCACACATACCCTTCGACCAGTCAGTGAACAGGATATTCAGGATCACCTCATATGGGCAGACTGCATGACTCCTTTTTAAGGACAAAGGAATGTGAGTACAGTTGATACACATGCTCAGTACATTGATGACAGTATCTTAGCTACATGTAACTAACAGATACAACAAACACCTGTACTTGTATATACCACATGGAGATTTCAGGCTTACTGAATTTTGAACCATGTTGAAATCCCATCACATTCCCCCTTTGATGCTTCTGATACAAAATTATTCCAGATGCATCACCAATCTTCATTTGCCAACACCACTCAAGTAACCATGAGCCGGGACAGACCTTATAAACATTCTAACTTAACTCTATTACCTCTCAACACTCATCAACCTGATTATTAATAGTCACTCTCTGGGCTAGGGGTTCATATTTCCAAACGGCCATTACATGGGCAGCTGTCTTCCTCTCTATAGTGCTCTCAATAACACTACGTATAGACCTAACTACTAATGGAATCAGACAGGGCAGGAAAAGGCATAAGATAATAATAAATACCACTCCTCCTACCAATGCCTTAATCCCACCAAGCTGCTCATACCAACTATTTGGATTATACCCGTTCCAAGTCTGAGTGGGTACGTGCGCCAGTTTAACCATATTGCTGGTAATATCAATCACTGCTTTCCCCTCATCATCTATATGCAAACCACAATTACTAAGGTTAAACTTTCCACAAACACCTCCTTCTACTGCCAGAAAATAATCAAGAGCGAGCCTATTTTGGTAAATGGCTGATCTCATGCGGGTATTTTGCTTTGCCAAGAGGTTGAGTGCTTTAGCTGTCTCATTAGTTATGATCTCAACCTACTCCTGTAATCTTGTAATGCGGTTGAGCATATATATGGGGGTTCTATGACCATAAGTACCATCTTCAGCCTAGGTAGCAGGTCCATAATAATAATTCGTTGGGGAGGCCACTCATCATCTTCCCAGTTACCTACATTCAATGATGCTCGCTTCTTTTTATGATTTACATCATAAACCTTAAATCCCAAGGTCTCTCCCGTTTCAATTGGTAACAAGAATGATGGTTTGAGCATACCTAGCACACATGCCCCTTCCCAATCTTGTGGTAACTCGGTATGCTTTCTTACCACAAATCCAATATAAATTTGCTGGGGCTTTCCAATTATATACAGCAGATAGATCAAACCATACCTCTCTCAAATTGGTGTAATTGGCAAATGGATTAGTAGGTTCTGAGACATTTGAAGCTGACCACCAAGTAGTATCTTTAGTATCGGCATTATAGGCCTTCTGTCCTAAACATGTTAACTCGCCAACAGGTGTTTTATACATTGGCCTTCTTCTAGCTAAACATACATGGCCTATAATAGATGTCTTTAACCGCCACTCCGATTTGTCACTTACTTGATGGCCATTTTAGAAAGGCATCTGTTGTTTATTTGTCTCAAAACCAGGGTACCATACTTCTCTTACTTCCCAGGGCCATTGGTCTCCCATATTAGTACCTCCACATACAAAGCAGTTAGTTATATTAAGACTAGCTACTATACTCTCAGCTAAATCAATAAACAGATTCTTAACATTATGGGGAACTTTATCCTCAACACTCATCTCCTCATAAAAGGAATGGAAAACCTGATGAGTTTGAGCAGTTGTTGTCTCGGTTTCAAGGCCTACGTATATTATGGCTCCTGGATCTGCTTCTGTACCATGTATCTGAAACCCAAAAAGACTCCCAAACTTATCAATAAATTGCTGCGAATTGGAAATGGTCATACGTACGGGATTACACTCCATGGTTTTTTCAATACGGTGTAGTGGGCAACCTTTGGATAATCATATCTTGATCTACTGTATTTCCATAGGTCGCCCAACCTACACATGACCAATATGGGCAGAAGTTGAAGTCTCTATTTGGGCAATCAGGATCAGTAGATCTTTTACTAGGGCATAAATATTTGTCGTTGAACCCATAAGTTCGTTCCCATTTAAGATTACCACATACATTCCAAGGTCTTCTACTACCCAAAATTGCCTTACATGCATCAAATAATAGAATACCCGTAGAATGTATGGTACTTACCAAAGTCCTATTTATCAATGTTCCCTGAGAGTTACTATTTCGAATTACCAACCAAATTGTACAGGGTTGGAATTGGGGATCGAAACACTTAGGCTCACCTGATATCGGTTGACAAACACTATAATCAGTATCTAAGTACCTAAACACAGATCCTCTACATTCATATTGTGAGTGCCAAATTAGGGTCTGGGATATCTTGATACCTGTTTTTGTAGTCTTAATACAACTAACACAGCTTGGAGTATCCTCACCTTTACCTTCTTGAAAAATTATAAAAATACTGAAACATATAACTAAACACATCATTCTCGTGGTCCTCCTCCTACTCTTCCACCGTGCGATGGCACCTCAGCTTCCCACTTGTGAGGGCTGCAAGGATTGTTGTCCTTCTGATCCTCACTTACTTTCACAGAGGTCCCTCTGAGACACTCTGGCTATGACAAGTAGGTGGTCAGTCTTTATTATGGCCATCAAAACACCTACTTGATAATCTCTGAAGGCTTTTAACCACGATATCCCAATATCCCCTCGTATTTTTCTCTCACGTCACGTTCAATCTGCCTGGGTTATTCGCTTCAACCGGATCTTGCAAGGATTCTCAGGATATGGAGTAGCTTGCCAGGAATCTGCTGCTAGTTTAACACTAGAGTGATGAATCTAAGGAGTCATCTCTGCCACCTTTACAGCTGTTGGGGTAGATAAAAGAAGAACATAAGGACCTCTCCACTTTGGACCCATTGGGACAGTATTCCATTCTTTTATCCATGCTTGGTCACCCGGATGGTATTAGTGAACAGGTGAATATATGTTTACAGGTAACCTATCTTGCACCCATTTCTGTACCTCCTCCATAGTTTTACCCAACTCCACAACCTGCTGCCGAGTAATCCTGTCAAAAGTCCCCCTTTAGATTACTGAGTATAGGAGGTGGACGCCCTTACATAATTTCAAAGGGCGACAGACCCATTCTTCTAGTAGGAGTACTACGTATTCACAACAGAGCTATTGGCAAAAGGACATTCCACTTGAGCTGAGTTTCTTGACACACTTTAGCCAATTGAGTCTTTATCGTTTTGTTCATCCTTTCTACCTTTCCAGAACTCTGAGGCCTATAAGCAGTATGGAGTTTCCACTTGATGCCAAGTACATGAGTCAGTTGTTGTAAACATTGATGGACAAAAGCTGGATCATTATCAGATCTTATAGAACACGGAAGTCCATATCTGGGTATAACTTCCCGTAACAGAAACCGTACAACTTCTCCTGCTTTTTCTGTACGAGTAGGACAGGCCTCTACCCAACCAGAGTAGGTACACACCGCTACCAGCAGGTAACGATACCCTCCAGATTTAGGCATCACCGTGTAATCTATTTGTAAATCTGACATGTGAAGTCCTCCCATATACTGAACTCCAAGTGGTTTAACAGGGCCTTGACTTGCGTTGTTGCGAGCGCACTGAACACATCTTCGAACAATAGCTTGGGAAAGGTTGGATAGTCTTGGAATGTAGAAATGTTTGCTGAGAGATTCTTCCATACTGTCTCTTCCTGAATGGGTACCACTATGGAAGTTCTGAACAATCTCTATGGCCAGAGATGCTGAAATCACTATTCTTCCATCTTCTAGCTGATACCAGTTATTCTCCAAGTATTTTCCAGATTTGGTTTCCAACCACTTCTTCTCTTGGGTTGTATACACTGGAGTCCATTGAGACAAGGGGGCATGTACAAGAGCAGTAACATGGCTCACGTGATCTTCTTGTCTTGATTCAGCAGCACGTTTTGCTTGCAGCATTGTCTGCCATGCGATTTTTCCTCTCACCACATCACTATCGCCTTTCAGATGTGCTCTGCAATGTATGATACCGACTTCTTTCGGTTCCCATACTGCCTCCAATCACTGAAGTATCTCTGCTGCGTACCTGATTTCTTTTCCCTCTGAATTCAAAAGTCTTATTTCTTTATACAATGCTCCATGGGCATGAGTTGTTAAAAAAGCATATCTTGAATCTGTATAGATGTTCACTCTCAACCCCTCAGCCAGTTGCAAGGCCCTTGTCAGTGCGATTAATTCCGCCTTCTGTGCTGATGTCCCTTTCGACAATGGTCGTGCTTCTATCACCTTGTCTATGGTGGTTACTGCATACCGAATACCTTCTTTTACAAAGTTACTACCATCCGTACTATATGTCTGGGTTCTGGATGGGAAAATCATGGAGATCTGGCCTGCTAGAAAATACTTCATCCATTATTTCCAGACAATCATGTTGGCTCTCAGCTGTTTGTGGCAGAAGGGTAGCTGGATTGAGATTGTTTACAGTCTCAAGATGTACTCTTGGATTCTCGCATAGCATAGCCTGATATTTGGTCATTCTGCTATTGCTGAACCAATGATTATCTTTGTAATCCAGTAGGGTCTGTACTGCATGAGGTACTCGCACATAGAGTTCCTGACCCACTGTAGGTTTGTCAGCTTCCGCTACCAACAAAGCTGCAGCAGCCACTGCTTGTAGACAAGGTGGAAGACCACTAGCCACCGCATCCAGTTGTTTGGACATGTAGGCTACAGGTCTTTGCCATAATCCTAAGTGCTGAGTTAACACTCCCACGGCCATTCTTCTTTGCTCATGCACATATAGGTAGAAAGGACGCGAGTGATCTGGTAGGCCTAAGGCTGGGGCACTCATAAGTGCTTTCCTGATATCTTCAAATGCCTTCTGTTGTTCTGTGGTCCATAGGAATCATGTTCCGTGCCTTTTACAGCTTCATACAAAGGTTTCGCCAATATCGCATAATTAGGAATCCATATCCTACAGAATTCTGCTGCTCCCAAGAATTCTCGCATTTGTCTTCTATTCATGGGTACAGGTATTCGACACACTGCTTTTCTTTCAGGTCCCATTGTTCTTTGACCTTCAGAGATCTGGAATCCTAAATACTTGACAGTTGGCTGACACAATTGCACCTTCTTCCTTGATACCTTGTATCCTGCCCTCCAAAGAAAATGGAGTAGATCATGGGTTGCTTGTTGGCACATCTCTTTAGTAACTGCGGCTATCGAGATCCTCCACGTACTGAAGTAATACACATTCCCTTGGAATGGATTTGAAGTCTTGTAAATCTTGACTCGGTGCAGATCCAAATAGGGTAGGTGAATTCTTGAATCCTTGAGGCAACCTGGTCCAAGTCATCTGACGCTTTGATCCCGTAACAGCATCTTCCCATTGAAAAGCAAAGATGCACTGACTTTCAACAGCAAGTCAAAGGCAGAATAAAGCATCTTTAAGATCTAGGACTGTAAATTGAGTTGCCCCACCAGAAATTAGGGCAAGCAGATTATAGGGTTTGGGTACCACTGGGTGTATATTAACTACTGCATCATTAACTGCTCTTAAATCTTGTACAGGAAGATACTCATCTAATCCTGTTTTCTGAACAGGTAATAATGAAGTGTTCCAAAGGAAGGTACAGACTTTTAGGATACCATACTTCACGAACTTATCCAAGTAGGTCTGTGTGTTCTTCTTGGCCTTCTGAGGTATATGATACTGACGTAGGCTCACATGGTAGGCCTCAAACTTTAGTTCAATATGTATTGGTGGGATATTACGAGCAAGTCCTGGAGGATTATTCTCTGCCCATACTTCTGGAATGTCAAATAAAGATCCATCACTCTTGGATTTTGCATTTGTTATTACAGAGTTAAAGCGCCATTCTTCTTCTTTTGGTACCAACACCGCTATCATGCCTGGTGATTTATTAAACTTCAGAGACATTGATCCATTAGGTAGAAAAGTTATCTTGAGCTTGAAGCTTTGATAATAGATCTCATCCTAGAAGTTGAATTGGACACTCTGGCATATATAGGAACTGGTGCTTCACAAATTGGCCTCCTAAAATGCAAGTGCGACTCCTGAGAACTGGTCTAGCAGTGCTTCTCCCAGTAGCTCCTATTACAGTTAGTCTTTCCAGAAGGAGGAGCTACCGACTTAGTCACCACAGAATGTTCAGCACCCGTATCCATCATGAAAGGACTTCGCTTTCCCCCTATTGTTACATTGACCATAGGCTCCGCTCGGCCAAGGCGAATGGAGCCTGGTCGGTATCAATAGTCTTCCATGACAGTGTCAGCCAGAGCCACACAATCTCTATCTTCCCTATCTCTAGGTCTCCGAGTAGAAGGATAATATCTTCCTCCCTGAACACCCCCTCTCCCATTTCCATTACTTCCTCCAAAACTTCCTCTGCCTTTAAAGCTACCACAATAACCACATCGCCCCCTTCCCTCATCTGGTCTACCACCTACAATATATCCCCTCTGTGGGCAGTCACTCTTTGTAACGGATCACCTGGCACCCCGACTGGGTACCTCCGTTGAAGGATGCTCCTAGCGCTTCCTGAGGACTCCAAGCACTGCAGCAGACACCACAACCACTGAAAAAGCATACGAATGCTCTCAAGCATATGAATGCTGTAAGCAGCTGAACAGGAAAAGCATACAATCAGCTTACACTCCTGGCAATCAGCATACAATCCAATTCCCCCAATAATGAGACGACACTTCGTTTTGAGGTCAAGCAGAACTGACTGTACTGGCACATACAGCCTCTTTTATTCACAATCCACAAACATAGTACTGCCAACAGGGTTTTGAAATACAACCAATCAATCTGTACAATACACACAGACATTCCCACACAAAATCCTCCCCTCTGCCTGTGATACGATTACTGAACACAATGGGGTAATATGATTATCACAGGCAGAGAAATAGTTTTTACAAAATATTAATAACTTCCAAAATATACATGCCATTCTCATAAAACATACATTTTCAGAATCCGCATGCTTGAAATATACACATACTCAAAAATCAGGGCAATCGGTTCAGGGGTTAAAAAGTTAAGGGAAAGTCCTATTTGACAAAATGAAGCATGGTTTTTCTGCCCAAAACCAGTTCCACAGAGTCTTCTATCCTGGAGATAATTGGGAAGTAATCCAATTATCTCCAAGGACAGAGGCAAAACTCCATTAGCCACATGGTAGCAAAATACAATAAAATACATAATATATAACTGTGCAGCTATTGCATAAAACAGGTACATTCAACATATCCCCAGATAGCTTAATCTGAGCGCACATTATTACTGAATGGCGCTCAGATCACATACATACAGTTCAATTGCCATGGAGCCAAAGTCTTTCACATAGTCTTTCGTTATACGAATGGGCTCCACGGCATAGCTATCTGGGGTAACACTGCTCACATAGGGAAAGTACCGAATGACCCGGCTTTCGAGTGTTTGCAGGGGAAAATCAAGCATTTCAACATGGGGCCATAGTCACAGGGCAGGAGGCTGGCAATCAGTCTTCTCCACTGCCCAGTGGCGAGGCTGGTTCTGCCACATACCGAACAGAATATACACCAAAATTCGTATGCTGCTCAGGCACCACGATCTAGTGGACGAATGTACACCAAAATTTTGTTTAGTCTTCAGTTCCGCTATCAATAAGCTAGTGACCACATTTACACCAAAAATCACTTAGTCGAGATAGGTTGAGGGCTAGCGAACGGAATATACACCAAAATTCGCTTAGTCTCGCCGGTATCCCCGATCTAGTGACCAAATTTACACAAAAGCCACTTAGTCTGCCAGGACACCGGTATCCAGCTGAACAAATATACACCAAAATTCAGCCTGACTACAATCCTCCTATATTAAAGAACACTTCAGCTTAATGAAGTGGTGTGGGTGCCAGGTCCAGCTAGGTTTAACCCTTTTTTTCTATAAACATAGCAGTTTCAGAGAAACTACTATGTTTATAATAGGGTTAATTCAGCCTCTAGTGGCTGTCTCATTGAGAACCGCTAGAGGCGCTTCCGCACTTCTCACTGTGATTTTCACAGTGAGCAGACGCCAGCGTCCGTAGGAAAGCATCCTGCCGCGCATGTATATTCAGCCGAGAGTCCCTCGCCCGGCACTGGAGAAAGAGGTAAGTTTAACCCCTTCCACCCCCTAGAGCCTGGAGGGAGGGGGACCCTGAGGGTGGGGGCACCGTCAGGGCACTATAGTGCCAGGAAAACGAGTATGTTTTCCTGGCACTATAGTAGTCCTTTAAACAGGCTGGCTACAGAGCGTTTAATTTCAAATAAGCGGTGCGCCTTCGCTTCTTCCCTCCGTAGGGAGGGGTAAATCAACCAATCAGATACGGATCCTGCCCCTAGTGGGTCCACAATTTACCTTTTAGTTCCTGGACCTGGGTTCACACTCATCAGCGGGACACCCCGGTACTCACTGCGTAGAAGCCGATGATCTCCTGGACAACAGGCCAGTGGCGCCGAGACGAAAGGAGGTCCACGCAGAAGTCCAGGGGTGCTGCCGTGGAAGATTTGGTAAAAGGTTACCGTCTCAAATCTCTATGCCGGCTTCCATGCGATGAGATTCCCGGCCCAATAGCACCAGTAATGTAGCAGGAATAAGCCGCAGAAGCCACAAACAGAGAGATGGAAGCAGGTTCGTTCAGTAAGAAAAAGGTCTTTATTGTTACCGATCGGGTCTCAGATGAACTCCTGTTCTAAAAATGTCTGAGCACAGACTGCAAATGATTTTTATTAACAATAACTCCTCCTTTAACTAGTTCCACTCACACATACCCTTCGACCAGTCAGTGAACAGGATATTCAGGATCACCTCATATGGGCAGACTGCATGACTCCTTTTTAAGGACAAAGGAATGTGAGTACAGTTGATGCACATGCTCAGTACATTGATGACAGTATCTTAGCTACATGTAACTAACAGATACAACAAACACCTGTACTTGTATATACCACATGGAGATTTCAGGCTTACTGAATTTTGAACCATGTTGAAATCCCATCACATTCCCCCCTTTGATGCTTCTGATACAAAAGTATTCCAGATGCATCACCAATCATGTGCCAACACCACTCAGGTAACCATGAGCTGGGACAGACCTTATAAACATTCTAACTTAACTCTATTACCTCTCAACACTCATCGACCTGATTATTAATAGTCTCTCTCTGGGCTAGGGGTTCATATTTCCAAACGGCCATTACATGGGCAGCTGTCTTCCTCTCTATAGTGCTCTCAATAACAGTACGTATAGACCTAACTACTAATGGAATCAGACAGGGCAGGAAGAGGCATAAGAAAATAATAAATACCACTCCTCCTACCAATGCCTTAATCCCACCAAGCTGCTCATACCAACTCCCAAACCAACTATTTGCTCACAGCATAGAAACATAAAATGTGACGGCAGATAAAAACAGTTTGGCCCATATGGTCTGTCCAATTTTCTAAATACTTTCATTAGTCTCTGGCCTTAATTTAAGTCTAGGTTAGCCTCATACTTATCCCAGCATTCAAACCTTAACTCTCTAAATAAGGTGAGCTCAATACCATCCTTGTATTTTTATTGATTTTGTATTGAAAATACTACACATTGGTGGCCTCTTTTTTATTTTATTTATTTTTTTATTTTTTTTACTGGAGGGAACATCTTTATGGAGTGGTAATGTTGCAGGAATAAGCCGCAAAAGCCACACACAGAGAGATGGAAGCAGGTTCATTCAGGAAGAACAAGGTCTTTGTTACCGATTGGGTCTCAGATGAAATCCTGTTCTAAAAATGTCCGAGCCCAGAGCACAGATTGCAAATGCTTTTTATTAACAATAACTCCTCCCAATTTATAGCTCCACTCACACATACCCTTAGACCAATCAGTGAACAGGATATTCATGATCACCTCATATGGGCAGACTGCATGACTCCTTTTAAGGACAAAGGAATGTGAGTAGAGTTGATGCACATGATCAGTACATGAATGACAGTATCTTAGCTACATGTGACTAACAGATACAACAAACACCTGTACTTGTAGATGCCACATGGAGATTTCAGGCCTACTGAATTTTGAACCATGTTGAAATCCCATCACAGTGTGATTCTGCCCTAAGAGCATAACAGTCTTATATCTGGTGCCAATACATATAGGCTCCACTACATGTGGCCTGATCTTCTAAAGATATATCACTTGAATGCAATTACCAGCTGCACTATATTTTGTGTTTTCGTTTTGTCTGTACTGGACTGAATAATCTTCTGTACATATTAACATATATGTGCGGGTAAGTTATCCCTTTATTTCTGTATTTCAGCACTCCACTATAGGTATAAATATATTGTGTACTGTTAGAAGGGGCAAATTTATTTTGATGTGTGGGGAAGAGGGTATCCTAGTCTAGTGTGTAGAGCTGCCATTTTTTTTTTTTTTTTTATATAATTCTTTATTTTGGTAGTGGTTCACAGCAAACATGGTATGTATCAAGCCACAATATGTTAATCCCCTTAAGGATGGTGGACGTTCTATGCCATCCTTGGGGACCCGGCTCCAAACGCCGGCTGGTGGCATAGAACGCCCAAGTCGTCCTATGTACTTACCCGGTCGCCGGCAATTGCGTTGTGGGGACTCACCTGGCAGCCCAGGCAGTCCCCCTCCTTCCTTTCCGGCCCCCCGAGCCATGTGATCGCGAGGTCCTTGCGAGGACCTCGCGATCACATGGACGGCATAGCCATCCATGTCAGTGCCAGCAGGGGGAGTGACTGTAATAACAGGTGTTCCCCCTGCTGCCTGAAAAATTTAAAATAAAATGTTTAATAAGTTTAAAATAAAATATATACTTAGATCATATATGATCTAAGTGTGTGTATGTGTGTATATATATATATATATATATACACACACATCACTGTCTAAGTGTATTTTAATATTAATATATATTGATGTGTGTGTGTGTGTGATATGTTTTAAGGCCATTTGGCCTGTATTTGTGGGAGGGGCTTAAATTAATTCACTCCCCTATATAAGGGACACCCCTTACCTGACTCATATCGCTTGAGGTCAGCATCAGAATGACCTGACCCCTACAGGTCACTCTCAAAATCTCACGTTAACCTTGCATTTGGATTAACCCCTTAAGGACCAAACTCTGGAATAAAAGGGAATCATATGTCACACATGTCATGTATCCTTCAGGGGTTAAAGGGTATTTTACCATACAATCAGCATTTCTGACCCCTACTGGTCAACAGCAAAACTGTCTTCACATGTCATATACAATTACCAGCCATTATAAATTACACATAAGATTGTTTTAAACATAACCATAAACCATGAATTAAACTCCAACACAGGCTCAACTTCAGGTTTATTTCACAATAATTTACATTTCACATTAACACTAACAGTGGTTCTATCAACACTGCCACCTACAGGTCTGTCAAGTACATTGACAATTTTCATGGGGTTTTACAAACACCAAAACACTGACCCCTATAGGTCAACAGACAAACAACATTTCACATACCAATCAGTATCAACTACACTGCCACCTATAGGGCACTCGGCAGATCTCCAGTGCACTTGCATTTTGCAACTCCATGTTCACTTGCCATTCAATAAGGCATACAACAATTCACATAGCAAGCAGTATATCAATATCTGTTATAAATACACATATTATTACACAGTAGCACACGCATCTGTATATACGTAACTGGTAATATGATTCACTTACATACGGCACTTAATGGGTTAAGATTGATACATATTTAACCAGTATGGATATGATGTTTAATATTTACATATCACGGCACTTTACTTTCACATATACTGTATGTTTTAAGATAAGCTTGGTCTATGCCATATTTCCTTATGCCATACGATTTTATCCATTCAGGTTACAGTTACTACTAAAAAACCTATACGGATTGTCAGGTTCAATACCAACTACCAGGTACGTACACCTGCTCATGTAGTTATCCATCTCTTACCTTCCCTGGAATAGTAATAGTGTACCGGCAATTAGGGTTCTAGGGCCCAATAGGTATTACCCCCTTTTTTCTCTGCATTATGCTTCGGTTAGTGGTCCCGCGAGGCCAACACCCCGCCTCACACTCGGAGGCATACACCCCTCGGGCCACTCGTGAGCTAGCCGCCTCGCATTGTATCATAGAGAGGGCCTCACCTGTCACTCCCCTTCCTATTTTTCTGGTTACTGTCACCGAGAGGCCAACATCCTGCCACAACGTTCGGTGGCCACACAAAATCCCCTCGCGCCAAGCATAGATAGAGCCTCTCAAGCCACTTGGCAACTAGCAGGGCCTCACCAGTCACCAAAAAACACCAAGCCTAATCGTTTCGCCTTACGGCTTAGCTAGCAAGCCGGTACAAGACCCCTGGGTACAAATATATAATTGCAATCTTTATTGTTATTTAAGTATTTCTCAAAAAGATGGTAAGAATCACCTCTTCCTAGCACCACGGCTAGAAGTGATACACCTTCATCTCTTACCTTCCCTGGAATAGTAGTAATGTACTGGCAATTAGGGTTCTATGGCCCAATAGGTATTAGCCCCTGTTTTCTCTGCTTTACGCGTCGGTTAGTGGTCCCGCGAGGCCAACACCCCGCCTCACACTCTGAGGCATACACCCCTCGAGCCACTCGTGAGCTAGCCACCTCGCATTGTATCATAGAGAGGGCCTCACCTGTCACTCCCCTTCCTATTTTCTGGTTACTGTCATCGAGAGACCAACATCCTGCCACAACGTTCGGTGGCCACAAAAAATCCCCTTGCGCCAAGCATAGATAGAGCCTCTCAAGCCACTTGGCAACTAGCAGGGCCTCACCAGACACCAAAAAACACCAAGCCTAATCATTTCGCCTTACGGCTTAGCTAGCAAGCTAGTACAAGACCCCTGGGTACAAATAATAATTGCACTCTTTATTGTTATTTAAGTATTTCTCAAAAAGATGGTGAAGAATCACCTCTTCCTTGGCACCCCGGCTAGAAGTGATACACCTTCAAGCAGAGGAGATGTGGCTCCGACCTAAGGAGGCGACAAATCCCCTACCCTGCCACAGCAAGGAAAGCAGAGTTATTCAAACTCCTCCATACATCAACGGACAACACGGAGGCAGGGGAAGGCCCAGCAACACCAACTCAGGTGACACCCAGGCCATGCTAGCCTCACTCATAAACTCATGAGCCAAAAAATTTACGACAGACTGGCAATTTCGAGTCAGTCACAGCCCTCACAAGGCTGGGCCTCACGCTACTGTACAACCAGCACCAACCGAAACTCGGTTACTTGGTTCAAGACGTTAACCTTGCACATATGATCCCGGCACATTGGGGAAACAAGGCATATATATGTATGATGATGTATCTATGATGATCAGACCCAGGTATTCTAGGTAAATCGGGAACTGACCATCCCTTGGTTGTGTTGGCATTTGGAATATGTAGAGATGCTTATTTGTGCAGGTACCCATCCAGAAGGGATTTTCTCCCAAACAAACGGGCGAGCACTTTCAGGCTCCAGGTACCAGCACCTCTGAACTACCAGAGACAATTGGTATTAGTAGTTGCATTGCATATAGACTGTTGCATATATGTTCAAATCATTCAGGGCACATGACAAACCATGTGTCCCAATACAACTTACAAATAACGTACTCACCATCTGTACACACCAATGCATTTTCAACACTACTGACTCATCACCCTTCCAGACTTGTAGTAGATTTACTAAGGCTCTGGAGCTTCAAAGGGCTCCCATACAGGTATCATAAATAAACTCTCAAGGAATATAGTATGCCCTCACTTACAGTCAGCACAACAGAACCGTCGGCTGTAAACACACTCATAGCCAAGATTTGCAGAGGGGTTTTTACTTGGGTTTTCCAATCTCCACCATTTACAGCATGGCACCAAACACATTGGTATTGTCACAAGGGAATCTTCCTTAAACAAAGACTAACCATAGACTTATTGGCACCACACACCTTCGCTACCCCAAGTCTCAACTCCCTCATACCCTCCGAGGAGTTTCCTTACTATACACACCATTGATCTACCTTTACAGCTATCACTCAAGCATGGGTTGAAGCTTCTTTAAGTAAGACCAATATCATCAACACAGTAAACGGCTACCATTTACCCCACAAACTGGCACTTACATGGCATAAAATGGGCAATCCTATCCCCGCTAAAAGCAGCTGCTGTGGCATGGGGTAAATCATGGTCAGGGTCATCAATCCGTTGTTACTCAGACAACTAAGCACATGTCATATCATTAACAAATGTCACTCATCATCCATACGATCATGGTATTGCTGGGGAACTCACTTGGTTGGCCACTTACCACATTTCTTTTACTTTCATGTACCAGGCGGGGGTATACATCCTTGCTGACAATTGTCTCATTTATATTCCAGGCACGTTCATCATACGCTTCCTACAGCCGCCCATACAGTCACGGCCACTCTTTCGTTCCAGAGACAAAATCATGGATTAGACATACTCATGCAGCATAGCATGCACTAGCACTTACTTGTAGAACGCATAACACCTATTCACCTGCCTTTAAAGAATCTCATTGGAACACGACATAGCTCAACCTGTGTCATAACATTTCTCCTAGGTTTTGCTTCATTTTTTGCCACCTTAAACTAAAACCATCTCACACACCATTAATTATATATTTTACAGGCATTCAACAACAGAGGATAACCTATCCACTCAGAGATTACCAATAGCCATCCAACTTTTCCATCCTTATCGGACCTATTAGAACTACAACCATTCAATTATACTACCAAGTCGGCCATTACCAGCCATGCACACTGCCTTTTATGCCTTTCTCAGGCCAGAGAATCCACTACCATAACCACCACTCAGACAGATCATTGTCTTCAACGATCCCACGTATGTAAACACATATATCATTACCTGTTGGCTCTACCACATTCCAAAACGAGTCAACACGCACCAACAGTAGAGATAACATACTATCCTACCCACAACAAATGGTGTCCACTTTCGGTCCTAGATTCCTACCTTCAAAATCCTTTCAGGAATTAAATACTGTAATGCATTTAAGGAAATGTCTGGTTAATTTGTATATATTTGTTGACTGTATTAAATCTTTGATTATTCTTTTTTGCCCTCTTTATTTACAGGCCTACCGTATCGTCGGTCTCGGCACACCACAACCGACTTGCTCCCTTTATACTATCCTACGCTTATGCTGGAACCTTACTCCATATACGGCTATTTGCCCCGAACACAAGTTTTAAGGCCATTTGGCCTGTATTTGTGGGAGGGGCTTAAATTAATTCACTCCCCTATATAAGGGACACCCCTTACCTGACTCATATGGCTTGAGGTCAGCATCAGAATGACCCTCCCACCCACTCCTCATTTCAACACTTTCTCTTTTCTTTCCATTTACTTTACTTTCTTACTCCTTGGTGGGCCCTCTTTATTTACAGGCCTACCGTATCGTCGGTATCGGCACACCACAACCGACTTGCTCCCTTTATACTATCCTACGCTTATGCTGAAACCTTACTCCATATACGGCTATTTGCCCCGAA